TAAACTGGAGTTCTTTTCACTATAACCATGAAGGTCAAGAATAAAGTAAAACTCTCGTCCTTTAAACTAAAAAATTATTTTCTTATTTCTTTGAAAGACAGTGTTACATAGAGAAGTGAGAGACACAGACCTTCCATCTGCTGGTTCACTCCCCAAATGGCTGCAATGGCCAGGGCTGGGCCAGGCCAACTTTAGAAGCCTGGAACTCCACCCAGGTCTACCACATGGGCATCAGGGACTCAAGCACTTGGGCCTGGATCGGAAGTGGAGCAGCTGGACTCGAACCAGAGCTTACGTGGGATGTGAGCATTACAGGTGGCGACATAACCCACTGTGCCACAAGTTCAGCCCTTAAACTAAAACCTTTAGAGAGGATTCCTATGTTTTTAAAAACTAAATTTTAATTTTTGTTTATTTTTTGTTTTATCTGAATAGCAGAGAGACAGAAACAGAGATTGATCTTCCATCCACTGGTTCACTCCCCAAATGCCTGCAACAGCAGAGACTGGGTCAAGCCAAAGCCAGGACTTCAGAACTCAACCAAAGTCTCCAACGCATGTGGCAGGACTCAAGATCATCATCTGCAGCCTCCCAGGATGTGCATTAGCCAGAAGGTGAAATCAGAAGTGGTGCCAGGACATGAACCCATGCTCCATAATGTGATACATTCCAAGTGGTGTCTTAGCCACTGTGCTACATGCCTGCCTCCAAGTAACAAAATTTAAATGGATCTTCATGAAGAGCAAATCTCTGGGTTTTGTCATTCCTATCCCCTTCCCAAATAGCAACTTCCTGCAGAAGTCCTTGACCTATTCAACAGCTAACTGTTCTCCAAACCTGAAAGAAAATCCAGTTAGATTCACTGACTGCTTTTTCCTGTGTAATAAGACTACATTATAACTGGAATGTAAATGTCCTATCTAATCAAAGTGACAGCTTTTTTGATTTACTGCTTCCTTTTCTTTCAGGGCCATCCTATTATTTTTCTCCTATCAAAAGAGGGCAGTTTGGTGGGTTACTGGGCACTCAGCAGAGAATGAAACCTGCTAACTGTCACTTCTCCTAAGGACAAAGACATCACCTGACATGCTTCCTATGCTTGACTGGAACAAGCTCTGTTGAACCAGGCTTGAGTGGTGCGACACCGTGTAATGCACACCAATATAGTGCAACTCATGCCAAAACAGAAAAGTGGGACCTGCCTCCTGAAATCTGCTGCAGGTACATGAAAGATTCCAAGAGAAAAAAAGTGATAAATCCCTGCAGTATGCCACAGTTTTATTTCCTGAAGATGGAAGGTACCACATCTTGACAGTCATCTTTGGGGAGATGGAATAAAATATTTGCTGAGTCACCACTTTATAAAAAGACTTTGCTTTTAAGATATCAACTTGATCTTATGAACTAGATTAGAGATCAAACTTTCATGGTTGTCCTAGAACCTAAACTACATTTACAAAATGTTTAAGAAGGAGCCGGCACTCTGGCATATAGCAGGTTAAAGCCCCGGCCTGCAGTGCCTACATCCCCACATGAGGGTCAGTTTGAGTCCCAGCTGTTCCACTTCCGATCCAGCTCCCACTAATGTGCCTGGGAAAGCAATGGAGGATGGCCCAAGTGCTTGGGCCCCAGCATCCACGTGGGAGACCCTGAAGAAGCTCCTGGCTTCAGATAGGCTCAGCTCTGGCCATTGCGGACACTTGGGGAGGGAACCAGCGGATGGAAGAACTCTGTCTCTACTTCTCTCTCTCATTTCAAATAAGTAAAATAAATCTTAAAAAAAAGTTTAGGCCGGCACCACAGCTCAATAGGCTAATCCTCCGCCTAGAGGCGCCGGCACACCGGGTTCTAGTCCCGGTCAGGGCGCCGGATTCTGTCCCGGTTGCCCCTCTTCCAGGCCAGCTCTCTGCTGTGGCCAGGGAGTGCAGTGGAGGATGGCCCAGGTGCTTGGGCCCTGCACCCCATGGGAGACCAGGAAAAGCACCTGGCTCCCGGCTCCTGCCATCGGATCAGCGTGGTGCGCCGGCCGCAGCGCGCCGGCCACGGCGGCCATTGGAGGGTGAACCAACGGCAAAGGAAGACCTTTCTCTCTGTCTCTCTCTCTCACTGTCCACTCTGCCTGTTAAAAGAAAAAAAAAAATAACTAAAAAAAAAAAAAGGTTTAAATATTTCCAACTTTTTTTTTAAAGATTCATTTTATTTATTTGAAAGACAGAGATCCAAAGTCAGGAGCCAGAAGCTTCTTCCGGGGTCTCCCACGTGGATGCTGGGGCCCAAGCACTTGGGCCATCCTCCATTGCTTTCCCAGGCACATTAGCTGGGAGCTGGACCAGAAGTGCAACAGCTGGGACTCAAACTGACCCCTATATGGGATATTGGCTCTGCAGCCTGGGGCTTTAATCCACTGTGCACAGTGCCGGCCCCTCCAACTTTTTAATTCCAGTGCTTAAAATAGCTCCTGTTTTTACTGTTTTTATAGTTATTATATAGGCTAGTATTCTGAGACTCATCTACTATATAAATAAATGCAGAGGTAAAACATCAGACCCAGTGTGGTTACAAGGTGGCAGAACCTAACAGTTACTGGTGTAGGTTCTAGAATCAGACAATCTGACTTCAAATTCTGGCTTTACCATTCAATTGCTATGTGACCCCATGTAACACACTTAACTACTCTAAGCCTCAGTTTCTACATCTATAAAATGGGAATAGCAAGTTACCTACTTGAGACCATGCCATTAGACAATGTACAGAAAGCATTTAGGATAGTAGGTGGCAGCCGGCGCCGTGGCTCAATAGGCTAATCCTCCACCTTGCGGCGCCGGCACACCGGGTTCTAGTCCCGGTTGGGGCGCCGGATTCTGTCCCGGTTGCCCCTCTTCCAGGCCAGCTCTCTGCTATGGCCAGGGAGTGCAGTGGAGGATGGCCCAGGTGCTTGGGCCCTGCACCCCATGGGAGACCAGGAAAAGCACCTGGCTCCTGGCTCCTGCCATCGGATCAGCGCGGTGCGCCGGCTGCAGCGGTGGCCATTGGAGGGTGAACCAACGGCAAAGAAAGACCTTTCTCTCTCTGTCTCTCTCTCTCACTGTCCACTCTGCCTGTCAAAAAAAAAAAAAAAAAAAAGGATAGTAGGTGGCACTTGGACAAACACTCAACAACCATTATTAGCTATTCCTATTCTAATGACAATTCATAATAATGACTAAGCATCAAATACTAAAAGGTAGCTACCTATTCTCAAATGTGTTAAAATAATCATGCTTGTTCAGAAGAACATTAAAAAATATAGTATGCACACGTAGTGGCCAGCCACCTGTTGTCTGGTAAATCTTTATCTACATGCAAATTACATACCAGCTCCTTCCACTTCCCAGAGTAACAATGAGATGACAACAAAGAAATCAAATACAGTATGTGCTGCCTGATGATGAGTTGCACCACTCTGCTGCGAATCTAGCTATCCATTGATTTTCATTTGAACCCCTCCTTGGATTCAGGCTCATTTCTGCAAGCCTTCAGCTCTGCTCATCTGCAAAGCAGCCCAGAAGCCCGTCCTTCACGCTGGCATGTATTATAAAGCCCTCATTCTCAGGCTCCTGCTTCGAATATCCAGGGTTACCACATCCCCCTCGTGGTCATGGGGAATATACACCAGGCGCCTGGGGAAACTGCCAAGATGCCAGTCAAATACGTACCCACTTAATCATGGGCTCAGACACCCTTCAGCTAACACCGTTTGATTCCTGGATTCTTCTGATTAACACATAGTGGCTTTTCAATGTACGAGCAAAAAGAAGAAAAGGAAACTCTTAAAACAGACAGAGAAGAGAGAAGTGAAAGTGAGTTTTCACCTGCCCTCCTCTCTCCTAAGGTGAAGATGGGCTCAATTTCTATTTTGCTTCAATGTTTAGTATTATTTATTTGCCCTATGTTTTTTGCACCATATTGTTCTAGAACATAAATTCGTAGAAATAGGGGTTTACGTGCCTCTAATTTTGATAACCGGGGGAAAGAAAGCCTACCTCAGGGAATGAAAAAGCAAGAGAAATCAGGGTGTTAAATAGCTAACACTTAAGGAAAAGGGTGTAGGAGGCTTTTCTAAACTTTTAAAATCTGCATAATCTGTAATCGATGTATGTCTGACTTTTCTGTTTCTCACTCCCACTGCATCCCCCTCAGAATATACTCTTCTGTTAGCTTCTTTTCCTCCCCAATTTTTCCCAATTTCTTCCCAACTGCTCACACAGTGATCACTTACTGATTTTCTTTTTTTTTTTTTTTTTTTGAGTGAGAGACAGGCAGAGTGGACAGTGAGAGAGAGAGACAGAGAGAGAAAGGTCTTCCTTTGCCGTTGGTTCACCCTCTAATGGCCGCCGCTGCAGCCTGGCAGGAGCCAGGATCCACGTGCTTTTCCTGGTCTCCCATGGGGTGCAGGGCCCAAGCACTTGGGCCATCCTCCACTGCACTCCCTGGCCATAGCAGAGAGCTGGCCTGGAAGAGGGGCAACCGGGACAGAATCTGGCGCCCCAACCGGGACTAGAACCCGGTGTGCCGGCGCCGCAAGGTGGAGGATTAGCCTATTGAGCCACGGCGCCGGCCCACTTACTGATTTTCCTGAAGGAAGTGGTAGGGGCCTGAAGCACTTTTCAAGGACAAATTACGTCATCTCCAAATCAAGTGCAATCTCACTGCCATCTCATCAGTGGCTTCAAGTTTTTGCTTTCACTGTGTTCTCAACCCTGGAGCAAAGCCTGACATGACAGGTGTTCCAGTTTTTTCTTAAAAATCCTAGCTGGTCACAGAACAGGGTGGTAACTAAAATCTGGCAACCAGCACAAGGTTTCAAATGTGCCGAATGTGCCTCAGTCAGGCCCTGCACAGCAGGGCGGGGACGATCCTGAGCTGGGATAAGAATTTTTCCCTTGAGGGCTTCCACGACAATTAGCCTAAGGCGACTCAATGCTGTAAGGGAACGAAACAATGGTTTAGTAGATGGAAACCTGAAGCTGTGGTAAAAGCGCAGCCCGGACTTAGTTTCAGATCTGCTTATCCCGGTGTTCTTTCACGTTGTGGACAAACAGCAAGACCGGGTAACCAACATTCCGTCGTCTGCAGTTTTAAAGTCCCAGGGCAAGATGGCGCCCTGCTCGCGGAGCGGAGGCGAGGAACACGTCCGCGCGCGTGGAGCGTGCACGCGCCCGGACTCGCCCCGGGCTCCTCTCAGGCCAGACTCGCGAGCATTGGACATCCAATGAGCGCTGTAAGGAGCCTAAACCTTCTTTTTCCGCCACTCTCTATGCACATGCGCTCCAGACCCTTAAACGGATATCAGCTGCGCAAGCGCAACAAGCTCCTCCTCTCGCGCAACTGACGCAAGGAGACTGTAATCGGTTCGCAGTTTATCCCGTGTGACCTTGAGTCTTTCCTGCCGCCAAGGACCGGGGCTGTCTGCGGCGCTGCCTTCATCGCTCTCTTCGCCTCGTCGCCTCTCGCTGATCCCAAAACAGCTGCCACTGAAAAGGGAGGGCAGGTCTTTTTCAGTCATCATGCTGAGAAGCATATTACCGGGAGACCCTGGCTCCGGGAGCCCAAGTCAGGCAATCGCTGGTCAGGCGGCGCGGGGGCCTCCTCAGCGGAAGAGAGGGCCTTACGGAGGCAGTGACCGGCCCCCGCCCCCCGTCCCACGTGGTTGGAGGTTTCCAGAAGCGCTGCCACTGCCGCTCCGCGCAGCTCCCGTGCGCCTGGGTGCTTTTATTTGCTTCCTCGTACGCCCTCCGTCTCGTCGCCATGATAAGTGCCAGCCGAGCCGCAGCAGCTCGCCTTGTAGGCGCCGCAGCCTCCCGGGGCCCCGCGGCCGCCCGCCACCAGGTGAGAAACCGTCGGGCCTTTCCGGAGAGGGCTCACGGCCTGGGGCCTCAGTGCAGCGGGTCGCGCCCTCGGGGTCAGAATCCTCCGCGAGAGATCGGGACGGAGGAAAATAACGGGCCTAGCCCCGTGAGCGCTGCCGGTTCCGGCACTTGATGTAGGTCTTGCTTCCGTGCCTCGGGCCCTGCTGAGTCACACTCGGGATCGAGTCTCTCCCCACGAGTTCACAGTAGTGGTCCTGATGGGCACATTCGGCCTTGAGCGAGGCATGCAGTCTCGGGAGAGAACCGTGGCCTGGGTTTTAATTTTCTCTTAAGAGTGCAAAGAAAGCATCTAAACGATAAATCCAAAGTCACAGACTCCAGCTCCAGTTTCTCGTAGTTAGTAACGTTTTTTCAAAGTTTTCGGTTGAAAACTCGTTTTTGTGTTTTTTTTTTTTTTTTTTTTTTATTAAAAATAGAGAAGGGGAAAAGGCTGTGGAGCGCTTGCTCGCTCTGAAAAATAACGAGCATCTCTTACATCTTAGGAAATGTATCTGTTCAGGGTGGGCGTGAAGGAGGGCTTGAAGGGGCCTGAGGGTAGGTCGTTACGAAGGTCGTTATCTTGATGGAAGCGCGCTAACGTTTTTGTTTAACTTTTTCGTGGCTCCACAAATTACTGATGCTATTTTCCTTAAGGCGATTGCGTGACAGAGTCGGGAAGTTACGCGCTGCTACAGAGAGATTGAGAGCGATCCGAGCAGTGTGTAATGAATGCCCTGGTTCTTACTCGGGGGCATTCTACCTCCTGGGGACATTTGGCAGTGTTTGTTGATATTTTGTGCTTTAGGAGTCTGGGTTGCTGCTTACTGGCTTCCAGTGGGTACAGGCCAGGGATGCTGCAAAATATCCTACAGAAGAGCCCCCGCCCAACAAAGAACTGGCTCAAGATTAGTGCTAAGGTTGAGAAATCCTGTATTTGTTTTACATGGAAGATTTTTATGTTTACTAAATATTTCCTATTTTAGTACCATAATAATGTATCTTAAACAGTCTGCAGTATTTCATTCCACTGTGGTTTTACACATGGTAGCTGCTCAGCAGAGTGAAAATTGGAAACTTTTTCTTAGCATAATTGGAACGAACACTTATATAGTTGAGGGGTGATGCAGTTTTGTTTGTTCTTTTTTAGGATGGCTGGAATGGCTTTAGTCATGAGGCGTTCAGAATCGTTTCAAGGCGGGATTATGCGTAAGTATACCATCATGTCCTTTGAGAGAAAGCAGGGATTAATTTTATTTATTTGAAAGACAGAGTTATAGAGAGAGGTAGAGACAGAGAGGTCTTCCATCCTCTGGTTCACCCCCAAGATGGCCGCAACGGCCAGCGCTGAGCTGATCCGAAATCAGGAGCCAGGAGCTTACTCTGGGTCTCCCATGTAGGTGCAGGGGCCCTAAGCTTGGGCCATCTTCCACTGCTTTCCCAGGCCAAAGCAGAGAGCTGGATCATAAGAGGAGCAGCCAGTGCCCATATGGGATGCTGGCACTTTAGGCCAGGGCCCTAACCCACTGCAGCTCTGACCCCTCTACATTTGTGATTAACCATTCCTCTCTAGTTACTTATCTGTAATTGTATAGGTTATGTATTGTGCCCCCATTGACTCCTTTATTGAATCCATGTTTTCCTGTAGTCATTTCAGAGACTACTGTTGATAATGACAACCATGGCATTGTTTTAAATACCTTGCAGATCAGAAGCAATTAAGGGTGCAGTTGTTGGAATTGATCTGGGTACTACAAACTCCTGTGTTGCAGTTATGGAAGGTAAACAAGCAAAGGTGAGCATGATTGATAACTGCAGGTAACTTAAAGATATCTTGTCCCCCATACAAAGACCCTTTGATTTAATTAGGATTCTGAGACCTGGTTTGTATTTAGAAACTAAGATTTTTTTAAGGCTCTTGTAAAGTGCATTTTTATGGTACTGATTGTTGAATGGATTTAACTTCCCAGACTAGGATTTTAATGCGTCATCTGGTGTGGGGATGAGATGAATTTATCATTAGGAGGAATTGGAACCGTTAGACTGTTGGTTAATCATGTAATCAAAGTTCTGCATTTTTGTAAGTCATTTGAACCAAAGTTGGAGGATAAGACAGACTAGAAGCATGTAGAGTTCTAAATCCTAAATAAAGCTTGTTTTTGAGAGCTCCCTGGTGTGGTAAAGGCTATTCAGTCTTTACTCTGGGTATGAAACCTATTCACTTTAGGTTCTTAACAAAGATTTAGAACACCTGGGATTTTTGAATTTTGCCTCTATTATTCATTTTCTGTGGCATCTCTCCCGCATGTGCTTTTTTGAAACATCCTAAGCTGTCCAGGGACTTTTATTCCCACATTTTGGGCACTAAGAGAAGGCGATTCCTTCCTACAATCTAATTTATGCTTTTTAGCACTTAAGTCCTATACACCGGAAATGTATAGCCCTCGTGAAAGGAAAGTTTGAAAAGTAAGTAGAATTTATTTATGAACGGTATTACAAGTTCAAGTATTAAAATGCTGGTTTAGAGTCTCCGTTCCACTTCTGGTTTTTAACTTTGTAAGTTGTTTCAAGGTAAAGGACTAAACGTATGAGATACCTTAAATATCTGCTTTCCTAAGTATTAAGTATAAGTTAAGTATTGAGTATAAGCATTTACTGGGTCAGCATTCATAGCGGTAAGGCATGCCCACTGAAACTGTTACTTGAGTATTTATTTTGTGATTTGGGACCATTTTTTGTCTTAAAGTTTAAATTGCTGCAGTGATGTCACTGATGACTTAGAACATGATTCTCTTATTTGGGGAGTTTAGGTGCTGGAGAATGCCGAAGGTGCCAGGACCACCCCTTCCGTTGTGGCCTTTACTGCAGATGGTGAGCGTCTTGTTGGCATGCCAGCCAAGCGACAGGCTGTCACTAACCCGAACAATACATTTTATGCCACCAAACGTCTTATTGGCCGGCGCTATGATGACCCTGAAGTACAGAAAGACATGTGAGTAATAGCAAAGGCACAGTTGGTTATAGAGGCCGTATAGAAGAAGCTTTCAAGGTTGTTCAGGTTCTGTAGACACTTCACTTTGGTCATGTTACATACTGACATTGTCCCTAGGGAAAATCCATGCCTCGTGGGTAACTCTTTAAGAGATTCATTTTTGCCTTCACAGATTAGGTCTTTTGTATATAAATATTGACATGATCTGTGAAGGTTTGTGAAGCTTTCCTGAATTGGTGTTTAACACATGAAGCAAATAATGTCATAGATTCTCTCATGTGTTGATTAGATATATGTACATTATATATGTATATACACGGAAGAAAAAAACTTTTTTCCTTCAGATTAAACATATTAGCAGTACATTTTTTATATTGCAATTTTTTGTTTTTTGCTTTTTAAAAGATTTATATGAAAGCAGGGCAACAGAGGGAGAGAGCCCATCCCCTGGTTCCTTTCCCTCAATGGCTACAACAGCCAGGTCTGGGCAAAGCCAGAGCCAGGAACTAGGAATTCCATCTAGGTCTTCCACACAGGTGGCAGGAGCCCAAGGACCCGGCCCATCATTTTCTGCCTTCCCAGGGCCCATTAGTAGGGAGCTGATTGGAAGTGGAGTAACCAGGAGTCAGACCAGCACTCTGATATCGGATGCCAGCATTGTAATCAGTGGTCTAACATGCTGTGCCACAATGCCAGCCTTTAACACCTCAGTCTGTTTTTAAATGGTTTTATTTGGTTACAAATGGAGTCATATAGAAGGGTACTTCGAAAAGTTACTGAAAAAAATGAAATAAAAATATGAGTCTGTTTTGTTTAGATGTTTAGAACGTGTATAATTTTTTCCTGATAAGCATTTTCCATCAACTGTTTGAAAACTACTTATATGCAGATTTCAGGAATTTTTGTCCTATAACAAAAATTTCATTTTCCACGAACCTTTTAGAAAATAGGCTGATAGAATTTAAGAATTTAGTCTCGTTTTATTTATTTATTTTTTTGACAGGCAGAGTGGACAGTGAGAGAGAGAGAGAGAAAGGTCTTCCTTTGCCATTGGTTCACCCTCCAATGGCCGCCACGGCCGGCCCATAGCACCTGTCCGAAGGCAGGAGCCAGGTCTCCCATGGGGTGCGGGGCCCAAGGACTTGGGCCATCCTCCACTGCACTCCCTGGCCACAGCAGAGAGCTGGCCTGGAAGAGGGGCAACCAGGACAGAATCCGGCGCCCCGACCGGGACTAGAACTCGGTGTGCCGGCACCGCAAGGTGGAGGATTAGCCTAGTGAGCTGAGGCGCCGGCCCAGTCTCGTTTTATTTTAAAGGCAGAAAGATGAAGATCTTCCATCTACTAGTTCATTCCCCCCAAAGGCCCACAGCAGCTGGGATTAGATCTCCTGTGTGGGTAGGAGGGATCCAATTACTTGAGCAATCACATGCTGGTTCTCAGGGTGTGCATTAGCAGAAAGCTGCAATCAACAGCAGACCTGGGACTTGAACCCAGGCACTCTGATATGGGTTTATTTATTTGAAAGGCAAAGCTACTGAGAGGCAGAGAGAAAGAGATCTTCATCCACTGGTTCACTCCACAAATGGCCAGAATGGCCAGGGGTGGGCCAATCCAAAGCCGGGAGCTTCTTCCAGGTCTCCCACATGGGTGCAGAGACCCAGGGATTTGGGCCATGTTCCACTGTTCTCCCAGGCTGTGGCAGAGAGCTGGATTGAAAGTGGAGCAGCCAGGACTGGAACCAGTGCCCACATGGGATGCCAGCATCGCAGGTTGTGGCTTTATCCACTATCACTGTGTCGGCCCCCTCCAGTATGGCTATCTTAACCACTCTGCCAAATGCCTACCCCTCCATGAACTTTTAAAAATATCACTGTAGGAGCTGGCGCTGTGGCGTGGCATATGAGGCTGCCACCTGCAGTGCTGGCATCCCTTGTGGGTGCTGGTTCAAGTCCCGGCTGCCCCATTCCCGATCCAGCTCTCTGCTATGGCCTGGGAAAGTGGTAGAGGATGGCCCAGGTCCTTGGGCCCCTGCACCCACATGGGAAGACCCAGAGGAAACTCTTGACTCCTGGCTTTTTGGATCGGCGCAGCTCCAGCTGCTGCAGCCAACTGGGGAATGAACTAGCAAATGGAAGGCTTCTTTCTCTGCCTCTCTTCTCCATGTTGCTCTGACTTACAAATAAATAAATATTTTTAAAAATATATCATTGTATATGTGGACTGCAGTGTGACTTGGTTGAATTAGCATATTGTCAAAGTTTATCCATGTTGTAGCATGTATTACTCTTGACCCTTTTTGTGGTCACTTTTTTGTGTGTTGATTTGTTAGTTGATGGGACATTTGGGATTTTACTTTTTGTTTATTAAAAATAATGCTGTCATAAGTGTGGTTTGTTTACCTTAAAGTAGATTCCTAGTAGTGGAATTTCTGGGTCATGTTTCACCCTCAGCAGAGCTGCTAGACCACTTCCAGAGCAGCTACTTGGTGAAGTAACGTTCGGCGTGCACTAGAATGATGTTTTTACATGTTAAGGGTTGGTTTCCAGAGGTTTTCATGAGATTCATTTCTGGAGTTAACTTGTTGGCCAGAGTCTCTTTAGAGGTTGGAAGGTGGATTTTTTTGGTGTGTGGTAACTTTATGATGGTAGGTGGCTCTGGTACATTTTCTCTCAAATGATTTTTTTATGTCTTTCAGTAAAAATGTTCCATTTAAAATAGTCCGTGCCTCCAATGGCGATGCCTGGGTTGAGGCTCATGGGAAGCTCTATTCTCCAAGTCAAATAGGAGCATTTGTGTTGATGAAGATGAAGGAGACGGCAGGTGAGCTTTTGTTGGGATCTGGGATAGTTCAGAGAACTAGGAGATCTGCGATCACTCACTTCATGACCCCAGGGTTCTGTGGTACCCTTTGTACAGAAAATATAGAAGTGGGCAGACATAGTTACTCTTTTATAATTCACTTTAAATCTACACAGCAGTGTACACAAAGTTGTTAAAGTAATTCCTTCCCAGTATAAACTCAGTTTTATAAAATTTATTTTAATATAGAATGAAATGGAATTTAGACACATTATTTAGCAAGTTAATTTTCATTATCTGTATTTAATATTTAGTCCATGTGGGAAATAGATTTATACGTTGTAACGTTCTTGAAAATGGTAAAAAAAAATTCTGTATAGAAAGAGTAAAGTTTTCTGAATGTTGTTCTTCATACGTTGCAGATTCTTCAGGTTTTCCTAATGTTGGATAGCTGCTTTTTTCCAGTAGTGGGCAATGAGGTGGTGGTGTGTGTGTGTGTGTGTTACAATTTTTTTTTTTTTTTAAGTCAGAGTTATAGACAGATCTTCCCATCCTCTGGTTCACTCCCCAAATGGCTGCAATGGCTGGGGCTGGGCCAGACCAAAACCAGGAGCTTCTTCTGGGTTTCCCACATGGGTATATGGGGTCCAAGCACTTGGCTATCTATTGCTGGTTTCCTAGGTGCACTATCAGGGATCTGGATCAAAATGGAGCAGCTAGCTGAGACTCGACTGGTGACCATATAGGATGCCAGCATCACAAGTGGTGGCTTTACCTGCCACGCCACAGTGCTGGCCCCAGGTAGTGCTCTTTTTTGAAAACCAGAAATCCACACATTAAGCTGTTGTCCCTGTTAGGTAAAACTTAGAAATTTACATTTGAAGAAATTAGTGACTTTTAAATCTAAAGGTCATTGTAGCTTGGTGGACCTTCAGTAAAATATTGAAGGTGTCTTTAAAAATGGAGTGTTTTGGGGCCGGCGCCGTGGCTCACTTGGTTAATCCACCACCTGCGGCGCCAGCATCCCATATGGGCGCCAGGTTCTAGTCCCAGCTGCCCCTCTTGCAGTCGAGCTCTATGCTGTGGCCAGGGAGGGCAGTGGAGGATGGCCCAGGTGCTTGGGCTCCTGCACCCGCATGGGAAACCAGGAAGAAACACCTGACTGCTGGCTTCAGATTGGCGTAGCGCCGTCTGTGGCAGCTATTTGGGGAGTGAACAAACGGAAGGAAGATCTTTCTCTCTCTCTTCTCTCTCTCTCTCTGTCTATAACTCTGTCAAATAATAATAATAATAAATTGGAGTGTTTTCCTAAGAGGGTTCTGTATGTTAGGTCACTTGGTCACTTGCCAGAAAACTAACTGATGAGTGTTGTCAGTGGCTCCAGAAGAGGATGATGGGGGTTAGGCTACATTAGTAATTGTTGCTATGATTGAATTTTGTTCTTGCCTTTTTCATAGAAAACTACTTGGGACATGCGGCAAAGAATGCTGTAATCACAGTCCCAGCTTATTTCAATGACTCACAGAGACAGGTGAGACCAATTAGTCATGTGTTTTTTTGTTGTTGTTGTTTTGAAAGATCTATTTATCCATTTGAAAGAGTAACAGAGAGCACTTGCATCTTCTGGTCTACTCCCTGAAAGGCTGCATGCGCAGGGCTAGGGCAGTCCAAAGCCAGGAACCTAAAACTCCACTGGGGTCTCCCATGTGGGTGACAGGGTCCCAAGGACTCTGGCCATCCTCTGCTGCCCTCTCTGGTGCATCAGAATGGAGCTGGATCAGAAGTGCAGCAGACAGCAGATTAACCATCTGCATCAACAGTGCCAGCCTCCTAAATAGTCTTACTCACAAAAAGTAGTGGTACCTGGGACACAAGGTGAGAAAATGCCTTTTGTTTTCTCTAGGCTACTAAGGATGCTGGTCAGATATCTGGCCTAAATGTACTTCGGGTGATTAATGAACCCACAGCTGCTGCTCTGGCCTACGGTCTAGACAAATCTGAAGATAAAATGTAAGTTTGCAGTAAATGCCTCTTGGTTGTATAAAACTAAGGTCATCGATATATGACATGCACCCTTTATAATCTTTTTTCTCTGTGACTGAGCCTCGTATTCCAAGTAAAAATACTTCCTCCCTTACTTTAGAAAATAGGCTTGATCGAATTTAAGAATTTGACAGGCAGAGTGGACAGTGAGAGAGAGAGACAGAGAGAAAGGTCTTCCTTTGCCGTTGGTTCACCCTCCAATGGCCGCCGCGGCCGGCGCACCGCGCTGATCCGATGGCAGGAGCCAGGATCCAGGTGCTTTTCCTGGTCTCCCATGGGGTGCAGGGCCCAAGCACTTGGGCCATCCTCCACTGCACTCCCTGGCCACAGCAGAGAGCTGGCCTGGAAGAGGGGCAACCGGGACAGAATCCGACGCCCCGACCGGGACTAGAACCCGGTGTGCCGGCGCCGCAAGGCGGAGGATTAGCCTAGTGAGCCGCGGCGCCGGCCTACTTTTAAGGCTATATGGTCTATATTTTGTATTCATTTCAAGATCATTCCTTTGTTTACTTTTGGGTTGTGTCATTTTTCGTTGATACGTGTGCTGACAACTAACCGAGCACCAAAAAGGGAACCTGTGGAAGTGAAATGGACCCTTTGAGAAGCAGTGACTTGATCAGCCCTTGTCCTGAATGTTGATGAACAACTTAATAATACTTTTTCCCTTTTTGTATTTTTTTGATCTACTTAATACTATTGGCTGAACTATTAACACACAATTATTCTTAGGTGTTTAAATTTAACTGAAAAGTGATCCCTGTTAAATATGAAAGTGGGAATAAGAGGGAGGAGATGTACAATTTGAGACATGCTCAATCTGATTTGCACCAAGTGGTAGAGTTAGAAACGTGCCAGGGGATTCCAATTCAGTCCCATCAAGGTGGAATATACCAATGCCATCTCACTAGTCAAAGTGATCAGTTTCAGTTCACAGTTGATCATAATGATAGGATTAAGAGTCAAAGGGATCACATAAACAAGACTAGTGTCTGCTAATACTAACTGATAGAATGAAAAAGGGAGAGAACGATCCAACATGGGAAGTGGGATACACAGCAGACTCATAGAATGGCAAATGTCCTGAACAGCACTCTGGCCTCAGAATCAGCCCTTAAGGCATTTGGATCCGGCTAAAAAGCCCGAGTGCTTTAGGCATGGAAAGCGAAGACACTCTGACAAAAAAAAAAAAAAAAGACCTAAATGAAAGATCTCTGCGAGTGAGATCCCAGTGTAAAGAACAGGCCATCAAAGAAGGAGGTACCTTTCTCTGAAGGGAGGAGAAAACTTCCACTTTGACTGTGACCATGTCTGAATAAGATTGGAGTCAGCGAACTCAAAAGGCTTCCATAGCCTTGACAACTCATGACAAGAGCCTAGGGTGATTACTGACGCCATGAACAAGAGTGTCAAATTGTTAAGTCAACAACAGGAGTCACTGTGCACTTACTCCCCATGTAGGATCTCTGTCATTAATGTGCTTTACACTTTGTATTTCTGTGTGGGTGCAAACTCTTGAAATCTTTACTTAATATATACTAAACTGATCTTCTGTATATAAAGATAATTGAAAATGAATCTTGATGTGAGTGGAATGGTAGAGGGAGCAGGAGGTGGGAGGGAAGTTATGGGAGGGGAAAAAGCCACTGTAATCCAAAAGCTGTATTTTGGAAATTTATATTTATTAAATAAAAGTTTAAAAAGATTTATTTATTAGAAAGGCAGAGGGAAGGAGCATTTGTCTAATGGTTAACTTGCCTAACAGCTGTAGCAACTAAAACTGGGCCAAGCTGAAGCCAGGAGCCAGGAACTTTATCCGGGTCTCCTATGTAGTTGTCAGGGGCCCAAGTACTTGGGCCATCTTCCACTGCTTTCCCAGGGAACTGAATTGGAAGTGGAGTTGCCAGGTCTCAAACCAGCACTCAAGGGGATGCCAGCATCACAGACAGTGACTTAACCTGTTGTGCCACACACTGGCCTCCAAATGCCATTGGTTAGATTGATTTGTGGGTTTCATTTTAGCTGTGGAGTTTACATTTAACCTGTTAGGGGCACATGTTAACTAGTCACCGATGGAGTTAACAGATTGTCTATTGCAATTCAGGGAAATGGCTAAGCTTGTCTTCATTTGGTTATTGAAATTTATGCTCTTGTGATAGGTTTTATTCCTTAAGGTGCTCTTTTTCTTTTTAGCATTGCTGTGTATGATTTAGGTGGTGGAACTTTTGATATTTCCATCCTGGAAATTCAGAAAGGAGTATTTGAAGTGAAATCCACAAATGGGGACACTTTCTTAGGTGGTGAAGACTTTGACCAGGCCTTGTTACGACACATTGTGAAGGAGTTCAAGAGGGAGGTCAGTTATTATGGTTAATATGTAGACATTGGGATAATTTATTTGTTCATGATTGCTTTTTTGCTTTAATAGAGCACTGAAATAATTACATTTCAGGTTCCTGGGTAGACTGAACTATTTAGTTACCATAACCTTCACATTGAGAGCAAACAGGAGACCTAAGTATAAGGCAGTCAGTATGCCACTTTGGAAAAGGAATCTGGAGGACTTATTTTTGAACTGGAGTCCTAGGACTGGATTAGTTCAGGCCAATTTGCAGGCACCAATTCCCTTTCCAAAGTGGGGGGGAGGGTGGTTGGTTGTTTCTCTACCTTTTAAAAGTTTTTATTTTATTTGAAAGAAACCGATCTTCTGTCTGCTGGTTCAGTCCCCAAATGCCTGCAGTAGCTGGGGCTAAGCTAGGCTGAAGCTAAGAACCTTGTGGGTGACAGAGATCCAAGCACTTGAGCCATTATCTGCTGCCTGCAAGGATTAGCTGGAAGCTGGTTCATACTCTAATTGGCACTCTGAAATGGGATGTGGGGTTTGGTTTTTGGTTTTTGACAGGCAGAGTGGACAGTGAGAGAGAGAGACAGGTCTTCCTTTGCCTTTGGTTCAACCTCCAATGGCCGACACGGCCGGCCCATAGCACCTGTCCGAAGGCAGGAACAGGTGCTTATCCTGGTCTCCCATGGGGTGCAGGGCCCAAGCACTTGGGCCATCCTCCACTGCACTCCCGGGCCACAGCAGAGAGCTGGCCTGGAAGGGGGGCAGCCGGGACAGAATCCGGTGCCCTGACTGGGACTAGAACTCGGTGTGCCGGCGCCGCAAGGTGGAGGATTAGCCTAGTGAGCCATGGCGCCGGCTGAATGTGGGGTTTTTTTAAGAGCAAAAGAAAGTGCTTCATGCTTTCCTATTCTAATACTTGCAAATAAAATAATATTCATTACTTTGCTAATTCTGTTTCATGCCATCACTTTGTAGACAGGAGTTGATTTGACCAAAGACAACATGGCACTGCAGAGAGTGAGAGAAGCTGCTGAGAAAGCCAAATGTGAGCTCTCCTCATCTGTGCAGGTGAGACATGGAATAATTCCAGTCTTTCTTCTTAGATTTATTCCCCATTTTTGGCAGCAGCAGAAAGAACAGAGCTGTTGCCTTAGTTTATTAGCCACAGGAAAGAGGTATGTAAAGTGGTTGTGCTGATTAACCTGCAGTCAAACCTGAGGTGTTTTAAAAGTAGCTGTGAGGAGTGATAAAGTTATACATGTATCCATTTTGGGGGTTACTTTGCTCCTGCTTCATGTGAAGTTGCAGAATTTTGCAACATGGGATTGGCTTTGATACTGAAATTTGTGGGACAGCCAGAAGATAGCTTGTAATTCTTTGCTGGAGTTGGATACTTTTGCTGGGGTGAGGTGTTGGAACAGATAGGTCCTTATATTAATAAATGTCAAACCTGAAGTGATACAGAGTAAACAGTACTGCAGATTGCTTAGATTCTAGTCCCTACCTCATATTTTTTTAAAAGATTTATTTATTTTATTTGAAAGGCAGAGAGAGAGAGAAAGGTCTTCCTTCTGCTGATTCACTCCCCAGATGGTCACAATGACCGGAGCTGCATCAGTTTGGAGCCAGGAGCTTCATCTGGTGCAGGGGTCCAAGGACTTGGGCCATCTTCTCCTAACTTATTAATGGAAGAAGTGGTTTAAAAGCCAATTATATTTATAATTACAGAAAAGAATGTGACAGATGTTTGACATAAGTAGAATAATTTCTGAGAGATGAAATTGACCTTGAAAAGATAAAAGGAAAAGGGTGAAGACCTGAGAAAGGGCCATAGTGGATAAAGTGGGGCGGGCGTAGGCCAGCGTGCCAAGTGAGTTACTGTGCTCTATAGAACTGAGATTTGTGAAAGAGGAGTACAAACACCAGAAGAGTTTCCAAGTTGTTTGTATATTTGAAAGGCAGAGTGACAGAGATCCCATTTTTACTCTCCAAACGCCTGTGACAGCTGGGTCAGACCAGGGTGAAACCAGAAGACAGGTCTCCCACATGGGTGGCAGGAATCCAAGTACTAGGGCCATCATCTGTGCCTTCCCAGGTACATTATCAGTAAGCTGTATTGGAAATGGGGCAACTGGGACTCAAACTGGCAAATGGATAATTTCAAAGCAGCAATTTCACCTGCTGTACCACAGCTCCGGCCCTTGTATTGTAATTCTTAATGTTTAGTGTGAAGAGGAATTTGAACTACTTGAGTACTCCATTTTTCATTGTTAATAGCTATAGATTTTATTTAAATGGTTTCTGTAGGGAGGTTGGAGGTTGCATCTTGCACAGTCACTGTCTTTAGTAGCTGCTCAAATAAACCAGGTTTGATCATTGCTATGGCTTTTCAAGCCTGTCCTAGTGTATGGTCTTAATTTTAAAATAATAAAATGTAACCACCATTTGTCTCACACTGAATGATAAAACATTTCTTCTGCAGACCGACATCAACTTGCCATATCTTACAATGGATGCTTCCGGACCCAAGCATTTGAACATGAAGTTGACCCGGGCTCAATTTGAGGGAATTGTTGCAGATCTGATCAAGAGGACTATGGCTCCATGCCAGAAAGCTATGCAAGATGCAGAAGTTAGCAAGAGTGACATAGGAGAAGTGATTCTTGTTGGTGGCATGACTAGGATGCCCAAGGTATGGACCCATGGAATTTTTGACATAGAAAAGAGGGTTACCCCATAAAACACTTCTGGGACAGGTGGCCTATTTTGCAGATGTAAGCATGTTGCTCTTTTTACCAGGGTGGCTTGAAAGAAGAATAAGATTGTATCCTCACTTAAGGTTTCTGTTCTGCCTTTTTTTTTAGTTGGTATTAAAAAAAAAGTTTAAGGTCTGAGATTGGAATGCTGGTCACAAGCCCTGAGGGTCTTTAGACATGTGTCTTTGTACACTGTGCCTTACTATCTCTTCAACAGATTTTGTGCAGTGATGCATTTTATTTAACAACACATCATTCTGAACTCACAGATGTGTGGAGAACTAATGACTGAGCACAAACCTGTTGAAGTCTGATCATAATTATCCTAGGCTGGAGTTAAGACCCTATATTTTTTATTTTTCCTTTGAAATATGTAGGCCTGGAAATATGCACAGGATAAACCTAAGAAAATTAAAGGCTCTGAGCTAGAGCCTTTTACGTTAAGTTTTCCCAGGTACTATTTAAATACACTTTTTTTTAACCCTAATACGATAAACAGGAGGGATAACCATGTCATTGGTAACAGTATTGCATTATTTCTATGGCTTCCTTTAATTGTGTAAAAGAGAACTTGGAGTATACTATATATATATACATATATGTCCCATTTTACCATTTCAGATGATGAGTAAAGTACGTATTACTGGATCTTTAACAAGATCTGAGCTGTGAACCAGTAATTTGAGTAAACATTGTTGGATCTGAATTAGCCTGCCTTGAGATTTCGTTGAGGTCTTAACACATGCGTGCGCTCTCACTCTTCAGGCAGTTACCCTCGATGTTGGATAATAGATTCTTTCTTCTGTTGCCCAGGTCCAGCAGACTGTGCAGGATCTTTTTGGCCGAGCCCCAAGTAAAGCTGTCAATCCTGATGAAGCTGTGGCTATTGGAGCTGCTATTCAAGGAGGCGTATTGGCTGGTGATGTCACAGATGTGCTGCTCCTGGATGTCACTCCCCTGTCTCTGGGTATTGAGACTCTAGGAGGTGTCTTCACCAAGCTTATTAACAGGAACACCACTATTCCAACCAAAAAGAGCCAGGTAAGAGCCACCCTTTCCTACCTTGTTATTTGAGGAGTGAACCAGTCCCATAACTCCTAGCACCTTGACCTGCCAAAGCCATAATCCAGGACTCCCTAGTGGGTGGCAGGGACCCAGCTACTTGAGCTACTGCCTGCTAACTCCCAGGAGCACATTAGCAAGAAGCTGGAATCTGGAATGGAACAGGTGCTTGAATCCAGACACTCGCGTGGGATGTGGGTATTCCAAATTAACCACTAGGCCAAACACCAACCTTTGCAGCCACTTTTGTGAGCCTTTTTAGAAGAAAAACTTGCTTTCTGTTTGTGGTCCAGACTGGTTGACTGAGGGTGGTGAGAACTTTTTGTTTGGGAGAAGTTCATTATTTGTCAGCTAGCAGTGATTCTATAGGGAGGGCATCAGTAGCCTCTCCTTCACAACATGAACGTAATTTGCTAAAAGGAGGCTCATAGTTTGGGACTGAATGTTCTGTAGTCTTCTGTATTCGAGGACAGTAAAAAGCATACCCTGGCATAGACAAGGGGAGTATGCTTGTATGTGGGTAAATGAGGGTGGGGATCTCAGATACCAAGCAGGGCCATTTAGACATGGCTGGGCCTATCATAAATTATTATTTCCTCACTTTCCCAGTCTTTTTTTCTGAAGAACTGTGGCTGTTGCTGTATTTTTGTAGTGTTTTTCAACATGTCATCCTGAAGAAGTGTGTGGTGGCTTCCTGAACTGAGTGCATACATCACCTGTTTCCCAGATAGCACGTTTCAGCATTTCACCACCTTGTCTTGAGCCCCTCTCTGCTAATGCTACAAAGCAGTAGCTATTGTCTGTCCTTTTGCTGTACTAATCTTACTCTTCTTCCCTGTAAAGATGGGCATTTTTTTCTGAATATAGTGTGTATTAGGATCCTTCCAATGTTGGGATGTGAATTTCTTTGTCTTGCTTGCCTTTTGTCTGTATAAGGGGACTAGTTTAATCACATTGCCAACTCAGGAAATTTTCTTCTTGTAGGTGTTTTCTACTGCTGCTGATGGGCAGACTCAAGTCGAGATTAAAGTATGTCAAGGGGAGAGAGAGATGGCTGGAGATAACAAACTTCTTGGACAGTTCACTTTGGTACGTATTAATGAATCCTGAATTGTGCTCAATTTCCTCATGTAAATGTAGGCTAACCCCTGAAAAGAATACTATAAACTGCTGAGGTACAGCATATCTTGAAAAGGTATGCAGACAGATTGTGGAACTAGATATGACTTCAGTTTTTACCTGAAAAACCTTGCTCTATTAAGTTTATAAAGAGCCAGAGAAAAGTTAAAAAAACAACACTTAAATCAGAGAATTCCTGACTACTCACTTAAAAGACATTTGGTACTTCTGATCAGCATTTCTTATTGGTTTTTGGTGCTACAAACAACAGAAGGGAAGTTTGCTGTCATTTACCATCGCTGAGTCCAGTATAGCCACTGTGACTACTTCGTGTAGTTGACCTTCTGTGGTTATAACCCCTGATGATTTCAGGCACCAATGAAACTACTGCCCTCACTTAAAAACCTGTGTTTATGTATATTAAGTGATGGTATCACTTGTTCTACCTAGGAACTAAGTAATTTGTTTACTAGAAAAGATTGCCTATTTGGAATTAGAAGATTGGACTCATGAGATGAGCTTATTCTGAGTCTTTGTTTACTTATTTTAGATTGGAATTCCTCCAGCACCTCGAGGAGTCCCTCAGATTGAAGTTACATTTGATATTGATGCCAATGGGATTGTACATGTTTCTGCTAAAGATAAGGGCACAGGACGTGAGCAGCAGAGTAAGTCCTTATTAATCAGACTCATAGTTGAGGGACCCCTGTTGAGAAATAGAACCTGTTATTCACATCTTATTCTCCCAGACTCTGGGGAAGGATAATGAGTCCATCCTTTCAGTCCCTTTTATACCTGTAGTGGTGTTTCAGTAGGCATGTAGGCCACATGTTCTAAAGATAAGTTAGGTTTTTTTGTTTCCTTTTGCTTATTATTGGACATTAGGGAATTACTTTTTTTTTTTTTTTTTTTAAGATTTATTTGTATGATAATTACAAGTCATAGAAAGGGAGAAACAGATCTTCCGTTAGCTGATTCACTCCCCAGATGGCTTGCAAAGGCCAGGACTGGGCCAAGCAAGAGCCAAGATCTCCATCCAGGTCTCCCACAAGAGTGGCAGGGGCCCAAACAACCTGGGTCATTCTGCATGGCTTCTCCCATCAGTAGGGAACTGGATCGGAAGTATAACAGCCAGGATGTGAACCTGTGCTCATATGGGATGCTGGCATGGCAGGTGGCAGCTTTACCCACTTAAACCACAACACCTGCCTGAGTTACTCTTCATAATTTGCATCAAGATCAGCTATGAGAAGACATACTCTTTCTTGAGGCAGTAGAGAACAAAGAGGTATATATTTTTTGTCTGGGAATTAATGAGATGGCTTCTTTTTACTGTAGTTGTAATCCAGTCTTCAGGTGGATTAAGCAAAGATGACATTGAAAATATGGTTAAAAATGCAGAAAAGTATGCTGAGGAAGACCGGCGAAAGAAGGTGATAACTTTTTGCCTTTATTCTTAGTGCTTAATTTTAGCAAAGATAGGACATTAAAATGGAAGACTAGACATGATACTGGGCATATTTCTGTTTAGCTTTTCCTTCTGTTTTGACTGTGATAACTTAAGGGTGGAATGGCCCCTCTGCCAGAAATTCTCATATTTAAGACTCCAGCTCTCTCAAATCTATTCCAGATTACCTCAGACAATAATTATTTTTGCCTCTTAAGTGTTTTTACCCTGTATGCAGTAGAAAGCTTATCTTGTTTAGAAAACTTTGGTTGATTAAACTTTTAATTTCTCTAAGGAACGGGTTGAAGCAGTTAATATGGCTGAAGGAATCATTCATGACACAGAAACCAAGATGGAAGAATTCAAGGACCAGTTGCCTGCTGATGAGGTGATTTCTATCTTAAAATAAGGAATAATGGAGGAAGCATTAACAGTGTCAGTGAAGTTCACTTTACTGTGGGTCTTAATAGGGATTTAGCTTTATAAAAATGTATCTGGGGGCCGGCGCCGCAGCTCACTAGGCTATTCCTCCACCTTGCGGCGCCGGCACACCGGGTTCTAGTCCTGGTTGGGGCGCCGGATTCTGTCCTGGTTGCCCCTCTTCCAGGCCAGCTCTCTGCTGTGGCCAGGGAGTGCAGTGGAGGATGGCCCAAGTCCTTGGACCCTGCACCCCATGGGAGACCAGGATAAGTACCTGGCTCCTGTCAACAGATCAGCGCGGTGCGCCGGCCGCAGCGCACTGGCTGCGGTGACCATTGGAGGGTGAACCAACGGCAAAGGAAGACCTGTCTCTCTCTCACTGTCCACTCTGCCTGTCAAAAAAAAAAAAATGTTTCTAGGGGCCGGCGCTGTGGCTCACTTGGCTAATCCTCCGCCTGCAGCACCGGCATCCCATATGAGCACTGGGTTCTAGTCCCAGCTGCTCCTCTTCCAGTCCAGCTCTCTGCTGTGGCCTGGGAGGGCAGTGGAGGATGGCCCAGGTGCTTGGGCCCCTGCGCCCACATGGGAGACCGGGGAAGGCAACTGGCTCCTGCCTTCGGATCTGCGTAGCTCTGGCTGTGGTGGCCATTTGCGGGGTGAACCAATGGAGGGAAGACCTTTCTCTCTGTCTCTCTCTAGACAAACTATTTGTCAAATAAATTAAAAAAAAAAATTAAAAATGTTTCTGATTACTGCTAGATGTGACATGACAGGAGACCTGGAAAAGCAAGAATTTTTGTTTTCTGTTTTTAAGTGCAACAAGCTAAAAGAAGAGATTTCCAAAATGAGGGAGCTCCTGGCTCGAAAAGACAGCGAAACAGGAGAAAACATTAGGCAGGCAGCATCTTCCCTTCAGCAGGCATCATTGAAGCTCTTCGAAATGGCATACAAAAAGGTACACACGCTGAAGGGTTGTTTGGATCCCTAGGTAATTGTAACTGTTCTTGATTACTGTCACTTGTGGGTTCCTGCTCCTTTCATAGACATGTATGTAACTGAGAGGGTGTGCTGAAATTGGAAATAGTCTCTTGCCTTCTTGACTCTAGTTTGGAAGTGAAGATAGTATCAGAAAAGGAATTGCAGGAACCACCAATAATGTATAAGAATATTTTTCATTTGCGTACAACAGAAAACAAACTGTTAGCCCTGAAGTTAAGTGGTTCTCTAATATTCTCTCAACAGATGGCATCCGAGCGAGAAGGCTCTGGGAGTTCTGGCACTGGGGAACAAAAGGAGGATCAAAAGGAGGAGAAGCAGTAGTAACAGCAGTAAATTTTGAAGCTGAAAAGATGGCATATGATGAAGCTTGGGATTGAAGGGACTTCCTGAGCAGAAATGAGCAAACTTCAGTCTTTTTACTGTGTTTTTGCAGTATTCTATATATAATTTCTTTAATATATAAATTTAGTGACCGTTATTAGCAAATGATCGTTTAATGGGTGATAATTGCAACAGTATAGCATTCACTGTGTTTTGTCCTGGCCTGTCACCATTTTTTAGCTGCATGTAAGAGAGGGCAGTACAATTTATTGATAACTATAAAGACTTAACATGGCTTTGTGTGTTCAAGGGGTGAAACCATCTCACACACAACAATAAAGATAGTCAGCCAAAGATCTAGAACAAGACTGGGGATGAGATCTTTTTATGTTAGAAGTACTGCTATACCGAATCTGTGTAAATGGGGTCCTTTAACTGAGGCCTTACTAGGCAAGCCAGTAGCTGTGCCGTGTTTGTAAGTGGGTGGGACAGAAGAATGGAAAACTAAGCTAGCTACTTAAATAGCATCTAAAACAAGGTAGTAATGAGGCTCCCTAAATTTCCCTAAGGCATACTTTTCTAGCTACCTATGGGTCTGTGTCCTGCCACCTCCATCCCTGAGGTTGTTCTTTGGATCCAACTTTTTTTTTTTTTTTTTTTAATAAATATGAAACACATTCTTATCTCTTGTTTTTTAGAATTGAGGCTCTGTGATTGAGCTTTAAGGATATGACATGACTCGTTTTCTCAATGGAGGAAACAAGATTTTCTAATGCTGAGTATCAACATGGGCAGAACTGGTTTCCCAGTTTTAAATTGTGAATCTTGAAACACCATCTAACGTAGGGCTACTATTTTCGGGTTACCTCTAACCACCAAAAAGTCCAAACAGAACTGGCTTACATCAAAGAAACTGCTAACCAATAGTTAGTTTGAAGTTAAGGTTTTAGTGTCTCCAAAATAATAGGTTCCTTCCCTATTTCTTTCCCATTTTGAGTTTCCTGGTTGTCCAGATTCTGTAATGATCACGTTGACTGCTTAAGAAACAGAAAGTGGCTAGGTATTTTTTTGCACACCCTGTTAAGCATTAAGAATTACCAACTTAAGAATTATTCTTCCAGTTTTATGGATTACCATACTGTGACTAAAAGAACCTTTATCAAGAAAATGGACTTAAATCATGAAACTTAATGTCTCCTTTTTATACTGCTGTGTAGAGATACCTAGAAATTGAACTTTTAAAAAACCAATTTAAGAAATCAGATTCCAATGTTAAGGAAATGATCAGACAATAATTAACACTCCTGAAAATTGAGTGTTCATCAATACTCACATAAAAGATGCTTCTGAAAATTATTCTGTGCTTCAGATTTTCAGCTATATTATCAATATATGTTATATCATCAATAAAGGCATACTAGGATTCCCCCAAAAAATAGAGATGGCTCAACATAATTATAGAAGCTGAGGAGTCTATTTTAAGCTGGCAACATAAGAAAACCTGTGTAAAATTCCAGGTACCTGGGCATTTGTTTGGCACACCAGTTAAAATGCAGATGGGGACACCTACATTGTGTGTCACAGTATCTGTGTTTGAGTTCACCTGTGGTTCCAGTTTCTTGTTCCTGCCAAGGCATATGCTGAGAATCAGTAGTGCTGGCTCAAGTACTTGGATCCCTGACACCCATGTGGAAAACCCTTTAGCCTGGCTCAGCCCCAGCTGTTGGCACCATTTGAGAAGTCAGCCAGCAGATAGATTTGTTTCTGTCTTTGAAACCAAAATACATTTTTTAAAAGGTTAAATTCCTAAAAGCCATTGCTGTGGCATAGTAGGCTGGGCCTCTGCCTGTGCTGCCAGAGTCCCATGCAGGCACTGGTTCACATCCCAGCTGCTCTTTCCCCAGCTAGTGCTCTGCCAGTGCCGTGGGAGGGCAGTGGAGGATGGCCTGGATGCTAGGGCCCCTGCACCCACACAGAAGAGCGAAGGAGGCTCCCAGCTCTGGGTCAGCCCAGCTTCAGCTGCTGCAGCTATCTATGGAGTTAGCCAGCAGATCGAGGACCTTTCTTTCTGTCCCTTTCCATGTAGCTCTGCCTCTTGAATAAATAAAAATCTTAAAGTACTAGGCATGGGGAACACTATGGTATTATGTCTAACAGAATCCCAAATTCTGCTTTTTGGTTTTGTTTTGTTTTGTTCTGTCTGGGCCTTTTAACTGAATAATGGCCTGCCGGCATTGAAATAGGCAGTCTGCTTCATCCCAGTTTAGCACTTTTATCTTGTAGGGAAGTGCCCCCATAGACACCCAGAAATGCTGAATCAGGTACCTGGCATACCATCAACTAGTCAAAGGGTCATTATAAAATACCCATCACAAAAGGCAAAACCAAATCGTTTGGTTTTATTTTTAGTGTTCATCCCAAAAGTAACTTGTGATTTCTCTCTTCCTCTTTTCCTAATTGGCCTTAGCCATCTCAAAAGTTAATGTTTCTTAGGGTTGCACAAAGTTAAAAGAGCCTGGAATCAGCAAATTTTAACATCCAGAATCACCACTCCTACTCCGTTTAGTGTTACATTGCCACCTGGATGATTCCAGTTTTAACTGGGCTTCTGTTTATACCCTGGGTCTTTCCCACAGCATTCAGATAGCTGTGACTCCTGCTGAAAGCTCTGCCAAAGGCCTCTGACCACAAGCTTCATGTGCTCTGGTGTTTCCCCCTCTCTCAATTTATCTTGGCGGCCTTTACCTCCAGATTTCAACTTGGTTCACTCACTTTTTGCATAATGTTATGACCTATCATTAAATAAACCCTCCTCAAGTCCCTCTCATTTCCTATTTTCTTGTTCTCCTCTTTGGCCATGGTAGTATCAATTTATTGTCGTAAAATGCAACCTCCATGAGTAACTTTGCTTCACTGCCGTTTCCCAGTGCCGAACACATACACAAATCAGCATTCTCATCTCAGTATTGGAGACAACCTATGAAGAACCCAGTTAAAACTGCTGCTTGGAATGCTCACGTTCCTTAATGGGAGTGTCTGATATGAGTCCCAGCTCATTTGCTTTTCATCCAGTTTACCCTGAATGTGCATCCTGGGTGAAGGAGATGCTCAGTTTGGTCCCTGCCATCCATGTGGAAGACCCAGATGGAAGTTCCAGGCTCCTGGCTTCAGCTGTCCCGGCCCTGGCTAATGGAAGATCTCTCTTTGCCTTTAAAATAAAAATGAAAATGTTTTTAAAAAATAGAAATGTAGCCTGCCTGAGGTTTTCCAGAACCAGTAAAGAAAATTATACTGACCAGAACAAACACCATCTTGGTCCATTTTGTGCTACTATAACAATATATGAAGGAAAAGGAGAGAGAGATCTATCTGACTCCCCAGATGGTCACAACGGCTATGGCTGGGCCACACTTGAACCAGGAGCCAGGAGCTTGAGCTTCAGATCTCCCTCGTGGGTGATAGAGACCCAAACACTTGGGTCATCTGCTGCTTTTCCTGGGCCATTAGCAAGGAGCTGGATCAGAAGTGGAGCAGCCAGGACTTGAACAGGGCCCATATGGAATACCAGCATTGCAGGTAGCTTTTCCCTCTACACTGGCCACCTATGTGATCTTGAAAAAAATAAATGCTATTTAGACAGGTGGATTTTTTTTTCCAACTTTTGAAATTTACCAATCTAAGAACTCTAAGCATACTATCATGGGGGCCAGTGTTGTGGTGCAGGTTAATCTGTGCCACCAGCATCCCATATGGATGCCAGTTTGAGTCCCAGCTGCTCCTCTTCCAGTCCAGCTCTCTGCTGTGACCTGGAAAAGCAGAAGATGGCCGAAGTGCTTGGGCCCCTACACCCACACAGGAGACCACCGGGCTCCTGGCTTCAGATCAGTGCAGCTCCGGCTGTTGCTCTCTTTCTGCCTTTCAAATAAATAAATAAATCTTAAATACCTCAGGACTGTGTTAGACAACTTTTCTGGGGAAATGATCCCTTGCTTTCAGTTGGTTTCTTGAAATAGTCTGTGACCTATACAGCTTCCCTATCTGGGAAATCAAATACCTTAGTAGCTTTACTGGCTTAAATTCAAGGGAAACCTTTCTGGTTCCTAACTGCTCCTGCCATCTGCCATCCACTCAATAATGTCTGCCTTGTGGTTTTTTGTTTTTGTTGTTGTTTGTTTTTTTTTTTACAGGCAGAGTTAGAGAGGAAGGTCTTCCTTCCGTTGGTTCGCTCCCAGATGACTGCTACGGCCAGCGTGCTGCCACCTGCGCACCACGCCAATCCGGAGCCAGGAGCCAGGTGCTTCCTCCAGGTCTCCATGCAGGTGCAGGGCACAAGCACTTGGGCCATCCTCCACTGCCTTCCTGGGCCACAGCAGAGAGCTGGACTGGAAGAGGAGCAACCGGGACTAGAACCTGGGGTGCCAGCACCGCACATGGAGGATTAGCCTAGTGAGCCACGGCGCCGGCCCTATGTCTGCGTTTCTTAAGCATACTTGGTTTACCTACCTCCTCCATGAAGCCTGCCCCACTCAACCCACATCAACCATTACACTCAAATTGTCTTGTTAACTTCTTAACGTTCAAATTAGCAAGTTGGCTTTTTTTTAAAAAAAGATTTATTTATTTGAAAGGCAGACTTACAGGCAGAGAAAGAGAGGTCTTCCATCTGTTGGTTCACTTCCCAGTGGCCACATTGGCCGCAGCTGGACCGATCCAAACCCAAGAGCTTCCTTCAGGTCTCCCACGTTGGTGCAGGGGCCCAAACACTTGGGCCATCTCCCACTGCTTTCACAGGTGCATTAGCAAGGAGCTGGATCAGAAGTGCAGCAGCAGGGACTCGAACTGACACCCATATAGGATGCTGGCACTGCAGGCAGCAGCTTTACCAGCTACGCCACAGTGCCAGCCCAGGACCTTATCTCTTATTTTCCCCATCTTACTTTGGATTATTTTGAAACAAATTCCAGAATTCATAATTTTACCCAAACATTGTATACCTCTAAAAGCATTATTCTATAAAATCCATAATTTTGATACCAAAAAAAAGCATCTCCTTAATAGCAAACACCAAGTTTTGAGTTTTTCCCAATACTTTCTTAACTTCAAAACAGATTTGAGTGAGGAATCAGACAACGGTCTGAGTTAGCTTGGTTTACAGGTTGCCCAAGTTTATAGACTTACCTGCCTTTTATTCTCCCTTGTAATTTGTTGAAGAAACTGAACCACTGGTCCTGCAGCATCACCTACATTTTAGAGGTTACAGACTGAATCCCTGTTGTGTCATTTAGCAGTTTCCCAGTTCCCACTTAATCATTTAAGTTCAGGGACTCAGGTTCAGGGTATTGCCCTTAGCAAATCTTTGTACAATCATCTCTTTTCTGCCTTCCCCATCTTGGCTATTCTTGAATTGGCCTTCATATTTTCAGCCAATTAATCTTATTCTTTGGACAAGAGTACTGTGGGTTTTTTTTTTCTTTGTTTTGTTTTGCTTTTGACAGGCAGTTAGACAGAGAGACAGAGACAGAGAGAAAGGTCTTCCTTCCATTGGCTTACCCCCCAAATGACCGCTACGGCCAGCGCACTGTGCCAATTTGAAGCCAGGAGCCAGGTGCTTCTCCTGGTCTCCCATGTGGGTGCAGGGCCCAAGGACTCGGGCCATCCTCCACTGCCCTCCTGGGCCACAGCAGAGAGCTGGACCAGAAGAGGAACAGCCAGGACAGAATCGGCGCCCCAAACTGGGACTAGTACCCAGGGTGCTGGCGCCGCAGGCAGAGGATTAGCCTAGTGAGCTGTGGGGGCAGCCAAACAGTACCGTTCTTAATCTGTGCTTTCAGCATCAAAACTCACAATCCATCTCTAGTCTCCCTAAATTCCACACATTGGGAATATCACCTATGTCCCAATATTTAACAAGATTATCTAATGTCAGAGCCACAGAAGTAGTTCTGAGACCACTGTGAACAATTACAGAGAATCTGAGGCTAGAGGGATTATACAGTCTATCTTCACCATATAACAGTTTTAAAAATTCTGTATCACCCTTCTAACACACAAAGTTCTTCCTCAACACTGGATGGTCACAGTCCCATTTAAAAAGGCTCTGCCTTGCTGAAAGGACTAGGATTTCAGCTCCATTCCCCCAAAATCTCTTCTACTATTCATCACAGCCTTTGTCTCTAATGTACTGATTTCCAATTCTAAATGGTGAGATGATGAATTTGTACCTACTGGTCAATTGAGATTTGGGGGCTACAGTAAAATTGCCTAGGTCTGCAATATCCTAAGAAACAAGTTTGATGAATTCAAAGGCTAAAAAGTGGCAATCCTATCTGGGATGTTACAATCTTACTTCCGTATGAATCACACAGAAAATAAACACACCTAAATAGACCTAAAGCAACGCCACAAACACAAACCTAACAAGTAGGAAAGACAGACCAAGACAACCTAACACCAGGAACTGAGACAAGGGAAATGAAGTAGGGAAAAAGTTGGGACACACTGTAGTCTGTAAACAGTGTTTACAACTATTTTAAAAGATGTCACTGCAGGTCTCCGCCTGTAGTACTGTGCCTGCTCAAATCCCAGCTGCACCACTTCCAATCCAGCTCCCTGGTAATGGCCTAGGAAAGCAGTAGATGGCCCAAGTGCTTGGGTCCTGAACCCACATGGGAGACCTGGAAGAAGCTCCTGGTTTTGGAACGGCCCAGCTCCGGCTGTTGCAGCCATTTGGGAAGTGACCCAGCAGATGGACGATCTTTCTCTCTTTCTCCCTCTGTCTCTGTAACTCTGCCTTTCAAATAAATAAATTTTTAGGGGCCAGCGCTGTGGCACAGTGGGTTAAAGCCCTGGCCTGAAGCACTGGAATCCCATATGGGCGCCAGTTCTAGAACTGGCTGCTCCTCTCCCGATCCACCTCTCTGCTATGGCCTGAGAAAAGCAGTAGAAGATGGCCCAAGTCCTTGGGCCCCTGTACCCCTGTGGGACACCCGGAAGAAGCTCTTGGCTCCTGGCTTCAGATCAGCGCAGCTCCGGCTGTTGCAGCCATCTGGGGAATGAACCAGTGGATGGAAGACCTCTCTCTGTAACTCTGTCTTTCAAATAAAATAAATGTTTTATAAGTAAATAAATCTTTAAAAAAATAAGTACAGTGAGCGGTACACAGTAGTGCGATATTAAAAAACCAATGAACACACACTGAAAACTATTCAACCTAAGAGATTTCTTCCTGTGAATTCATTTCCTGGGAGAGGGATAAGCTCAACAGAAGTGTATCCCATCCCAATAGAATATAGATAATTAAGTCAGTGCATGATAAACTGCACTGGCCACTGAACTTGGAGACTGGAAGCTATAAACTAGCTGTATGAGCAATTCCCTTTCACTTTTCTTTGCCACAGATTTCCTATGTATGAAATGGGGATAATACCCCACCTCCAAAGTGTCGGCAAAGAAAACATGCAAAATATTCAAGGCCCCCATACAAATCCAATTGCATGACTGACCTCACATAAGCCAACCTCAACGTTAATAGGCCCTGATGAAATTCTGAATCATACCCCCCAAAGAGGAAGTGGCTCCTCACCTCTGCCACGCCAGTAAATGTCATCATTTCGGTACTCTGGGCGCCATTCTTGCTCTTCCTCATCCTCCACATCCAATCCACCAACCAGTCCTGCATACTGTAGCCCTCATACACACTGTATCATTACCCATGCCCTCCACTGCCACCCTGGACAAGGTTACAATCCTCTCACTGGAGACTGAAGTAGCCAAAACGGTCTCTAAGCTTCCACTTTTGCTCTCTCCACCCCACGCGAGGGCTCTACCCACGGAAAAGAAGCCAGACTCCAAACCCTGACTTAAAAAGGGCCCTGATATTTCTCTGCCGCTTCTCCACAGCACTCTCCCCATTCCTGACCTCCCTGCGGCACACTGTCTCGTCTGTCGTTCCTCAAACGGGGAGGCTCCCTCTGGACAAACTCCTACTTAGCTTGTGGGTCTCATTTCACAGTTGGGTCCCCTGTCACAAACTCTCAGACCACCTTGAAGCACTTAAGCATCCGCTCATTTTATTACACAAAAGTATAAAGTCGCAAACAGTTATAAATGCACCTAGACCCTACTAACGGTCACCTGTTTCGTTCACCCCTGAATCCCCAGGAAATCAGGATCTAGTACCCCGTCTGAACTAAAATATATATGTGCACGAATGCCAAGTGCAGTGAGAGGAGGCACAAAGCAGCCTAGCTCCGTAAGACAAGCACTAACTCGGTTTGCTTCAACATCCAGCAGCTCAGACCCAACCACTCACGGGGTCCGATGCCTCAAGTCGCCTACCTCCGGCAGCCCCTGTTTCTTCAACCCCACAAAGTCCCAAGCACTGCGGCCACAGGCAACATGCCGGTTTCGCTCCTGAGGGTGAGAGTCCACTCTGGAGCCGGACAGGCCCCTATTCCGAATCGCTGGTCGAGACGGAACATTTGTTGGCGCAGCCGTGACGCACTCAGGCCAGAGCACTTCGTCACCGATGAAGCCGCGAGGCTTGAAGGGCTTACTTTGAAGGCTCCTCGGGCGCCATTCCCCACCGCGCGCGTCCGGACCCGAGGGTCCAGCTTTGCGTCGCAGAGCTTCAGACGCCCACTTCTGTTCAAAGAAGAGGGACGCAGAAGATGATGACTCCGGCGTCTCGCCCTTTAAGAACCCCCATACAACTGGCGGGGCGCTGGATAAACCCTCGCGAGAGCCGCCCGCTTCCTCTTGCTTCCTCCTCTCAGTTTGCCGGGCCGGAAGAAAGGCGGCACCTCCAGCCCCCCGGCCTCTACCTCACAAGACAGCGCGGCCCCCGCTGCGACCAATCAGCGTGCTCATTGTAGGCCGCGGCGCCGAGAACCAATGGAAAGTCGCGGCGCGCGCAGCGCCTCCCTTCGTCCGCACCGGCCCCCTCCCTTCCGCCCGCCGCCTTCCACTCCGCCTCTGGCGGAGGAAGTGATGTCACAGGCCCCATGTGAGCGGATTGCAACACATGCAGCTGCCTGGAGAGAGGGAGCCGGTGTCCTACGTCAGAGCCGCCGCCGCGGAGCCGCCGCCGGGGAGGAGCAGCCGCTGCCGCCCAGGACTGGGCCCTTAGGTAAGTCAGCGGAAGGGAGAGCCCAGCGACCTACGCGGCGGTCCGCGCGGGGTGGGGAGAGGAGGGCCTCTCGGGGGCGGCGAGGAAGGGGGCCGCTCTGCCCCAGCGGCGGCGCTAACTCTGTGGTCTTGGTGTCTCCGGGCCCCGCCGGGCCGCTCTAGGGAGGAGGAGGCGAGAAGATGGCGGACGACCCCAGTGCTGCCGACAGGAACGTGGAAATCTGGAAGATCAAGAAGCTCATTAAGAGCTTGGAGGCGGCCCGCGGGTGAGCGCCGCGTCCGGCCCCCCCGTGCCCTCTTGGTTCCCGGACCCCTCAGGATGGCCGCCCCCGCGCCGCATGGTCGGATGAGGAGAACCAGGCACTAGCCAACTCCCGCCTTCTGGACCTCCGGGTAGTAGCCCCTGACGCCGGGGCCGAGGGTCGGCGCGGTTGGCCTGAATAGGGGTTCTTCCCCCGCTTGGGGGTAAGGGGCCCGCGCTCCCGGGGCTCAGACCGCTCGGCCCCCCTCGTGATATTACACTGCTACTTTTGTACCCCTCTCGGGCCCTCAAATCCAACTCCTTACTCGTCAGGCTTCAGGTGCTGCCGGCCGAGTCGGGTGCTGCTGGGGGAAAGGGCTCGGCCTTCCTTTCCGATCGCCCTTCCCTGATTTCCTCTCTCCGTCTCCCTTCATGCCCTTAAGCAGGGCCTCATTAAAATGGCCACCCCCTCCTGGGCTCCTTAGGCCCGGGTGTGTGAAGTTTAGATGGGACGGGACGGGACGGGGAGTGACCGGAGACATCCTCCTCCTGACTCCCTTGATTTCTCTGGGTCTTCCACCTTCCCTGAGATGACTTCCGCAAGTCCTCTCCTTACGCCTGGAGCTTCCTGGTTTCAGCTCTTCCAAGACCCGCCTATAAATTGAAACTGCCAGCGTGTGCGGGATGGAGGGTGGGTAGGATAGGTTTTGGCTGATGATCTGGATGTGTATGTGCCGGACGGAGGAGTCCCTGTTGGCCTTTTTCTGGAACTTTGAGGATGTCACTGGAGAGGTGCTTGATGTACTGGTGCTTGTTAAATTCAGAACTGAATTAAGTGGGCTGTGAGTCTCCACTTGAAAGTTTTGATAACAAACTGTAGGTGTGTCCATTGTGGGAAGAGTAGGCTAGATTAAAATTAACCGTGGTTTTTTTTTTTTTTTTTAACGTTGCTCATTTAAGGAAGGTGTGCCAATGGTGTTCTTGTTTCCTCAGTTTACTACTTTATTTTGTCCCTTTCCCAGACATAGAAACCTTTTACTTACAGGGTCGTTTCCCCCTCCCCCCCAAAAAAAGTGTTTGGAACATTTTGTATTGATATTTCTGAGCATTCTTAGAATAATTAGTGGTTTGTCCCAGGCCATGTGTAAAGTTGATTTCAGCCCAAGAATTAGACATTTTGGGTTTTGGCCCAGGTTTGTCATTGAGAGGTAGATTTGCAATGGTGGGATGACCAGATGACCACCTCTCCCAGCTCTTTATTATTTTTTGAAACCATGTGCTTAATTCTACTGAAAGCCCAGGGTTAACAGGCTGGTTTTGCTGTGGTGTGTCGTTCTTAATAAATTAGCAGTGAGCGGTTCTGTGACTTGGACTTTTGCTCACTCCATTGGTGTGCTGGAGAAATTAACATGAACTGAAGGTAACAACTCATTTTTTGTTCCTTAGGTTTTTCTTTGGATTTGATAGAACATTCACACCGACTTAGTGATCTAACAGGAACTTGTGCCATATAATAGAGTGAATAATTACTCCCAAATGTGAGAATCAGGTTCAGGAAGGGTAATATAGGTCATGACCCATTATAATACATTACCCGGAATTAGCCAGGTTCCTTTGTTTCACTTGGAGCTTCTGTTGTGTTATTTGAACTGTTCATTGACTTTTACAGATTGTTGTGTTTAAAGTTGGATGTCACCTGTGAATTTATTCTTGTGACTTTAGAGACAGGTTCATAGTTACAATTTGCATTGTATTCTTTGAAAAGCAGTTTAAAATATTAATTTGCCACTGTAATTTGCTTGTTGTCTGAGTGAAGAAACATTCACAATAACACTGCTTAATAAATAACAGCATTCCTTTCTACTGCTTGATGAAGGAAGCTCATTCTTAAATTTACTCCTAGGCATATTACATAGTGACTCTGAAACTTTTAAAACCCTCTTTAAAGCTTTTGAAAACTTTTTATCTTTTTGGTTAGCCAGGTTTGGTAAAGCTTAAAGAATGCCAAAAGTGAAAGTTTTTAGGCATGATTTGTCTTCCAAGTGATAGAGTTTAAACATTTTAGACAGGATTTAACTCTAAAATTTCTGGGAGATGTTCGTCTAAATAAATAAGTCATGTTTTACTTTGCTTTTAGTTAGGATTTGGTTGCATCTTGATCCCACATGAAAATCTGAAAGCTTGGCCATCTCTGGGTATTGATTGGGAAGTTAGAAGTTTATTCTGTGGCTCAGAAGTTTACTATTATACATCAGTTTCTTCTGGGAAATAGCAAGATTGTATTTTCATTGACTTGATTTTCATAGCGTACAATGAGAAGTATTTCTCAATACTAAGATATTTTTAGGACAATTGTATTGGACTTTTAAAGACAAACGATGGTGAAATAAATCCTGCCTGCTGGTGTTTATGGGGTACCATGTGGGTTTCAGGAACAGACTGAGGTTGTGTTTAATCATGATTATTAGCACAAGGCACTGAAGCTTGGTGATGGGTTATCAGAACTGTTTTAGAAGTGTAAAAGCGCATTTTTCTTCCTCTTGTCCCCCAAGCAGTGTGGAATTATGGATATGAGAATCAAGGATTGGTTTATTTTTAATACTAGCTATGAAAGTCTGTTAGAATAAATAATTTGAGATTAAGGTTGTCACAATATAATCGTCTCGATACATAACGAAAACAATGTAGCTTTAAAAAGGACCACCTGCAAAATAGACTTACAGAGTACATCTGAACAGAGTCAAGTACCCAGGCAGAATAATTTTTTGAGGACTTAGTATGTTGTAGGCGCTGTTGTAAGCTGTGCTTTGTGTCATTTAATCTCACAACAGTATGTACTGCCACCATTTGACAAGACAGCTGAGGCTGAGAGGTTAGAAAAATTAATGTCCAAAATGTCACAAAAATGATAGAGTCCAAAACTTGATCCACTGTGCTACACCATATGTATTTACTCAAAAAATATAAAGCTAGATTTACTCATTTCAATCTGAGCTATAATAAACTATATTTTATTATGTCTGTGGAAGATCATTTAATAGGGATCAAATTATTAAAATGGGGAGTTTACTAGTATTTGTTTTTTTTAACTAGCAATATGCTTAATCTTTTTTGAGTTGAAGTGAATATACTTACCTGCCTTGTTTCATATAAGACCAGTGAGTATTAGTGTGTGCTGGTTAATTCTACTATATGTAAGCCCCACTTAAAGTGGGTGGTAGTTTGTCCCTGTTTATGGTTGGCTTAGAAAGACAAAACCAGAACTAGAGTAAAACTGTGGATTTGGGTGTCTTAAATAAGGAAATAAAACAGGTGAACATGTGTTACAAGAAAGATAGATGGGGATTTTTTTTCCTCTGTTGTGTTTTTTGAGTAGTCCAGAAGTAGCCCCAGAAATAGTGTTGAAAGCTTTATAGTTTGCAGGTAATAAAATCACGACCAGAGCCTGTTCTAACCAAGGACAGCAGAGAATGTGATAAAGAAAGTGTTATTTTGGGTTAAGTTGTGTCTAGGTGATATTTTTTTACTTATCTTCTCTAGTATATATTTCAAGTATAAATTGTCAATAGAAATAGAAATAACCTGATTATATGTAACTCTTTTCCTGCCCCCACATATAACCATTTAAAGACTCTGTACAGACAGCTCACATTATGTTGAATTAAAAGTTAATTGAGATCATTAACTTCTTTAAATCTTAGATAAATAAGGTAAACAGATTATATGGGTTTTGTTAAACCTTATTAGGTTTTTTTTTTTTTTTTTTTTTGAGATTTATTTATTTGAAAGTCAGAGTTACACAGAGAGAGAAGAGGCAGAGAGAGAGAGAGAGTTCTTCCATCCGATGGTTCACTCCCCAATTGGCCGCAATGGCAGGAGCTGCGCCAATCCGAAACCAGGAGCCAAGAGCTCTTCCAGGGCTCTCACGTGAGTGCAGGGGCCCAAGGACTTGGGCCATCTTCTATTGCTTTCCCAGGCCACAGCAGAGAGCTGGATCAGAAGTGGAGCAGCTGGGTTTCGAACAAACACCCATATGGAATACTGGCACTTTAGGCCAGGGCATTAACCTGCTGCACCACAGCACCAGCCCCTGGATTTTTTAAAATCTATATAATTTGTGTAAGTTGAAGTATGCTAAATGTTTTTGCTTCCCCATGTGAACATTGTTGATAGAATATTCACCTAAATGATGATACAAGGAATGTTGTCAAATCACTATACTACAGGTACTTTTTAAACTTTGACATCTGGATATCCTTGTAGGGCTAGTTGTAACTAAATTGATACCTTGTAGTCTTTCATACAGATTTCTGGACCATTCAAGGTTTAGACTCTTAAGACTTTTTTTTCCTGTCTTCTGTTTTAGCTTTTTCCCCAATCACTGATAGTTAGATAAAAGACCATTTGAGAGAAAAGTCAAGTATTAGAATGTTACAAGTTTTGTGAGAAAGATGATTCTGGACCCCGTAACTACAGAGCTCTTGGTGGTCTCTAACTTATGAGCTGTTTGAAGCTGTGGGAAGTTATTCTTTTCAAGCCTGGGTTTCCATAAGCGTAACTATGGACCATGATCTTGGATTGGGTGGTAACAGTCATGAAAATATGAGTTAAAAATGAGGAAAGACTGTATAAAGGGTAGAGAGATGAGAGTATACGTGATAGTTTGTGGTACTGTTCCTCAGTTTCCCCCAAGTGTCATAAGCTGCCTGCCTCTACTCAGAGCTAGTTCTAATACCCATTGTATTTTGGCTTGGTATTCTGCACACTGTGGACCTAATGAACAATTACTCTCTTTGAATTTCAACTCTTGACAGGCTTCTCATTGTAATAGCAGATACACTTACCCTTCCAGTGAAGGAAGGCTTACTCTGGACACACTCCTAGGTAAGCAAGAGAACCTAATTAGAATGCCAGTTAAGGCAGAATACAATGTAGGTTATGGACTTGTCCTGTCTTTTACACGTACACCAGTTGGATCCGTTTCACAGAGGGCCTTTTTTCTTTGAATTTGCGGTTAATAATATGCAAAGCACAGCACAGCCACCTATGTTCGGAATATTTGGTTTGAGAAAACTTCAGGTGTCAGCTTTGCAGCCCTGCTAAATGGTCTTAGATGCTATTTGAAGAAGGAGAAGGAGAAATTGGCCTTTCTACTGCTGAATCTGTCCAGCTGGGAACTTGAACAACAAATTTCTTCTTGAGTCCAGCCTGTTTTCCAGGGATCTCAGAATAGAATCTTCTCCTAGGATACATTCTGTAGGTGTGTCTTAATTCTTCAGCACCAGCCTGCTACTTAGCGAAGGGATTGGGGCGCTTCGGGGTTCTTTTCCAGCAGGTTAGAAATTATGAGGTTTCTCCCTGGGGCACTCTCTTGAGCATGATGAAGCTCATTCTGATAACAGCTATATCTTATTCTGTTGGACACACTTTGGACCCTTGCCTACTGTCTTCATTGTCATATCTTTCCCTCCAGGTTCAGGGCTTGACATTTTCAGATCACCTTTAGAAGAATGATCCTAGTCAAAGCACATCTAGCTATTTTCCCCCAAACACATGTAGGTGAAAAATGAAGCTCATAAATGTGTTTTTACTGTTAGCTGGTTTCTGTGCGTTAACCACTAGACATTTTGGAAGAAGTCTGTAATAAAATTAGAACATGGTCTGCTACATAATGCTGGAGTGCTAATAAACCATATATAGCCTCATATTCCTACGCACACAAAAGCAAAGCACATAGTGAAGGGGGTTTCACAGGATTGGGGTCTTGAGTGAGGTGTTCATCGTTGTCAAAAAGGAAAAGAGATTGTTGTGTAACTATTCAGGCAAAATGTAGCAGATTTCCTAGGCAAGGCAAGCCAGTGTTACAAAGTGTTACTTTGAGCATTAGTTCTGTTTGGCTGATACAGTAACTTTGATACAGTGATGGAGTGGAACTGTCACTGATCTGCAACTTTGAACTGATTGAAAATCATTCTCAATTAAGTGCCAGCTAGCCTAAAAGTATATTGAAAAGCTTTGTGTTAGTTGATGGTAAGCTGTCAGGGAATTGAAATAGTGCAGAACATTTGTACATACGTGCTTTGTTGGTAAAGTTGGCATGGCAAAATTTAAGGCAATCTTAACACAACTTTTTCAGCCTAAACTTACAGGAAATGAATATGTACTTGTATTTATCCCCAAGCATTAATGCCTTTATATCTCTGGTATTTTTAGCTTTTTACTGAAAAGAATTCCTTTTTCTTGATGTGCGACACTATTTTGTGGTCTTACTAACTTGTTGAACAAAGTAGAGCCTCAGTAAAGACACAGGGTTAGAAGTTCAGACGTGAGATATATGTTAATCAAATGCTGAAACTAGTTTTCTGAAGATAATAGCATGTTCTTCTTAACACTGTGTAGGGAAAGCTATTACCTGTGCATGTAAGAAGAATTTGAAGTACAGAGAAAGTAACTGTCTAATATCACAGCCTACTAAGTGGCAGTGCTAGATTCTGTTGCCACTCTTCTGATTTCAAAACCTAACTGACCCTAACTTGTACTATACTACCTTGTTCTTTGGAAACTGTTTCTTTTACTGAATAGAAACATTTCTTACCCACTTCTGAAAGGGAGACTCCTGTCCAGAGAGACTTGTAATTTACTAGGGGGAGCAGGTGTGCTGAAACCCAGAGGCAAAGTTGGAAGGAAAATAGACATGCTATTTGTACTTCTACCCTAGGAAGAACATCAGTGGTGAGGGAAATAACTTGTTGCCAAATCGCTCTCCAGAAGCTCATTTGTGTATTAAAAAGGTTAACAAGAAGGCAGTGACTTTTGCCTTATAGAAAAGTATTTCCATAGTGGTCAAGGAAGAAAAAGACTCTATCATTTGTAGGATCCCATATAGAACATTGGTAGTATGACCCTAACTCAACTGTGTTTGCGTTTCCTGGCTCTGCACTGTTAGGAAAACACGAAAGAAATTTTCCACCCTTTGCTCCTCCTCAGTGGAATATTCCACTAGGCTAGTTTTGTAAAATTCTTTTATTTACTTTTTCTAAGATAAAGTCAGTGCCTATAATTGTAGAAAAAATGTTCCACCAGAAGTGTACTTTGTGTTAGATGGCTGCCTAATCTTTGTGTTTTTGGAGATAAAACACTTTAATAAAAATTTCTATTAAGTATCTGCTGAAAATTGTTGAGACATCGGAGTTACTCTGAATCCTGTGATAGAGGCTACTTTAATGTTTCAGAAAGTTCTTGGTACCTTTCCCATCTGTTAATAGCATCAGACCCTAAAGTTAATTGCTTGAGCCAATTTCAGGTAACTTTCATAGGTCCTTTGAACAGTAACAAAATTATTCTTTCTAGTGCTTCTTTCTTTATAGATTTATCTATTTATTTAAAAGTCCAAGTTACTGAGAGATCTTCCATCCACTGGTTCACTTTCCAGATGACCACAGCAACCAGGCTGAAGCCAGGAACTTCTTCCAGGTCTCCCACATGGTTAGCAGGGCCCAAGCACCTGGGCCTTCTTCCACTGCTTTTCCCAGGCCGTCAGCAGGGAGCTGGATTGGAAGTGGAGAAACTCGGATACAAACCAGTGCCCATAGGGGATGCCAGCTTTGCAGGTGGTGGCATTACTCCCTATGCCACTACACCAGCCCCAAGGGAAATCTTCCATCTACTGGTTCATTCCTCAAATGGCCGCAATGGCCAGGGCTGGGCCAGGCTAAAGTCAGGAGCCTGGAACTCCATTCAGGTCTCCCATGTGGGTGTCAGGAACCCAAGTACTTGGACCATTTTCTGCTGCATTCCTGGGTGCTTTATTAGGTAGCTGGATTAGAAATTGGGCAGCTGGGAAGTGAACCAGCACTCCTATGGTATGCTGCTGTCACAGGCGACGGCTTAACCTGCTGTGCCACAATTTTGAGCCTTCTAACCAAGCTCTTTAAACAAGGCAACTCCTTGTATAAAGGTATGTCTGCCTCCTAACCTATCACTTAATGATGGCAGTAGCAGTGATGGAGAAGGACATCACAGTGAATTTCAATGAAGTAAAAAGACGTGAAAGTGTTGGTCTTGTTAGGGTAAAAACTAAAGTGTAAAAAACACAGCTTTACGCAGTGCGCCAGCCGCGGCGGCCATTGGAGGGTGAACCAACGGCAAAGGAAGACCTTTCTCTGTCTTTCTCCCTGTCCAAAAATAAATAAATAAATAAAAATTAAAAAAAAAAACACACAGCTTTAAATGAGATGAAAACTGAGGGCTGGCATTGTGGTACAACCAGCTAAGCTGCTGCCTGCAATGCCAGTATCCCATATAGGAATGCTAATTCAAGTCCTAGCTGCTCTGCTTCCAACCCAGCTCCCTGCTTTCATGCCCGGGAAAGCAGTAGAAGATGGCCCAAGTACATGGGTCCCTGCCACCCAAGTAGGAGACTTACATGGAGCTCTGGAATCCCAGGTCCTGGCCATTGTGGCCATTTGGAGAGTAAACCAGCAGATGGAAGACCTCTCACTCTCCCTTTCAAATAAATAAATTAATTAAATTGGTGTTTTATTTGGTGGTTGAGAATAGATCTCTGGTGTCTGCATAGAAGAGAGTATATTGAGGAAACTGTATTTTTTAAAAAGACATTTATTTGAGAGGCAGAGAGATCTTCCATCCACTGATTTCACTTCTCAAATGTCCAAAATGGTTGGGGCTGGGCCAGGCTGAAGCCAGGAGCCTGGAACTCCCATCTAAGTCTCCCAAATGGGCGGCAGAAGCCTAAGCACTTGGGTCATCTTCTGCCTTCCCAGGTGTGTTAGAAAGGATTTGAACCAGAGCCCATATAGGATACTGGCAGCTTAAGCTACTGCACTACAAGACCAGGCCCCAGTACTGTTTTTTGATGTTAAAAATTAACCATTTATTCATTCATCAAATATGTGAGCACTACTTTGTGGTAAAATGATTTCTCCACCACTGTACACCCCTCCCAGAAGCTTACACAGACCTAGCGTTAGCAATGTGTGTTTCATGATTTGATTCTTGGTGGGAGAGAGAATAGAAGTCAGGTGTCAGTGCCTTTGATTAGCCTAGTATACTTTTCTTCAAGATTTATTTATTTGAAAGGCAGCGTTTTTGTGGGGGTTTTTTGTTTTTTTGTTTTTTTTTTTTTGTTTTTTTGGACAGGCTGAGTTAGACAGTGAGAGAGAGAGAGACAGAGAGAAAGGTCTTCCTTCAGTTGGTTCACTCCCCAAATGGCTGCTACGGCCGGCACACTGTGCCAGTCCAAAGCCAGGAGCCAGTTGCTTCCTCCTGGTCTCCCATGCGGGTGCAGGGACTCAAGCAGTTGGGCCATCCTCCACTGCCTTCCTGGGCCACAGCAGAGAGCTTGGACTAGAAAAGGAGCAACCGGGACAGAATCCGGCGCCCTAATGGGGACTAGAACCCGGGGTGCTGGCGCTACAGGTGGAGGATTATGTCAGTGCCCTTTGAAGTCGTTGATCTCTTGGTTATCTCAAAATACTAATTGTATGCTACAGCTGTAGGCTAGAGCCACTTATGCTTTTATATAATACAGGTAATTAAAATTTTACAGGAGAGAGGGGCGGATGTTGTAGCAAGCAGAGCAGGTTAAGCTGCCACTTGCAACTCCAGTATGCTGTATGGGCATAACATTTCAAGTCCTGGCTGCTCCACTTCTGATTTAGCTCCCTGCTAATGCACCTGAGAAAACCACATGGGAGTCCTGGCTGAAGTTCCTGGATCCTGACTTTAGCCTGGTCCAGCCCTGGCTGTTGCAGCCAATTGGGAAGTGAATCAGCGATGGAAAATTCTGGAACTTTGCCTTTCAAATAAAATCTGGGGAAAAAAAAAGTTTCAGGGGGAAACAAAGCTTTAGTTCTCCCTTAACAATAGATAGACATTGACACTACCTGACAGTCCTTCTCCCTTTATTTCTAGCTATATTTTGGTACTTTTTTTTTTTTAATGAACTATTAAAGGGAAGGAGTAGATGAGGAAAAGACCTGGAGCTCCATCTAGTTATACTTAGTGGTGACTTAATATTTAAACTATCACTTGACATAAATTATCTTATAGAATCCTCATGACCTTGTTAAGTAAGTAGAAACAGACCTCCAGGGGTTTGTGTGATTTACCTTAGGTTACAGAGCCATTAAATAGAATAGGACATGAGCCTGAATCTGCCTGATTGTAAAGCCTATGAACTTATTTAAAAAAATAAAAAAAAGATTTATTTGAAAGACAAGAGTTGGTGCCGGTGCTGTGGCACAGTGTGTTAACGCCCTGGTCTGCGGCGCCGGCATCCCATATGGGCGCTGGTTCTAGTTCTGGCTGCTCTTCTTCCAATCCAGCTCTCTGCTATGGCCTGAGAAAACAGAAGAAAATGGCCCAAGTCCTTGGGCACCTGCACCCACGTGGGAGACCCAGAAGAACCTGGCTTCAGATCAGTGCAGCTCTGGCCATTGCGGCCATCTGGGGAGTGAACCAGTAGATGGAAGACCTCTCTCTGTCTCTACCTCTCTCTGTAACTTTCAAATAAATAAAATAAATCTTAAAAAAAAAAAAAAAAAAAGAGAGAGAGAGAGAAGAAAAAGAGTTACAGAGAGGTGAGATACTCCGTCTGCTGGTTCATTCCCCAAATGACTGCAACAGCCAGATCTGAGCTGATCCAAATCTTCCAGCCTTTTTTTTTTTTTTTTTTTTTTTTTTCCTGACAGGCAGATTGGACAGTGAGAGAGATTGAGAAAGGTCTTCCTTTTTCCATTGGTTCGCCCCCTGAGTGGCCGCTACAGCCAGCGTGTTGTGGCTGGCACACCGGACTGATCCAAAGCCAGGAGCCAGGTGCTTCTCCTGGTCTCCCATGCGGTTGCAGGGCCCAAGGACTTGGGCCATCCTCTACTGCACTCCCGGGCCACAGCAGAGAGCTGGACTGGAAGAGGAGCAACCGGGACTAGAACCCGAGGTGCCGGCGCCGCAGGCGGAGGAGTAGCCTGTTGAGCCGCGGCACCAGCCACTTCCAGGTCTTCCATGTGGGTGCAGGGGCCCAAGGACTTGGGCCATCTTCTACTGCTTTCCCAGGCCACAGCAGAGAGCTAGGTCTGAAATGGAGCAGCCAGGACTCAAGCCAGCACTTGTATGGGATCCTGGCGCTGCAGGTTGGGGCTTAAACCCGTTGGACCACAGTTCCGGTCCCTGTGTACTTAACTCTTCCCATATTAAAGTCACATCAAAAGTATGGTCTTGGGGCAGATGTTCAGCCCACATGCCATATTGGAATATTGTTCAGTCTCAGCCCCATCCCCTGAGTCCATCTTCCTGCTGTCACAGATCCTGGGAGGCAGAAAGTGATTGATCAAATAGCTGGGTCCCTGCCACCCATGTGGGAGGCAAGGATTGAGTTCCCAGCTCCCAGTTGCATTGGCGTATATGGGGAAAGAACTGGCAGGTTGGCACGCATGCTCTGTATCGTTGCCTCCCAAAAAGTTTAAGTGCATATACCTATTTTTTTTTTTTAAGAATTATTTCATTTATTTAAAAGACAGTTACAGAGAGAGGTAGAGCCAGAGAGAGAGAAAGGTCTTCCATTCCACTGGTTCACTCCCCAAATGCCTGCAACAGTCAGAGCTGAGCTGATCTGGAGCCAGGAGCTTCTTTCAGGCCTCCCACGCAAGTGCAGGGGCCCAAGGAGTTAGGCCATCTTGTACTGCTTTCCCAGGCCATAGCAGAGAGCTGATTGGAAGTGGAGCAGCCAGGACTCAAACCAGCGCCTGTATGGGATGCCAGCCCTGCAGGCTAGGGCTTTAACCTGCTGTGCCACAGCATTGGCCCTGTATCTATATTTTTAAAAATTAAAATATAATATTTTTTAAGGTTTACACTTAGTTTTACTCATTTGGGGGAAGATAAATGGAAAACCCACATTCAATAAAGCAATTTTGGAAATGGAGTAGAAATTGGAGGGGAACTGATTGATATCTTAGCTGGTGATCCATGTCATGCTGCAAGCTTAGTGACTCTTCCAGAACTGTTCCTGCTGAGATTTAAGTCGAGCTTTGTCGAGACACTAATGGGTATGAACTTGAAAAAAGGATGATTGAAATCGTTTAGGGCTGGTATCATAGCATAGTGGGTTAAGCCACTGCCTGCAATGCCAGCATTCCAAATGGATGCTGATTCAAGTATCAGCTGCTCTGCTTCTGATCCAGCTCCTTGCTAATGTGCCTGGGAGAGCAGCGGAAGATGACTCAGGTACTTGGGCTCCTGCACCTACGCGAGAGACCAAGATAAAGCTCCCAACTCCTGGCTTTGCCCTGGCCCAACCATAGCCATTGCAGCCATTTGGGGAGTGAACCAGTGGATGGAAGATTGACCTCTCTTTCTGTAACTATGCCTTTCAAATAAATAAAATAATTTTTTTTTTTTTTTAATCATTGGCCATCTGTATCTTGGGCACAACGCTAAGCTTGTTTGGGCAGCAGGTACTCTGAATCCCAGCTGGAGTTTTTAGTAAGTCGTCTCTAAAATGTTCCTGATCTTGACTTGAAAGGAGCTCCTTTCAAGTGAGTGACGAGTTGGATGGCAGGGCATTTGATGGGAAGTGTTCCGGCTTGTAAAAACTGGGGCCCCATGCCAGTGTTGTGGCATTGCAGATAAAGCCACTGCCTGTAATGCCAGCATCCCATATGGGCACCAGTTCATGTTCCAGGGGCTCCACTCTGACCCAGCTCCCTGCTAATGCATCTGGTAAAGCAGTAGAGAATGGCCCAGCCCTGGTCGTTCTGGCCAGGAGTGAACCAGCAGATGGAAGATTTCCCTTTTTCACTTTCTGTAATTCTGCCATTCAAATAAATAAATAACTCTTGAAAAGAAAGCAGGGACCCCTGAGCTTTCACTATTCAATTTAGTTATGTTAGAGCTAGAATATTGTAATCTGGGCTGCTATCACAAGACCACAGAGTGGGTAGGTTTTAAGTGAAACTGATTTTATGGGGCCAGCGCCGTGGCTCACTTAGTTAATCCTCCGCCTGCAGTGCCGGCATCCCATATGGGCGCCGGTTTCTAGTCTGGTTGCTCCTCTTCCAGTCCAGCTCTCTGCTGTGGCCCAGGAGGGAAGTGGAGTATGGCCCAAGTACTTGGGCCCCTGCGCCCACATGGGAGACCAGGAAGAAGCACCTGGCTCCTGGCTTTGGATCGGTGCAGCGCTGGCCGTAGCGGCCATTTGGGGAGTGAGCCAACAGAAAGAAGACAGACCTTTCTGTCTCTCTCACTGTCTAAAACTCTACCTGTACAAAAAAAAAAAAAAAAAAAGTACAAAAAAAAAAAGAAGAAGAAATTGATTTTATGGAGTTCTGGCAGCTCAGAAAGTCAAGATCAAGGTGCCGGCAGGTTTTAGTGTTTGATCAGCGCTGTCCCTACCCTCAAAGTCTGCCCCAGATGGTGCCTTTGGAGGAGAGGAAAGGGAAAGCTGACAACTATTTTAAATTCCAGGGTTTTTGTTTTGGGGATTTGTTTGTTTGTTTGGTCTAGTTCTGTTTATTCTATTTAGTCTATTTACAACTACTTCCTCCTCCTGTTTCTTAGTTATTTCATTTTCTGAAATGAATCCCCTGGGTGGAAACACTGTTGCAAACATCTTTGATAAGGAAGTGTGCCCCCTAAAATTGGATCTGAGAGAAAGAGAGAGAGAGTGTGTGTGTGTGTATGTGTGTGTAGAGAGAGAGAGACAGAGAGAGAGAACTCCCTCCCATCTGCTGGTTTGTTCCTCAAGTGTCCATAATAGCTGGGACCAAAGTCAGGAGCAGGAAACTCAATCCTAGTCTCCCACATGGGTGGCAAGAACTCAGTTGCAGTAATCTCTTGGGCAGCACATAAACTAAAATTGGAAGAACTCAGTTGCAGACTACTGCCTCCCAGGGTCTGCAATAGCAGGAAGCTGTAGCTGGGAACTAAACCCAGGTGTTCCAGTATGGGATGTGAGCATCTTAACTGCTAGGCGAAATAGCCCCTAAGCCTTTTTGATTTTGGAAAAGGGATATAGTGGCAGCAGTAAAATAGGGGAAACTTAGTAAAATTAAAGAATGTTACAGGTTGCCTATGCAGTGAGCACTACTTAATGCAACAGCTTTATTTTTCATTCTCCCCTAAGAGGTTTGCTCTACTTTAACATGAGACTCTTTAATTTTTATTTTTTTGTTTACACAAACTGGTCTGACAACTTTGATTGTCTTGCCTCAGGGGTAAATGAGTGTTTATCTTATTTGGAAACTTTCCTGGAAAAACTATAATCTGCTTGTATTAAACCTAACTTATAAAGCAGGGGTTTTTAAAGTAGCCTTTACAGTTTTAAAGTGGAAGCCACCCATTTCATAATATGTATTTCTCCTCCAGTCAGGTGTCTTCAAATAAAATGTTTTCCCACAGATGGTAGGGAAAGGTGTGCAAGGAGACTCATGAAAGGTGATTTTTCACACAAAATTCAAAAGGAATGAGAATCCAAGACTAGCTTTCAAGTAGTGTTTTAGATTTAGCAGCTTGATAGAAATCTAACAAACAAAACTGTTCTTTGGCAAGCTGTACTTCCGAACCATTTTTTTTTTTAATATTTTATTTATTTATTTGAGAGGAAGAGTTATAGAGAAAGGGAGTGACAGAGAGATTTTTTTTTTATTTTGACAGGCAGAGTGGACAGTGAGAGAGAGAGACAGAGAGAGAAAGGTCTTCCTTTGCCGTTGGTTCACCCTCCAATGGCCCGCCGCTGCAGCTGGCGCACCGCGCTGATCCGATGGCAGGAGCCAGGATCCAGGTGCTTTTCCTGGTCTCCCATGGGGTGCAGGGCCCAAGCACCTGGGCCATCCTCCACTGCACTCCCTGGCCATAGCAGAGAGCTGGCCTGGAAGAGGGGCAACCGGGACAGAATCCGGCGCCCTGACCGGGACTAGAACCCGGGGTGCCGGCGCCGCAAGGTGGAGGATTAGCCTATTGAGCCACGGCGCCGGCCCCGAACCATTTTTAAAAATGGATTCTTAGGACAAGATCATGCTCTTAGGTGTGCATTCACTTCTTTGCCCTCTCTGGAATGGATGTGTGTATAAGGTTGTCCAGCTGTGTTTTACAGTAAAGTTGCATAATGAATGTTTATCTTCTTAACCTATCTGCAGTGGAAAGTAAATAGAGGCTTATCTTAAGGTCATTGCTTTACCCTCCACATCATTGTCTTGCTTGTTTTGGATTCACATTGTTAATTTGTCCCAACATTCTCCTCAGCCTCAAACTTTCTAATCCATTGGAGTCTGTTGTCTGTCCTCTCTTCAGCTGTGAACCTTCACAACTGCTCTTTTTCTCTTCTCTCCCCAGCATGGTAAGGTTTATTTATTTGTTTGTTTTAAGATTTATTTATTTGAAATAGAGAGGTCATCCATCCTCTGGTTCACTCACCAAATGGCTGCAACGGCTGGAGCTGAACCAGTCCGAAGCCAGGAGCTTCTTCCAGGTCTCCCACATGGGTGCAGGGGGCCAAGGACTTGGGCTATCCTTTGCTGCTTTCCCAGGTACATTAGCAGGGAGCTGGATTAGAGTGGAGCAACCGGGACTCGAACTGGTGCCCATATGGGATGCCAGCACTGCAGACTGGGGCTTTAACCCACCTGCTCTGCTCTTCCTGGATCCACGAGCTGAGGAGAAAGAAAAGAGTGTTTTGTTTTTTTAAGATTTCCTTTATTTATTTGATAGAGTTAGAGAAGAGGAAGAGACAGAGATATTCCATTCACTGTTTCACTCCCCAAATTGCCTTAACAGTTCAGGCTGGGCCATGCTGAAACTAGGATCCTAAGACTCCATCTGGGTTTCTCGCAAGGGTACAAGGGCCCAAACAGTTGGGCCATCTTCCACTGCTTTCCCAGGCTCGTTTGAAGAGACTTGAACTGCTACCCTATGGGATGCCAGCATTGCAGGCAGCAGCTTAACCCACTGTACTATAATGCTAGTCCCTACCCCTACTGTCTTTGAAGCCCATCCTCATTCCATTCCCTACTGACTGCCTCTGTGCTAGTTTCATCTCCTAAAAAACTCTATAAATCAGGACATGTCAGCTCTTTAAAAACATTGAACCCTTAACTCCCTTGGCTCCTAAAAATTCCAAGAGAACCTAGTGTGAAGATATGTGCCCCCTTGAGAATTGTTCATCAGAAAATCAGCACAAGCTAGCAGAGTTGCTTTTCAAACTTGGCTGTCCTCATTTTTCATATATATGATTTGACTTGTGCATGGAAGACAAGTAGGTGGCACCTACAGTTTGGACCATATTTGAAGTTGAATTTTCCTGCCAAATGTTACTAGGCCCACTAAAGGAAATTTCTTTTCTCTTTCTTGATCTCTAGAGTCTGATGTAACTCCTAAAAGAATCATCAAAAATTTTTTTCAGATACTTGGTTTTAGAAGCCCAGCAAATCTTTGTGATGACGAATGAAATTAAATGGTCATTCATTTCCTGATTCCTCAGTATGCTGAGAATCCTTGCACCCCTATCCAAGGGGTGGCAGCAGAGCACACCATACTGTCTTCTGTTTACTGCTCAAAACTTGTAGCTTATTGGGGAAAATGTCAGAAAGATTATGACCCAGCCTTCTAGGTTTCAGGTAGACACTCCAACAGAAATAGTACTGGTGTTAGAGAAGTAATTTAACCTGACAATCTGAGAGTAACTATTCGTCATAGTGAAAGAATTAGATACCAAATATGTCTGCTTGTGAAGAAAACTGCTCTATCTAGGAGTAAACTTTCCGACATGAGGTCTCTCCCTAATGGAAATAATGAAGGGAAGGCACCATGGTGCATACATATGAGATTATCTTTGGGCTGGCACTGTAGCGTAGTGAGTGAAGCCACCACTTGCCGTGCTGGCATCCCATATGGGCGCCGGTTTGAGCTGCTCCACTTCCAATCCAGCTCTCTGCTATGGCCTGGGAAAACAGTGGAAGATGCCCCAAGTTCTTGGGCCCCTGTACCTGCGTGGGAGACCCAGAAGATGCTCCTTATTCCTGGCTTAAGACCTCTCTCTGCTTCCTTCTGTCTGTGTAACTCTGACTTTCAAATAAACAAATATTTAAAAATAAATAAATAAATCTTTTTAAAAAAAGAAAAATGCCTTTGCTATGTGAAAGTACAACAGTATTTCAAAAAGTTCATGGAAAACAAAGATGAGTTTGAGTCAAAATCTTAAGGAATTCATGTAGTTTTTTATTTTGATTTTTTTTCCCCTCTCCAAGATTTATTTATTTGAAAGGAACATATCTCAAGATCTGTCTTTCATTCACTGGTTTACTTCCCAAATGATCGCAACAGCTAGGGAATAGGCTAGGCCAGAGCCAAGAACTGCATGAAGGTCTCCCACATGGGTGGCAGTAGCCCATAGGCCATCCTTTTTCTTCTTTTTTTTTTTTTAATTATTTATTTATTTGAAAGGCAGAGTTAGGGAGAGAGAGAGAGTCTTCCATCTGCTGGTTTACTCCCTAGCTAGCCGCAACAGCTAGAGCTGGGCCAATGGGAAGCCAGCAGCTTCCTCCGGGTCTCCCACGTGGGTGCAGGGGCCCGAGAACTTGGGCCATCTTCTGCTTTCCCAGGCCATAGCAGAGAGCTGGATCAGAAGTGGAGCAGCCAGGACCCAAACCAGCACCCCTAGGAGCTACTGGCACTGAAGTGGTGACTTTACCCGCTACGCCACACCACCAGCACCACCCCCCCAAGTTTTTTCTTAGCATGAAATTTCCATGAACTTTCTGAAGACCTCCTCATATATCACATGTATGGGTATCAAAGTTTTGCACCAAAACTTAACACTTTAAATTTTTTCTTGGGGCCAGCGCTGTGGCGCAGCAGGTTAACACCCTGGTCTGAAGCACTGGCATCCCATATGGGTGCCAGTTCGAGTCCTGGATGCACTTCTTCCAATCCAGCTCTCTGCTATGGCCTTAGAAAGCAGTAGAAGATGGCCCAAGTCCTTGGGCCCCTGCACCTGTGTGGGACACCCGGAGGAAGCTCCTGGCTCCTAGCTTCAGATTGGCACAACTCTGGCCATTGCAGCCATCTGGGGAGTGAACCAGCAGAATGGAAGACCTCTCTGTTTCTACCTCTCTCTGTAACTCTTTCAAATAAATAAATAAATCTCTTCAAAAAATAAATTTTTTCTTCCTTTAATTTACCAAGAGATGAGGTCAGCACTGTGATGTAGCAGGTAAAGCCGCTGCCTGCATTGCCAGCTGGTATCTCACGTGGGGGCTGGTTTGAGACCTGGCTGCTCCACTTGCAATCCAGCTCTCTGCTATGGCCTGGGAAAGCAGTGGAAGATGGCCTAAGTCCTTGGGCCTCTGCACCTGCGTGGGAGACCTGGAAGAATCTTCTGGCTCCTGACTTTGGATCTGCACACTCCAGCTATTGTAGCCATCTGGGGAGTGAACCAGTGGATGGAAGACATCTCTGCCTCTCCTCTTTGAAAAATTTACTGAGAGGCAGAGATAGAGAGCAAAACTGCTGGTTTGCTACTCAAATATCCCCAACTGTGGGGTTGGGCAGACACGTGGGAGCTCCGAGTTTAGTCTGTCTACCATGTGAATGACAGGAACCCAGTCATTTGAGCTCTCCCCATTAACTGGGAGCTGGTGTCAGGAGCCAGATCTGCATATCAAAACCGGGCAATCCGATCTGGGATTTTGGCATATTTTTGAAAAAGTTTTTGGAGGGGCTGTACAGCGGCACAGCAAGAGTTAACACCCTGGCCTAAAGCGCCAGCAACCCATATGGGCGCCAGTTCCAGACCCGGCTACTCCACTTCCGACCCAGCTCTCTGCTATGGCCTGGGAAAGCAGTAGAAGATGGCCCAAGTCCTTGGGCCCCTGCACCCATGTGGGAGACCTGGAAGAAGCTCCTAGCTCCTGGCTTCAGATCAGCTCAGCTCCTGCTGTTGTGGCCATCTGGGGAGTGAACCAGCGGATGGAAGACCTCTTTCTGTTTCTCTTTCTCTCTCTGCCTCTCCTTCTCTCTCTCTGTAACTCTGCCTTTCAAGTAAAATGAATAAAATCTTTAAAAAAAAAAAAAAGTTTTTGGAAAGGCAGAAAGAGACATGTATTTTCCATCTCTGGAAAACTACTCAAATGCCCACAGTAAGCAGGGCTGGGCCGGGCTGGGCTAAAGCTAGGGACCCAAGTAGTTGAGCCATCATCTGTTACCTCACAGGATGCACATTAGCAGGAAGCTGGATTGGAAGCAGAAAAGCCAGGACTCAGATTAGGCATTCTAATAAGGGATGCAGTATCCCACGTAGTGAAACTGTGCTGAATACTCACCCCTTATTTTAATTTCTGTTTCCCATGAACTTTCTGAAATACCCTAGGACCTTATTTCATACATTCTTAGATTTCAAGCACCTGTAGTTACAAAGCTATATGGAGGTTTCTTTACATCTTAGCAATCTCTTCACAGTGCTGCTTCCATTCTTTCTTAGCAGTCACTTGGCACATGGTTCATTTGACTTGTACCCAGCTTTCTAGTTTCTTTTTCTTGCCAGCTTTCGTTGAACTCTGGGATGTGTGAAATTCTATTAAAGCTGACACGTTGGGCTGCTGTATTAGGGGAAAGCTGAGACATTTCTGGCAGTCTTCCCAATTTACCTTTCTTGTACCCCACCTGTTATCCAAGGACACTAATAAGTCTAATTTTTAAACTTACAGCTTTCTAAGAGGTTGATCCACAAAGGTCTCAAGAAGTAACAGTCCTTAAGTAGAAAGTAGAAACAGCTGTAAAATGATAAAAAAAAAAAATCTTAATGTGCTTGACATCAGATCAACTTTTCCCTTCACAGTATAAATCCCCTCTATTGTAATGAAGCTAGACTTTCAATCTAGTCATGTTAGTTCTGGGCCTTTAAATTTTTCATGATGTAGACTCAGTCTGTTCATATTGTCAGTCTTTCTCCTTTTTTTTTTTTTTTTAAATTTATTTTTATGTTTATTTTTTTTTGACAGGCAGAGTGGACAGTGAGAGAGAGAGACAGAGAGAAAGGTCTTCCTTTGCCGTTGGTTCGCCCTCCAATGGCCGCCGCGGCCGGCGCACCGCGCTGATCCAATGGCAGGAGCTAGGTACTTATCCTGGTCTCCCATGGGGTGCAGGGCCCAAGCACTTGGGCCATCCTCCACTGCACTCCCTGGCCACAGCAGAGAGCTGGCCTGGAAGAGGGGCAACCGGGACAGAATCCAGCGCCCCGACCGGGACTAGAACCCGGTGTGCCGGCGCCGCAAGGCGGAGGATTAGCCTATTGAGCCACGGCGCCGGCCAGTCTTTCTCCTTTTAAAACTGGTAATCTAGTTTTCTCCATATGGTGGAATAAAAAATTTATTGGTGATCTAGTAACACAAATTAACATTGCTCTTGAAAACATGCTTTGGCTTTTCCAGAATAAGCTGTCAGGGGCTAGCATTGTGATGCAGCAGATTAAGCTGCATCCCATTTGAGTGTTCATTGAGTCCTGGCTCTTCCACTTCCCATCCAGCTCCCTGCTGATACACTTGGGAAAGCGACAGAAGATAACTGAAGTACATGGGCACCTGCCACCTACAGGAGAGACCCAGATGGAATTCTAGGTTCCTGGCTTCAGCCTGTGTCCAGCCCTGGCCATTTGGGAAGTGAAACAAAAGATGGAAGTTCTCTCTATCTCACTCACTCACTCTTCACTGTCACTTTGTCTTTCAGATCAATCTTTTAAAAAATAAAAAGAGGGGCAGGCATTGTAGCAGAGTCTTGACTGCTTGACTTCCAATCTAGCTCCCTGGTAATGAACCTGGGAGGGCACCAAAAGATGGCCCCAGTGCTTGGGCCCCCACCTCCCCCGTGGGAGACCTGAATGGAGTTCCAGGCTCCAGGCTTCAGCCAGGCCCAGTCCTGGTTGTGGCCATCTGGGGAGTGAGCCAGCTGATGGGGAGGGTATCTGGATCCCTCTCTTTGTAACTCTGACTTTAAAAATAAAATAAATAAGTCTTTCTTAAAAAGACCAGTAGACATAAAAGGAATATCCTGTCACTCTAGAGTGTCTATTCTGGACATTATCTATAAAAGGAACTACATAATACACGGTCTTTTGTGATTACATTTACTTGATGTGATGTAAATAAATATACTGTTGCTCTTTTTCAATAGTGTGAGTCATGCTTCTCATGGAATTTCCAATGAATTTCAATGTCTCCAAGTGCTGTATCTTAATTTGACAGGTAGAGTTATAGACAGAAAGGTCTTCCTTCCGTTGGTTCACCCCCCAAATGGCCACTATGGCCGGTGCTGCACTGATCCGAAGCCAGGAGCCAGGTGCTTCTTCCTGGTCTCCCATGTGGGTGCAGGGGCCCAAGCACTTGGGCTATCCTCCACTTCCCTCCTGGGCCACAGCAGAGAGCTGGACTGGAGGAGGAGCAACCAGGACTAGAACCAGTGCCCATATGGGATGCTGGTGCCACAGGCGGAGGATTAGCCAAGTGAGCCACAGCGTCGGCCCCCCTTTTTTCTGTTTGTTTGTTAAGATTTTATTTATTTTATTTGAGAGGTAGAGTTACAGACAGTGAGAGGAAGAGACAGAAAAGTCTTCCTTCCCTTGGTTCACTCTCCAAATGACCGGCAATGGCTGGAACTGCGCTGATCCGAAGCTAGGAGTCAGGAGCTTCTTCCCGGTCTCCCACGCGGGTGTCGGGGCCCAAGGACTTGGGCCATCTTCTACTGCTCTCCTAGGCCATAGCAGACAGCTGGATTGGAAGAGGAGCAGCCAGGAATAGAACCGGCGCCCATATGGGGTGCTCATGCCGCTGGCGGAGGACTAACCTACTGTGCCACGGTGCCAGGCCCTCCCCCCCTTTTTTTTACATAATATTTATGACAAGTCAGGATAAGAAGAAATAAAATTTATAGGAACCTCCTAGAATGAACTTGTCCCATGATTTCAATGCATAGGCAAGGTTGGTTGAGAACTCTTTTTTTTTTTGGAGGAAGTATGTTTTAAATTGTTTTTATTGCTTATTTCTTTGTGTTTTTGTTTTTTGTTTTTGTTTTTTGACAGGCAGAGTGGACAGTGAGAGAGACAGAGAGAAAGGTCTTCCTTTGCCGTTGGTTCACCCTCCAATGGCCGCCGCGGCCGGCGTACCGCGCTGATCCGATGGCAGGAGCCAGGAGCCAGGTGCTTTTCCTGGTCTCCCATGGGGTGCAGGGCCCAAGCACTTGGGTCATCCTCCACTGCACTCCCTGGCCACAGCAGAGAGCTGGCCTGGAAGAGGGGTAACCGGGACAGAATCCGGCGCCCCGACCGGGACTAGAACCCGGTGTGCCGGCGCCGCTAGGTGGAGGATTAGCCTAGTGAGCCACGGCGCCGGCCTCTTTGTGTTTTTGTATTGGAAAGAGAGAGCTAGATGTTCCATCCACTGGTTCACTCCCAAATAGGCCAGGCCAAAGCCAGGAGCCAGGAACTCTATCTGGGTCTCCCACATAGGTAGGTGGTAGGCACTCAAACACTTGAGCCATCATCATGCTCTCCAGGTGCATTAGCAGGGAGCTGGGTTAGAAGCAGAATAGCTAGGAATCAAACTGGCACTCTGATAAGGGATGTGGGCATTCCAAGTGGTGGCTTGGCCTGTTGTGCCATATTCCAGCCACCATTCATTGTGGTTTTGATTTGTAGTTCCCTAATGGTTAGTGATGGATTGATATGTTTTGAATATGTAGTTATATGTTTGCTTCAGGTAGAAGGAGGAATATTCAAAATGAAGTGTTTCTTAACTGGAAGTGGTAATAAGTATCTTCAGAAGGTGCAGATTAAAGTTACCCGTGTTGATTGGCATCAGTATTGAGGTGAGAGGGGTTGATGGCTATTCAGATGGGACTTCCTTCTGGCAGGCTCTTGGTGGTGGTTACAGTGTATGAGAAAGATTTCATAACTGAGATATTTGTGTGAATTCCAAAGCTCTACTGTTCTCATTATCAAAGGACTTGGCCACCAAATTAATGTTTATAAATTTTCGTGGTGAGCCTGCATTTTTTTGCCCTTTTTTTTTCTTTTTTTTTTTCTTTTTTTTTTTTTAAGGAGAGAAAAGGATGATACTGTTGTTTCCTCTAGGCTTTGGAAAAAGTTGCCTCATCCTGGCACGTGGCATCTCCCACTGAAGAGCCACCAGATGACAAGCCTCTGCCATGGATGGGGCCTCATGGCCAACTTCTACTCTACTGACACCCCTTGTCAAAGCTTCATCCTAGGGGATTGAAGTGTTTCCCACTCATCCCTTCAGATGCTTTCCTTATAGTTTGTGTCACTCATTATTCATTCAAATAACTGAACACCTATTTTGTCTGAACACTGTACCTCTCGGTAAATTTGGAAGAGTACTACTACTGTAGTCCCTACCTTCCTGGTCACTTTGGGAGTGACCTGTTTCTGTTAACTGAGAGGCGTTTCATGCTAGCTCACTTTACTAAAGATAAATTAACTTAAACTCTCTACTTATAGTATTTGCACTTCTAATGAGTTATTCCTTCCTCCACAGCAATGGCACCAGCATGATATCATTGATCATTCCTCCCAAAGACCAGATTTCCCGAGTGGCAAAAATGTTAGCAGATGAATTTGGAACTGCATCCAACATTAAGTCACGAGTAAACCGCCTTTCAGTCCTGGGAGCCATTACATCTGTACAACAAAGACTCAAACTTTATAACAAAGGTAATCTAGAGCTGGACCCTGTTTCTTTTCTGCATTGTTTGTCTTGGTTATATTTTCCATTTTGACCCTGCTGTGGTGCTTTGTTCACTAGTGTTTCCTTCTAGCAGCTGTCATTGGTGTCTCTTTGGCCTTGGTGTTTTTAACTTCTTTGTTTTGTTGCATTTTTTATTGAAAATTAAAAGATTCTGCATGAGAGAGTTAAGCATATTTCTATTTTATTTAAATGATGATTTAAATATTTAAATGGGCAAGGAACAATAGACTGGGAATATTTAAAGTTAGAGAACTTGTTTATGTTCTTTTCAGTACCTCCAAATGGTCTGGTTGTTTACTGTGGAACAATTGTAACAGAAGAAGGAAAGGAAAAGAAAGTCAACATTGACTTTGAACCTTTCAAACCAATTAATACGTCATTGTATTTGTGTGACAACAAATTCCATACAGAGGTAAGATACTGAAGCTCAGAACGTTTTCATCACTACAGAAAGATAAGCCACATGCATCAGTAGTGAATTGAGATCACCTGCCCACCACCAACCTCTCAGCTCTAGACAACCACTAATCTATTTTGTTTATTAATTTGTTAATGGTAGACATTTTATATAATGGTGTAATACAATTTGTGGCCTTTTGTGACTGGCATCTTTCACTTAGCTTTATGTTTTCAAGGTTCATCCATGTGGTAATATGTGTTGGTACTACTACTTTTCTTTGGTGTCCAAATAACATTTCATTATTCAGGAATGCCACATTTTACATAGTTTATCCATTGATGTACAGTTAGGTTGTTTGCATTGTTAAGCTTTTGTGGATAATGCTGCTGTGAACATTCATATACAAGTTTTAATATGACTATTTTCGTTTCTCTTATATTTAGGAGTTGAATTGCTAGGTCATATGATAACTACATTTAACCTTTAGAGAAATCATCAGACTGTTTTCCAAACCATTTAACTTTTTTATATGCCTGGCTATTACACAAAGTAGAATAGCTTACATTTTTTGTGGCAAGTCATTCAGCTTGTTTGAGGGAAGTGGTTAACTAGATTTGGAGAACTAATTAGAGACAAAAAAAAAATTAATAGGCTACTTGGTCTCCATCTCTCCCAATGTACTAGTGATACATTGCAGCCTGGTTTTTAGCTCACAAATTGTAAAATTTTTAGTAATGGAACTATAAGCTGCTTCCCTCACCCCACCATAAAACTTTTGAATGACAGGAGCTGCCATGAGATGAACTTTAATGGTGGAAAGGAAACCTCATTAGAGTGACCTAAATCAGTCAACAGTAGAACAATCAGGAATTCACAGCTGGCTCCTAGTTCCGTCTCTTGCTTTTCATCGACCAAGGGAAAAACCTCTACAGTGGAATTAGAACTGACATTTGTCGACACAGTTTACAATGGATGATTTTTGCTAACTTGACAGGAAGTCCAGTTCCAGTTGGATCTTAGTCAACTGCTTAGATGATCCAAGCTGTTTTTCTCTTAACTACCACAGCCGCCTCCTGGCAGGGGCTTCACTGGGGAGGATCTTAACTGTTCTGTCCTACTACGTATGTTGTTCTGATGAAAGCAAGTCTTGAATCTTGATTTAAGCAGTATCTTGTACCCATTTTGTCTAGCTTTACACTAATTTTTCTAAGCCTTAACTCTTCCTTCAAGGTACTGTTTAATTTTGCTAGTTTGTATATTTTGGTTTTAACTGATCTGTGAATAATAGAAGTGAATGTAGTAAGGGATAAATCTATTCCTTGACAAGACGACTTGCTGGAAACCTCAAGCTACCTGAGATTATAAAAAAGCAATTTTTTTAACATGTGCAGTATTCATGTCTTTATGCTAATTATCAAGGGTGGTTTGGTTAAAGATGGGTTCCTAGTAGATTCATCTCCTTTGTAGGCAGTTCTTGAAGGAGCTATTTTCTTCCTCAGTTAAAAATGTGGGCCGGCGCCGTGGCTCAATAGGCTAATCCTCTGACTGCGGCACCGGCACCCCAGGTTCTAGTCCCAGTTGGGGCGCCGGATTCTGTCCCGGTTGCCCCTCTTCCAGGCCAGCTCTCTGCTGTGGCCCGGGAGTGCATTGGAGGATGGCCCAAGTCTTTGGGTCCTGCACCCGCATAGGAGACCAGGAGAAGCACCTGGCTCCTGCCTTCGGATTAGCGCCATGCCCTGGCCACAGCGGCCATTGGAGGGTGAACCAACGGCAAAGGAAGACCTTTCTCTCTGTCTCTCTCTCTCTCTCACTGTCCACTCTGCCTGTCAAAAAATAAAAAAATGGGCCGGCGCCGCGGCTCACTAGGCTAATCCTCTGCCTAGCGGCGCCGGCACACCGGGTTCTAGTCCCGGTCGGGGCGCCGGATTCTGTCCCGGTTGCCCCTCTTCCAGGCCAGCCCTCTGCTGTGGCCAGGGAGTGCAGTGGAGGATGGCCCAGGTGCTTGGGCCCTGCACCCCATGGGAGACCAGGAAAAGCACCTGGCTCCTGGCTCCTGCCATCGGATCAGCGCGGTGCGCCGGCCGCAGCACGCCAGCCGCGGCAGCCATTGGAGGGTGAACCAACGGCAAAGGAAGACCTTTCTCTCTGTCTCTCTCTCTCACTGTCCACTCTGCCTGTCAAAAAAATAAATAAATAAATAAATAAAAATAAAAAAATAAAAAAATGTAATGGGTGGTGCAGGCATGTGGTCTAGCAGTTAAGCTGATTAAGATGCCTGCATGCTTCAGTGGAGTGCCTGGGTTCTGTACCCAACTCAGCTCTGACTCTAGCTTCCTACCAGTGCAGACGCTGGGAGGCACAAGTGGTGGCTCAGGTACTTAAGGCTCTGCCACCCACATGTTCCCAGCTCCTGGCTTTGGCCTGTCCCAGCTGTTGCAGGCAGTTGGGGGTGTGAACCAGCAGACAGGTGAGCTCATTGCTTTCTCTCTCCCTCTCCTTCTCTCTCTCAAATAAATGAATACATAATTGGAGAAAACAGGGAGTATTAATAATTTCTTAGTTCTAAAGAGATTGTCACCTGGCAACTAGTGATCTGCCAAGCCCATAGAATTCAAATTCCATCATGAAAACTTTTATCTGTATGTGGGTCCCAGAACTATTTTTTTAATTAATTTATTTGAGAGGTAAAGTTACAGGAGAGGGAGAGACGGAGAGGTACTCCATCTGCTGGCTCACTTCCCAAATGGCCATAACTGCCAGAGCTGGGCTGATGGGAAGCCAGGAGCCTCCTCCAGGTCTCCCACAGGGGAGCAGGGGCCCAAGCACTGGGCCTTCTTCCACTGCTTTCCCAGGCCATTAGCAGAGAACTGGATCGGAAGAAGAGCAGCTGGGACACAAACTGGCACCTGTATGGGATGCCAGCGCCACAGATGGAAGTTTAACCTACTATGTCATAGTGGTGGCCCACAGGACTATTTAAATATTTTGAGTTTAACATCCAGGCATCATTAATGGAGCTCAGTCTGAGTCTTCTGTGAGGGTGTCATGGTCCTAAGTACTTGAGCCATGACCTGCCTCATCCCAGGCCTGGTGTTGGCAGAAAGCTGTATCAGAAGCAGGGAAGCTGAGGCTCACAACAACTATAACAAGGAATGTGGGTGTCATAAGTGTGCCAGCCACTGTGCCATAGATCTGCCCCCAAAATTCTTTTCATCATGCAAAACAGAAACTTAATACTCATTAAAAAATAACTCCTGGGGCCAGCATCATGACACAATGGGTTAAGCTGCTGCCTGTGATGCAAGTGTCCCATGTGAACACCACTTCAAGTCTCTGTGTCCAAAACTCTTTCAAATAAATTATTAAAAAAAAAAAAAAAAAAAAACGGAACCCCCGTTTTTTCCCCTTCTCCCTGCCCCGGAATCCCCCTTACTCTCAGTACCCCATATGAATAAAATCAGGCAGTGTTTGTCTTTTTTGTGACTAGCCTAGTTCACTTTGCATAATATGTCCTCATTCATTCATGCTGTAGCATATTGCAAAATTAGCTACGTTTTTTGAGACTAATTTTTCAATGTATTGATATACCACTTATCTACTGTGCTTATCCATTTATCCATTGATAGAGGGGTTACTTCCAAATGAATAATGATATTGTAAACATGAGTATAGAAATATTTTTAAATCTGTATTGGTTTTGTGTTTACATACCTAGGTCAAGTGTATTGAAGGACTCCACATAGATAACCACTGGCTATTATGACATCAGTTAAAATTTGTCTATAAGGATTACATACCTACATCTGAAGTTTCTAAATTATCCCATTAAATCATTTTTTCCATAGCACTTATACCACAATGAGTGGAATAAAAGGGCTTATATGTGTCCTTCCAGGTTTTGACCTTAACAGAGCTTTGGAATTCATCATGTGGTACTTGTGTTTGCTTTTCAGGCTCTTACAGCACTACTTTCAGATGATAGCAAGTTTGGCTTCATTGTAATAGATGGTAGTGGTGCACTTTTTGGCACACTGCAGGGAAATACAAGAGAAGTCCTGCACAAATTCACTGTGGATCTCCCAAAGAAACACGGTAATATTGAAAGAGAACATGACCCTATTTGTCTTTTGCTTAACAATAAGGAAACCCAAATAGTATGATGGGGGGACAGGAGATCTAGGTAACAGAGAGGAAGTCATCCTGGACTTAGTGATAGATTTAGTAGTTAACTCTTTGAAAAAATAAGTAACAGTTTATGCTAGACCTTTTGTTCAAGGATGGTAAATTTTTTCCTTGTCCTTTCCTTGGATAATAGCATGCATGATTGTTTTTTATTTTATTGCTTTTTAAAATGCAAGGCCTTGTGTACTTCTTAATAATTGCCTTTTTCTCTCACTACTTTTGTGTCGAAGGTAGAGGAGGTCAGTCAGCCTTGCGTTTTGCCCGTTTAAGAATGGAAAAGCGACACAACTATGTTCGGAAAGTAGCAGAGACTGCTGTACAGCTGTTTATTTCTGGGGACAAAGTGAATGTGGCTGGTCTCGTTTTAGCTGGATCAGCTGACTTTAAAACTGAACTAAGTCAATCTGATATGTTTGACCAGGTAAGTGAGAAGTAGATAGTCCATGGTATATGTCTATGGGTATAGGTTGAGTCCTTTGTATGAGCACTGGGTACACCTACCTGTTTGAATTTACAATACCTTTCCTGGGTCAAAAACGTAGCTTTAAGATAAATGGTGGCGGGCTTATAGGTGTTTATTAGGAAACATTACCTACTTTTCTGGATCCTTCCTCTTTTGAAGTCAGCCATTTTTGAGTTGGGGTGCTATGGCATAATTGGTTTTAAAAAAGAATTTGACTTCACAGAAACTATAAACTTCTTTACTGTCTTATTCTGATTTATTCCTAAGGTAAATAAAGCAGCAAAATGACAGAGGTATTAAGTCTAAAACATTTAATCCAGAAGGATCTTCTGGTTCAAGATACAGGCTCAGCCATAACCTGTTCCCAAGGAGTTCTTATGGGAGAGGTAGCAATATAGTAGACAGTGTCACCAAAGATACCATCTTGTATTCTTAAGTGGCAGGAGCCAGTAGCTCCCCCTTTTGTTCCTAAGATACTTACTTTTGTGTACATTGAATGACTTATCCTACTGTAGGTTTAACATAATATGTCATATGAATGGCTATAAGTTTGCTCTGGCAACATTGCTCACTTTTGAGTTAGCCCTTGAATAAATAGGAATCCTCCATATTTAGACATTAGTGATTACAGTGTTAATCTTTGTATGTCATTAAGAGGTAAAGGAGTCTTGGTAAAGATGTTTTAAAGTAATAATGATTTTTTTTTAATTGTGTCAGAGGTTGCAATCAAAAGTTTTAAAATTAGTTGATATATCCTATGGCGGTGAAAATGGATTCAACCAAGCTATTGAGTTATCTACTGAGGTCCTCTCCAACGTGAAATTCATTCAAGAGAAGAAATTAATAGGTATCAATGAAATGCAGCTACTTATTATGTGTTTTTGTGTATTAAATGTGTATGGATGATATGTATGAAAGAAACACTGGAAAGGTAAAAAAGAAAAAAGATGAAGTATTTTGTTAAATCTTCTGCTTCTGTGGAATCATTATTTTTAATATTCAGTCATTAGGTCTAATAAGTGTGCTTAATTATATTCATATCCACAAGGGAAAACAATATACGTTCACCTTTCAGTATCTGAGGGGGGCTGGTGCTAGACCTTCTCCTTCTCTACCCTGATAACAAAATCTACAGATGCTCAAACCTCTTCTATAAAATGGCATAGTTTTTGTATGTGGTTGTTATGCTGTATTGTTTACGGAATAATGACAGGATTAAAAATCTGTACATGTTTGTTACATATTCAGGCCCAGCTATAAAGTACTTTTCAATGACAGCTTAACTGGTTCCCCCCACACACACATCTTTTTGATCTTGGGTTGGTTGAATCTGCTGATTATAAATCCAGTTGTATGCTTTATTGACCTGTCACTAATACCACAGGACGATACTTTGATGAAATCAGTCAAGACACGGGCAAGTACTGTTTTGGAGTTGAAGATACGCTAAAAGCTTTGGAAATGGGAGCCGTAGAAATTCTAATAGTCTATGAAAATTTGGATATAATGAGATACGTTCTTCATTGCCAAGGCACAGAAGGTATGAGAATTAGAAAATAGGTTGCTGTTTGATACTGATCTGTGCATTCAAGAAGCCTGAGGGTGGAGATTGGAAAGGATGGCTGATCTCATGAGCAGTCAGAAGTCAGATCTACTCTTCTTTCTCCACTGCTTTGCTCATAGCACATACCTGTGTAAATTTTTCAGCTTGAACTGCTTAATGTCTGATTATATTTGCTGAAGAGCAGTCTCTGTGTTTTTGTTGTTCTTACTTGCTAAAGAGAGCTCTCATCTGTTCGTTCATTCCCCAAATGCCCAAATGGGTTGGTGATGGGGACCTAAGTATTTGAGCCATCACTTGCTGTCTATCAGGATGCACATTGTCAGGAAATACAAACCCAGAGCAGAGCCAAAACTGGAACTCAAGCAACCATTGGGCCAGACCACTCACCTGAGGGTCAGTTTTAATGTCTTTGATTTTTTTTTTTTTTTTTTTTTAATGGTGGGAGCAATTTACCTGCTTGACACTCAGTGAATGCTGGTGGAAAGGAAGTTTATAGAATGAATTTAGAAGCCTTTTCCTTATCCAACTGGCCTCATTTTGTAGGACTTAACCCCATTAGTATTTGACAACCAGTTTAACACATTGTTTTCCTCTTAATACTACAGAGGAGAAAATTCTTTACCTAACTCCAGAACAAGAGAAGGATAAATCTCATTTCACAGACAAAGAGGTATGTGGTTGTTTTCTTGGTTTGGTATACACGCAAGGAAACATGATTGTGTGTTAGAGCTCGGGCAGTTACAATGTCAGCCTTGGGAAATCAAACCACATTCTGCTTGAGGAGTTCAGTGGGGATTTTTTTTCTTAAAGTAGTTAAGCACTAAGGAGAACTTTCCCCTATCCTTGAAATAATAGAGAGGAAGATTTTATTTGAGTATGCCTCTCGCGCTCTGAAACCTGTGCTGCTTTGTTTCACTTACTTTATTAGCTGCTCCACCACAACAGCATCTTTGGGCTTGGTCTAAATGTGTCATGACATTTAATTTAAAGTGTCACCTTACCACAAGATGACTTTTAAGTGGTAGCTTCCTCAAACTCTGAGTTGTTGGACTTTGTTCTTTAAGAGCCGCTCCCAACAGCAGTTCTGGCACATCTCTTCTGGTCTGCTGAATGGCTGCCACAGAGACGCTGCAGCAGCCTGACTTCCAGAGTCAGCAGGAGTCATAAAAGTCAAAACCACTCAGTGTCTGTTGACATCTCATGACTGAGGCTTGAGCCCAAGGAGAAGGAGTATTTAAAATAATCCCACAGTTTCTCTGCAGTCTGCATTATGTTATTAGAAACCAGAATTCACTTTGTTTTATAGGAGTGCACGTGCGCACACACATGATAATGAGTGACAGCACCGAATGATGGTAGGCAAGAGAAGTGAGGGGGTGAGGCCTGCTATGTCCTAACCACTTGGTTTTTGCTGTCTTCTGGTGAATCCCTGTAGACAGGACAGGAACATGAGCTGATTGAGAGCATGCCCCTGTTGGAATGGTTTGCTAACAACTATAAAAAATTTGGAGCTACATTGGAAATTGTCACAGATAAGTCACAAGAAGGATCCCAGTTTGTGAAAGGATTTGGTGGAATTGGAGGTGAGTAGCGTATCAACAAAGTGAACTTAAAAACAGGGTCTCAGGCCAAGGCCTATGCTGACTAGCCTAAAATAAATTACTTCAGATTAGCTGTGCTCATTGGCTACTGAGGCAGGTGGTTGGGACAGCAGATGGTTACACAATCTTTGATTTGGACCAGTTTTTATCATCTCTTTGCTTTTCTATAATTGTGTAAGAGAACTGGACTTTATATTTGTGGTTTCTTTCTCCAGGTATCTTGCGGTACCGAGTAGATTTCCAGGGAATGGAATATCAAGGAGGAGACGATGAATTTTTTGACCTTGATGACTACTAGGTAGTCGACATGGGTCCGGCAAAACGTGCCTCGCCCTCCAGCATCCAACCCAAGGAGCATACCCGTGGTGGAATCCAAACAGATCCCTGCCTTACAATTGGAACATTTCCAGAACTTAATCCATGAGCATTGGATATTGAAAAGAAAACCGAAACAAAACCAGGCCCAACCCTACACTTTGGTTTGTCATGGTGTCAGCGCAGCAGCCTACAACTAAGTTCCTAAATGCCACTTTGGACTAATTTAAAAAAGAATCCCAATTTTTACTTTTACTCGATGGTGAAATTGGTTGCTCTTGTATTTTATGAAAAAATGATTTTTTTAACCTTCATACATAGAAGCAAAAATACTTTAACTGCTGTAAACCTTCAAAAGTTAATAGAAGTGAGATCATACTGGTTTGTTTCTTATTTTGATTGGAGAAAAATTAAATTGCTGCATTTCGCAGTGACCCATTTACATGGCATTCTCAGCTTAGACTGCATAAGAAGAAATATATGTGGTGAAATGTTGGAACCATTTCTCTCTTGGTCTCTGTTTAATGTTGAAAGGGTGAGCTAATAGGAGGCAATGTCATCTTCACTCCCTCACACTCTCCCTTCCCCTACAGACTGTCAATTTCAAGGATGCAAACTGCATTGCAAGGTCAAACTGACTCAAGAAGCATCTGGGCCAGTGCACTGTTTACTTCCATGTGTTTGGCAGCCACGTTTGGGCACAGCATTTGGGAGCCCTTTGTATCAGTTGCTTTGACAAAGGTCCCCTAATCCTAGCCTATTAGAAACCAGTTGGAGATGGATATGATGGGGCTTCTGTGCTGTTGCTGGGATTGGGAGAAATAAAACATGCAATTTCAGTGGAAGCAAAGAAATTTAAAGTTTATTTGCTTGGGTCTATCCTTGGTAAAAGGGAGGTGGTTGTGTTTTCCTTATGTTGGATGGCATGAGATTATGTGAATGTTTTGATTTTTTTTTAAATGAACTGCAAGATTTTTCACAGGAACGACAGACAAAACATGTTTGACTGTGCATGTAATTATAAGCCCCTGACCTCCTGGTGGGGTTGGAGCATCTGTTTCAAATGTGGGACTTTACAAGCACCTCTCACAGGAGAAATTATGGGAGTGGGGCGGGTAGGGCAGGGGCGGGGAAGGGATGGGACACAGCTTCTGGCACCATGGACTTTACCATGTTGAATCTAAAAATTGACCTGAAAACCTGAAGCATGTGCTTCACAGCTGGGCCGTCCTTAGGATGTGAACCCAGCTGATAAGCAAGGTCATGGCGTGCTCGAGGTGACAGTGAACAAAATGAATAGGATGTGCCCAGTAGCAGCAATGGAAAAAAGTGTACCAAATGGGCTTTGAAGGACCAAAGGTTTTAAAAGTCAATTGGTATCACTCTCACACCTGGTTAGGGTCATGGGGTGCATTTGGTTTTTCAAATTGGGTACTTTTAACACTATAGTGCCTGACTGCTGTTCTTCACTGACTTGACTCAGTCACTTGTAGCTTTACTGGTCTGAACCAGCTCTTTGTTCCCAGGTTACAGACCTGCCTATCGTTCCAATAATCCTGTTTCACTTGAATGAAGGGAGTATGTCTTAAATGTAAAGCTTGTGGTTCTCACACTGTACTCAGAGGTCCAAATGACTGTCTGTCGATGCGTAACCTGTTGTCTCAACCCCCAGCGAGAAGAGTCAACTCTTTGCTGTTCACCAGCGTGGGAGGCTTCACCGGCTTTTGCTTTGGGCTCTGCTGTTTGTTTGCAGAATACCCAAGAGCAAGCAAACATGCTCTCTTCACAGCAGTACCTTAGGGTTTTGCCATTGTAAATGGGTCTAATGTGATATGACAAGACCAGAGAAATTGGATGTAAATTTACATTTTTAAATATGCTTGTTGTTTCACATGATACATTTAGGGTATGCAGCTCCTTTTGTAGTTTTTATTTTTACTATTTAAGTTTGGAAATGATGCCAAATTTTGTATTTCTTTAATCAATGTGTTCTCTTCAGTGATATATATTGCATTATATATTGATGTGTGTATCAATATATACTGATATGTATTACACTTACACTTACAAACACAGAAATAAGAGGGGGTGAAAACCGTAGCCTTTGCATTCTCTATAGCCTCTGCAGAGAGATCCTAAGCAGCAAAATCTTGGTGTTGTGATGTACAGAAATGGAGAAGAGTATTAAACCATATTTAAGAATACACTTTGTGTGCTTGAGATTTTTTAGGACTGTTCCTAGAAAAGGTCTGAGGTTCCTAGAAAAGTATGAGTTCTCCGAGGCATTTGTCAGATCAGTGGTGGCTAGTAACTTCCCAGCCTTAGATCTGAGTTTTCCATACACTGCCCATGGAAGGGCATATGCAAATGACATCTGAGGTCATGATCTCAAGATTACCCTAGAGAAGGGAGCTTCAACTTGATTGTATCCCACTTCCCTCCTTTCCATTTGTCAAAGGGGAACTATTTCCCCCACTTTCAAGTATGTTGTCTCATAACTAAACATCCCCTGCAGGGAGGTGTTATGCCCCATTCTATAGATCAACTAAAAGAGCTTTAAGTCACAGCCTGCCAGTGGTGATACCAAAATTTCACCCCAGGCTTAACTGCAAAATTGATGCTCTTTCTGCATCTGTTTGTCTTTGCGCCCTATAATAGAGTGGTCCAGATGGAAGAGCCGAGAAACTAGGCTAGGCCCTTTCCCTCCCACTCTGCCTCAGCACTGCATACCTCATATTGGGTAGCAGAGTAATCTGAGAGCAAGTCGGGTTGGCCCGAGGAGTGGGGGCCCTTGGTTCAGGTTAGGAGCAGAAGAGGGATTGCTGTGTTAATTTTCCCGAAGTGTGAGGTGTGCTAGACCTTATTTGGTAGTTTCTGAAGCCTTCACTAAAGAGCCAAGGTGGTATGTGGCTTGTGCTCTCCAGACCAGAGGAAGAGGTTTCCATTAAAGGCCCCCTGCTAGCAGTTTCTCTGTGACTTCGTGCTCTCAGCACACGTTCACTGCTTTCTCACCTGATCTAGATGATGGCCCTGCTGAAATCCAGTTGTCCTTTGCAAAGGGCAAGCATGCCTGGTCAGGCGGAGCTGGCGTTTTTCTTCATCATGCATCCCTAGGTGCTATTCTTGAAGTTGGGATTTCTGGAAGGAAGCACAGTGGTGCCGGGTGTGGGTTACGGTGCTTGCCTGTTTGGGCCTGCTGCACTTGCCATCTTTTGTTCTCTGGCTCTGGTTCCCATGCTGTGGCGCTCCCAGACAGGCACAGTGGATTCAGGGCTAAGTGCCAAGGCAGAATTTGAGCCTCATGCCAGCTTCTCCCTTGTTGCCAATTTGAGTGTGTGCCAGCTGGGACTCCCCCTGCCAAGTCCCACCCTGATGGGACTGCACTTTAGGGGACAGGAACTGACAAGGCAGAGGGTGTGGGAGCATCGCAGTAACACCAGAGAGAAGGGGCATGGTTGCTCATTTTGTAGCAGTTTGGGTGGGTGCCACAAATTGCTAACAACAGAGCAACTAGAGATAACATGCACAAACAAGTCACTTCCTCCAGGATTTTCTAAATCAAGTCTCAGTCCTGTCTCAGTGAACTCTGCTTCAGGTAGACACCTCTAGGAATATCCCTACAAGGCATGGTGTGCTCACCTAAGAGCCCAGGACAAGGGGTCTTATCAAGAGATCTGGTTCTTTGTTCTGTCTCTACTATTAGCTAGGCTGTGACATCAGGTAAGTCCTTTCCTGACTCTTGATTTCCCTGTCAGTGTAAGGCATGTCTTGAATCTAAAGGGCTTTTCTATCAGGATATCCAAGTCAGGAGCAGGAGCTGTGAAGTAGGCCTGGGGTGGAAAATCTTGGCTTTCTCTTGGACACTGGTTGATTACCCCATGTCTCTGTGCAGCAGTTTTCCTCCCTGTAACAATGCCTGCTTCGTGAATATTGGGGTAACAAGGTTTTAATGGAGTAAGAGAAATGAACGATGTAGTATATAGTGCCTGGCACTTACCTACCACAGGAATTGGGAGCTGCTCTGATAAGGATACTTCCACTGCCAAGTCCATCCTCTGGAGGTGGCCAGGGTGAGTTTGTACTGGTGACCACAAGGTGGTGCTAGAGTGAGGGATATGGGCTGTGGAAACTTAATCCCTAAGGAGGAGCTGCTTTCTGGTAAGTGATAAACAGATGCCTAGGACAATTTGCTTTGCCCTTAAATTTTGGAGAAATAGAGTGGGCAGTCTACCAAAAGAAGTGAGGATGAATGAAAGGAGAGCCCAGGAGTCTCACTCCAGCTCAGCCCTGTTTTTATAGCACTCAGCAATCTGGCCTTTGAGCTAGACATCTGTAAAATAATTTAGTCACTGACATTTATTGAACAGTTACAGTTATGTAAACCTTTTTTAAAAATATGTATTATGTCATTTTATTTTTTAAAGGTTTATTTAGTTACTTATTTGAAAGGTAGAGATTCCATCTTTTGATTTCTGCCTGTCCTAGTCCACAACCTACAAAGTGGCAAAATCTGGGACTTGGTTGTGTTTTGTGCCAAAGCCAATGCCAGTATGGGTCATTCCTCACTCAAGAACCCTCCTGGGACAGCCAAGAAGACAGGACTCATCTCACCCACCCCTCCTGAGCTTTCAGAGACCAACAGCAGCTTGGAGAGCACCTGAAAGTCATTGAGTGTTTCTAACACATCCTTCCCCCCACACGTGTGGACTGCTAAGCACAGCCACAGCCATGGATGAGGATGGATAAAAGGAACGTGCCCTTGGATTCTCTGGAGAGGACCCTGTAATTTATCCAGCATCCTCAGTGAAGAATGGACACATACAAGGGAACTTCTCAGATATTAAAGTGTTGTCTGCCCCTGTTCTTAAAATCTGTCGTTTAGACAACTGTAACAAATTTGAAATGCAGACTATAGATAAAAAGTGCTATTATCAATAGTAAATCTAAGCTTGATAACCACTGGTTTTATAACAGAATACTTTTTCTTAGGAAGTGTATATTAAAGTATGAAGGAGTTTAGAAAAAAATATTCAACAGGAAATTATTGAAACTTCAGAAATAGAGAAAACATACTATCATTTCTTAAATGTTCTCAACATTTTTTTTTTTTTTTTTTTTTTGACAGGCAGAGTGGACAGTGAGAGAGAGAGAGACAGAGAGAAAGGTCTTCCTTTGCCGTTGGTTCACCCTCCAATGGCCGCCGCGGCCGGCGCGCTGCGGCCGGCGCACCGCGCTGATCCGATGGCAGGAGCCAGGAGCCAGGTGCTTTTCCTGGTCTCCCATGGGGGTGCAGGGCCCAAGCACCTGGGCCATCCTCCACTGCACTCCCTGGCCACAGCAGAGGGCTGGCCTGGAAGAGGGGCAACCGGGACAGAATCCGGCGCCCCGACCGGGACTAGAACCCGGTGTGCCGGCGCCGCTAGGCGGAGGATTAGCCTAGTGAGCCGCGGCGCCGGCCTCTCAACATTTTTTAAAAACTATTTATTTGAAAAGCAGAATTTGAGAGATGATCTCCCATCCACTGGTATTGGTGGGGAATGGGCCAAGCCAAAGGCATGAGTCAGGAACTCCATCCTGCTCTCCCATGAAAGTGGAGGGGCCCAAGCATTTGACCCATCTTCCACTGCTCTCCCAAGCACATTAGCAGGGAGCTGGACCAGAAGTGGAGCATTGGGCCGGTGCTGTGGTGTAGCAGGTAAAGCTACCTATAAGGACACCGGTTCAGGACCTAGCTGCTCTACTTCCGATCCAGCTCTCTGCTATGCCCTGGGAAATCAGTAGAGGACGGCCCAAGTCCTTGGACCCCTGAACCTGCGTGGGAGACCTGGAAGAAGCTCCTGGCTCCTGGCTTCAGATCAGTGCAGCTCCAGCTGCTGCGGCCAACTGGGAAGTGAACCAGCAGATGGAAGACTTCTTTCTGTGCCTTCTCTGTGTAACTCTTTCAAATAAATAAATCTTTAAAAAGTGGAGCATCCGGATCTCATATGGGATGCCAGTGTCACAGGTGGTGGCTTAAACTGCTGTGACACAATGCTGGTTGCCGTTTTTTAGTAATCTAGGTTTGTCACGAACATCCATTTTAGAACTTGATATGTATAGCATTTGGGATCTTACTAGGCTCAAGGTATGCACTATAAAAATTCAGTTTGATTCTTCACTGAAGTCTGGTTTTACTCATCAGCCTTTAAGAGTCCTTTCTGCAGGGTTTGAAGTTCAGAAGAGATTTGTCCTGAGGCAACCAGTGGGACTGGTTGAGGCCTGGGAGACAGCCCAGACTAAAAAGGAGGCAGCAGAGGCATCCAGGGTGAAATCAGTCCTGGGTGCCAGGCCAGTTGAGGCAGTGTGAAGAACAAGGGCCTTGTGGAAGGCCCTTGGACCTGTGGCTTGGGAGCAACCCTGGAGGGGATGGCAAAAAGGCACAGGTCTACTGTACTGGGGACCCATTCTCGGGACCAGTATCTCAGACTGCAGTTCTGCTTATGCCTCCCCCATAAATGGCTCTTCTCTGGGGCACCTCAGCACTTGAAAGGGCCCTGGACCTTACTTCTTCCAAAGGACTCACTGAAGAGAGAAGAAAGCTGAATCCCAGAGAACACGATGGCCTGTCAGGTTCACAAAGCCAATCAGCAGAAACAACGTGAACAATTAGTGCTGAACTCCAAATTCAGTGCTCTTAACACATGAGTGATCTTGTTAGCCCTTCATCTAAGCCTCATTGTCTCCAGTGCTGGGGATGAGAAAAGAGAGGATCAGAAGGGGCAATGGAGTTGCCTGAAGCCAAGGTAGAGCTGAGAAGGGAAACAGCCAACATCCCAAGAGGTTGTGGGAGCTGAAATCACTTCCCTGTGAGTCAGGGTTGACTTAAGCATAGATAGATTAACTTGGTTCTCCCGCACCCCTGGGCTTCCTAACCAGCTTCCTGGAGTTTTCCCTGCCAACCACTGGCTCCCAGCTCCCGTCCTCTCTGCTAACAAACCCCATCTAGGCTTAGCCCCTCCTGCTGGGCTCTCCAGACCCACCGAAGGGAGACCTAAACAGCAAAACAGTAAAGCCAGGAGACCAGGGAAGAAGCTGGAAACTTTAGGAAGGCTCCAGGCAGGAATGGCAGCAGTCTTTGTTTTTAGATTTATACATTTATTTGAAAGCAACAGAGATGGAGACAGAGATCTTTCATCCACTGGTTTATCCACCAAATGCCCACAACAGCCAGGTCTGTACCAAGATGAAGCCAGGAACTAGGAATCCTATCTGAGTCTCCCACAAAGGTGATAGGAACTCAAATAGTTGTTCCGTCAGAAACAGAGCAGCCTGGACTCTGAAATGGAATGCAGGCAACCCAAGTGGCACCTTAACCTGCTGTACCACAATGTCCACCCCTGTAGAGAATTTTGAAATCAATAAGACTGAGACCTCCAACTTTTTCAATATTGTTTTAGCTGTTTAGGGCTTCTTAAAGTCCCACAGTAAATTAAGATCAGCTTCCATTTCTGCCAAAAAGGCCACTGGAATTTTAATATGGATTGCATTCAATCTGTAGATTGCTTTAGGTAGCACTGCTATCAATATAAAGTTTTCCGATCCATGAACACAGAATCACTTATCCATTTATTTAGGTACTATTTAATTTCTTTCAGCAACATTTTACAGTTCTTCTTTAAGTCTTTTAAGGTGGTTAAATATTTCTGGGGCAGGCACTGTGGCATAGCAGGTGAAGCTGCCACCTGCAATGCCAGCATCCCATATGGGCACCGGTTCGAGTCCCGGCTGCTCCATTTCCGATCCTGCTATCTGCTATGGCCTGGGAAAGCAGTACAAGATGGCCTGAGTCCTTGGGCCCCTGCACCCATGTGGAAGACCCAAAAGAAGTTCCTAGCTCGTGGCTTTGGATCGGCCCAGCTCCAGACTTTGCAGGCAACTGGGGAGTGAGCCAGCAGATGGAAGACCTCTCTCTGGCTCTCCTCTTGTGTCTAACTCTGACTTTCAAATAAATAAATAAATCTTTAAAAAAATAAATTTATTCCTAAATATTTTATTCTTTTGGATGCTATTTTAGGTGGAATGGTTTTCTGAATTTTTTTTTAAAGATTTATTTACTTACTTGAAAATCAGAGTTACACAGAGAGGAGAGGTGGAAAGAGAGAGAGGTCTTCCATCCGCTGGCTCACTCCCTAGTTGGCCCCAATGGCTGGAGCTGCACTGACCGGGAGCCAGGAGCCTCTGCCAGGTCTCCCATGTGGTTGCAGGGGTCCAAGGACTTGGGCCATCTTCCACTGCTTTCCCAGGCCACAGCAGAGAGCTGGGTCAGAAGTGGAGAAGCCCAGACTCAAACCAAACTGGCACCCATATGCGATGCCAGCACCACAGGTAGTGGCTTTACCCACTATGCCAGAGTGCCAGCCTCCTGAATTTCTTTATAAAATTGTTCATTACTGGTGTCACTCTGGTTTTGATGTGCATTTTCCCAATGACAGTGCTATTGAGCATCTTTTCATGTGCTTAGAAACCATTCCAGTGTGTGTGTGTGTGTGTGTGTGTGTGAAGTGTGATCTTTCCTGGTTAACCTCCAGTTTTGCACTTCCTTGAGTGGAGAAAGGAGTAGCCCCTTTTGTTTCCCAAATACCTTTCTCCTTCCCTTCCTGTTTACTAGTGACTGGCAGAGTGGAGGCAGATGTCCAGGGTGTGACTGTGCCATTTACTAGACCAGTGTGTGACCTTGGATATGTTACTTAAGCTCTCTTTCAGTTTCTTCATGTTTATAATGGAGTATTTTATTAAAGTTTTTACTTAACTTGCTACTTAACTGTCTACTACAACCAGACACTGTGCCACATCTTGGAATATTGGAACCAAGCCCCCATCTCTAATGGCTTTCACGCAGACTGTATCAGGCCCCAGTCTCTCTCCCTGAGCTTGCAATTTTTCTGTCTTCACTGTGGTGGTTACAAGTCAAATCCTCACTAAATATTAACCCACTAAATTAAAGGGGTGCCGTAAGGGTCAAGCTGGCAAGGATTACAAGACTCAGAATTCAGTGGTCATCTCCATGGCTGACATCCTACTACTAGACTATTCTGAGAAGTTTTGCAGAACCCTCAAGCCCTGATCAAAGTAGTAACCCATCTACCCACAGACTCCCGAGGGGCTGGAGCCCACTTTGCAACAGTTTTAGGGGTTAAAGAGTTCAAGTTCTTGTCTCCAATGCAAGAAAGAATTTGAGGATGCGGCACAAATGAAGGTTAGCAGAGGAACAAGATGTATTAATAAAATCAAAAATACACTCTCAAGAGGGGGCGCTGGGGCTGGCTGGGGCACAGTGGGTTAACGTCCTGGCTTGAAGCGCCAGCATCCCTTAAGGGTGCTGGTTCTAGTCCTGGCTGCTCCATTTCTAATCCAGCGCTCTGCTATGGCCTGGGAAAGCAGTAGAAGATGGCCCAAGTCCTTGGGACACTGCACACACGTAGGAGACCTGGAAGAAGCTCCTGGCTTCGGATTGGCACAGCTCCAGCTGTTGTGGCCAAATGGGGAGTGAACCATCGGATTGAAGACCTCTCTCTCTCTCTCTCTCTCTCTCTCCTCTCTCTGTGTAACTCTTACTTTCAAGTGAATAAATAAATCTTTAAAAAAGAAGGGGCACAGGGCATGCTCAAAAGTGAGCTGCAACCCACAAGTTCTAGGGTCATTGTTTTATGTGATCTGGAGGCACAGCGGGTGGTACTTTGGGTGGAGTTTTCCAGAAGTTTGATGACCTTCAGTTTTCTGACCTTTTTAGGAAGTCTTGGAAGTAGCTTCAGGTACATGATGGGAGTGGGAATTTCTGCCATGATAATTTAATTATAATGATTTTGTAATAGGTCATCACAGGACGCAGTCAGCAGCAACGTTAGATATCTTTTGCAGGAGCTGCTTCTGGGCTGTGGCTTTGCTACAGTGATGATCTTAGGTTGCAGGCAGTGGGAGGAAGAGACAGAGTGGTCTTCCATCCACTGCTTCACTCCCCCAGATGGCCACAATAGCCAGAGCTGTGCTGATCTGAAGCCAGGAGCCAGGAGCTTTTTCTGGATCTCCCACGCAGGTGCAGGGGCCCAAAGATTTGGGCCACCTTCTACTGCTTTCCCAGGCCATAGCAGAGCGCTGGATCGGAAGAGGAGCAGCTGGGACTAAAACCGGCACCCATATGGGATGCCGGCGCTTCAGGCCAGGGCATTAACCCACTGCGCCACAGCGCAGGCCCCAAAGACCTTTTTTTATGTCTCTCCCTCTGTCTGTAACTCTACCTCTCAAATAAATAGAATCCAGTTCTCTGCTATGGCCTGGGAAAGCAGTGGAATGTGGCCCAAGTCCTTAGGCCCCTGCACCAGCATGGGAGACATAGAAGAAGCTCCTGGCTCCTGGCTTCAGATCAACCCAACTCCCATGTTGTGGCCAACTGGGGAGTGAATCAGCGGATGGAGAACTTCTGTCTTTCTCTCTGTAAGTCTGCCTTCCAAATAAATAAATAAATCTCTTAAAAAAGAAAAAAAAAAAAGAAATGGGAGTGAAAGCTGCCACTTGCAATGCTAGCATTCCTTATGAGCATGCTAGTTTGAATTCCAGCTGCTTCATTCTGCAATCTCCCTGCTAATGTGCCTGGGAAGGTAGCTATAGATGAAGATAGCCAGCATACTTGGCCTCTGCCACCCACATGGGAGACAAGGATGGAGTTCTGGGCTCCGGCCTTCCACCTGGCCCAAATCTGGCTGTTGCAGGAGTTTGGGGAAATGAACCAGCCGACAGATCTTTCACTCCCTTTCCTCCTCCTTTCCTCTCCCTCCCTCCCTTTCATGTCACTTTATATTTCAGGTAAATGTTTGAGTAAGTCTTAAAAGGGGGAGGGTGCTGTGAAGTATGGCAAAACCACTGCCTGCAGCACCAGCATTGCATATGGGTGCCGGTTCAAGTCCCAGCTGCTTCACTTCCGATCCAGCACCCTACTAATGCACCTGGGAAAGCAGTGGAAGATGGCCCACACCCCTGTACCCACATGGGAGACCCAGAAAAACTCCTGGCTCCTGTTTCTAGCCTGGCCAGGCCAACCCATTGCAGCCATTTGGGGAGTGAACCAGCAGATCAAAGATCTCTCTTTCTCTGCCTCTGTTTATAACTCTGCCTTTCAGATCAATCACTCTCTCTAAAAAAAAAGACATGACAGGATTGAAGAGGATTTTGAAGGAGAGATGATCACAAAGAAGTCAAATGCTGCTAGGAAACAGTCAAAACCATGTGAAGACTGAAAAAGTCCTACTGCATTCAGAGACAGGAGGGCCCTGGTAACAACTCGGGAGTCCGCAGACACTGGCCCAGCCCTCCAAGGGGTCTGCTGGATCCAGTCCCACTGCGGCAGCTCAGGACTCCCCTGGAGCAAGTTTTTTTCATTAGCTTCTCAGAACTCAGCGCAGCTGTTCAAGCTGACTCAAGTACTGCATCAGGGGTGAGCTTTGTGGTGCAGTGGGGTAAGTCACTGCTGAGGACACTGGCGTCCCATGTCAGAGTGCTGATTTCAGTCCCAGCTGGTCCCCTTCCAGTCCAGCTCCCTGCTAAGGCACGCTGGGATAAAGCAGATGATGACCTAAGTACTTAGGTCCCTGAAACCCACATGGGAGACCTGGATGAAGCGCCTAGGCTCTGGCTTCTGCTCTCACACAACCCTGCCTCTCTCAGGGAGTGGACCACCAGATGGAACAGAGAGCAGGCTGTCTCCCTCCCTCCCTCCCTCTCTCCCTAGCTCTCTCTCTCTCTCTCTCTCTGGACCAACAGATGGAACAGGGAGCTGTCTCCTTCCCTTCCTTCCCTCCCTTCCTCCCTCCCTAGCTCTCTTTATTGTTCTGCTTTTCTAAAAGAGAATAAATAAGTAAACATTAAAAAAAAAAAAAAAGGGCTATGTCAGAGGGCCATGACAGGTGTGCCTGGCAGGAGGCTCAGGCCAGTTCCCACTATGTTTACCCCCTCACCCATCCGCCTGCTCGGCAGCCAGCAGGAAGGAAGGCAAACTCTGGCCACAGCTAAGCGTCCATCTGAAGCTGGGTACCAGTTCCTATCACTGCTCAAACACAAAAGATCTTGGTGACAAGCACTTAAACAATAGAAGCTGGTTTGCAGTCCACAAAACACTGAGGAAATGTCAAGGCAGTACTTATCAAGTATCTCACAAACAGTATGCACTATCACTGATTCACAGTCACACATTCATTCATTCAACAACTGTGTATTATGTCAGGCAAGGGGGATACAATAAAGACAGTCCACGCAGGGAGTATGAAAAACAGCACCCAATCCAGTCTTGGTAAGGAGGGGTGGGTACCATTTTGAGGGGTTCGGTTCCTGTCTGTAAAGAGCGTCTCATTTGGCTGAGAAAAAAGCACAGCAAAGCAATAAGAAGACAATGCATCCTCCTTCAAAACTGTTGGCACCAAAATAAACTTACCTAGTAGTTGCACTTCTCCAGAAACTCTTGTTGAAGTACTCTTGTACAGCGGCCGCCTCTGGCGCCGCCGGCATCCCAGCAGACCTGCTTCCAGTCTGGCTCCCTGCTACTGCACCTGGGAAAACAGCGGGGACACTCGAGTACTTCGGCTGCTGCACCCACACAGGAGCCCCAGATGGAGTTCCTAGCTCTTGGCTCAGCCCCAGGCGTCGGGGCCGGCTGGGGAGTAAACCAGAAGACGGAAGATCTCTCTCTCTCTCTGTCTCGCCCTCTTTCTAACGTTGTGCCTTTCAAATAAATAATCTTTTTTTAAAAGTACCCTCATATCAGCCAATTGATCTTAATGGGGTGTCTCACTCAATTTTTTCCTCCCCAAAAAAAGCCTATTAATCAAAATCCAGGTTTCAATGTCCCCACCACAGAAAGGCCCAAAGGCCAGGTTCCAGGGTCCACTGTGTCCTCGCAAGCCAAGAACAGCCTCTGTGCTTCCCAGGATTTTCGGGTGCTCCCAGTGCCCTCACACGAAAGAGAACATAAGTCCTGCCCAAGCAGGGGCCTGGGGTTCCTGAAAATTCTGCGGCAGCCTCCAGGGACGCCCCACCTCCTCTCAGGCCTTCCCCTCCTCCAGGCTCCGTTATAAATAGCTCGCTGGTTTCCCGTCGGGGATCTCCCAGCCCACAAACACGGCTCACCCTTCACTCCGTCAGCCTCAGGCAGGAGCGGGTGATGGCCGGCAGGGGGCGGAGAGGAAGCGGGAAAAGGGCGGGAAGCACCGTCAGTGGCAGCCTGGCCTCTATGGACTACATTACCCACAATCCTAGGTGGCAACCAGGCGCGTAGGCTTGTGGGGGACCTGCAGCACTGGCTGGGAAAACAGGACAGGCGGCGCTCCAGGCCGGGGATGTGAGGCTCGGCCTTGAGTCCCAGCTTTTTACAAAACCTGACTCCAGATTTTTGGAAGCCTCTCCATGCATGCACACAATTCACAGGCACTCAGCATCTCTGGGGCGGGAAGACCCGCAAAGCTCCTTATTTACAATCACACTGCGCACGTGCGTGGATGTGTGTGTCCGGAAGCCTTTGATTTTATTCTGGATCAGACCCAGAAGCTGTTTGGCACTAGCTCCTTTCTGGCAAATCACCCCCCCCACACACACACACACACACTCCTGTCATCCCCAAATTCGGAGCCTTTCTTTACCTGCCTCACCTGCGGAGGCACAATCAGGGCACTCAGCCCAGCTGGCCACATGGTGGCTGGCCTGTCTCCTCCCCAGCAGAAAACCTGGGCTTTGAGGACAACTGTGCCGCTGGAACACGCTGGTCCCAGCTAGGGGATGGGAGCTGGGGACCTGCGGCTGCTTCTGTGTCTGCTGTCCCTTTGATCCTCACCCAGGGCAGGGTAGCCACGCCTTTGGGCCCGGTTTAAATCTCTGGAGGTGCTCTGGGGAGAGCCCGTGGGGCTTGGGGGTTCTTGCAGTAGTGGGTTGACCAGATCTGTAGGTGGAGCAGCAGAGGCCATTCGGGAGGGGGACACCCAGCAGGCACTGCTGGCCCCTTCTCGGTCTGCACGCATCCCAGCCCACCCCTCCAAGTTCCCCTACACCGTTAAGCTGCTCATCTAACTCCAGACCGAAGGTAAAATCAAGGTCCTCTGTCTGCGGTAAAAACAGGCCTTCCCCACTTTCCCTCGCCCAGATACAATCCTAGTGATCATTTCCCGAGGTCAGAACGAGAAACGCAAAGGTGAGCGGGAGCCAACTGTCAAGGTCATAGGTCTCCTGACCGCCGGGATGGGGGTGAGGCGTTCGCTCAGAGAATGGTTGTGGAAGGGGCCCACCGGGAACATGGGGACAGCTTGAGGAAAGGCGGGGGGGGGGGGGGACCGGCAAGGAGGGAGGAAGGCACAGAGAGAAGCAGTTAGGGATGACCGAAGACCAACTTGCCAAACACAGAAGACGAGCGGGCGGGCTCGGACGCGGTGCTTGGGAGTTGGGGCTTCAGGTTCCGGGCTGGGAGCTGCTGACGGATCTCCAGCAAGGGGTCGGGGAAGGAAGCGGGGGGAAATGCGAAAGCTGTGGGGAGCGGAGGGCGCCTCCGACCTCCGGGGTGTGGAGGAAGGTACTGCGCCTGCCAACGGACTCGAAGCCGCCCTGTGCGCGTTTCCCTGCGCCGGGCCCGGCGGCGACCCGGCCGGGCCGCGCTCTCCCGGCCCCTCCCGCCGGCCGCCCCCTCCTTGGCAGCGGGCTCCCCCTGGCCGCGGGCTCCCGGGTGCGGGCGGACTCCGAGCCCGGGCTCCCAGCCCGCAGCCGCCCGCGGGCCGCCTGCCAGACGCGCCGGGAAGGAAGCGCCTTGTATGGGCCTCTGGCAGGGAGGAAGCGCCTTGTAGGGCTCCGGGAGGAAGCACCATACATGGCGCGGGGCGGGCGGAGGCGGGCCGGGGGCGGGGAGCCTGCCCGGGATGGAGGCCGCTTCCGCCGCCGCGCCCGCGCCCACCCCCAGCCCCTTGGACCCTCCCCCAGCGGGAGCTGCACCACCCTAGGGCGCCGCAGGAGGCTCGCGGGCTCCGCGCAGCCTTGACCCCTGGCCGAGCCGAGTGGGAATCCCAGCTCGGCCAGGCGCTAGCTCAGTGACCTTGTGCAAGAGGCTTTTGCCGCCCCGGGGATGGTGGGATCTAAGGAGAGGGTGCAGATGAAGCGCCTCTTGGCGCTGCTCCTTCGCCCTAGCTATTGTGGCCTGGGGCTGGGGGTAAACCAGTCGTGGTCGACCTTTAGTCTCTTCCCAACCGCCTTGGTCCCTGGGAAGCCGGAACCTGGGGAGCTTGGGAGGAGATCTTTCCAGAAGAAAATAGGGCAACCGTAATCTCTTGGAGTTTTCCCATGCAGGACTCAGGCAGAGGGGGTTCCAATGCCCTGACGACCTGTCTGATGCTGGGGAAGAGAATTACCCTCTGTCAGCCTAATGTTCTCATATCATTGGTGAAATGGGGGAGAACAATTTCTGATTTGCAGGTTTGTTCTCATAATCGAGTGAAACGAGATGTGTGTGTGTATGCGCACGCGTGCGCGAACTGGTGTCGAATGGTTGATGCAGGACAGGTGCTTCATAAATGTCACTTTAAGTCTCTGCAATTTCCCAGTTCAGGAGTGGAGGTTTGAGCCCTTGGCCTTTCCTCCCCCTTGGGAGCACCGCCTCTCCTCTGGCATGTCTGGGCCCTGATTGCCAAGCTTTGGTACCTTCACCGAGGGGCATCTGTGTCCCTGCCCGTCCCCTTTCCCAGTGCAGTCCCTGCTGGCTGCCCTTCCCTCCCTTCCCGCTCCCCCCCCCCCCCCCAAGCAGCGGTGACCTCCTGTGCTCCCTGGCAAGGGCAAAAAGAACCTGGAGGAAGTTGAAGTTCCCGTCACAGCCAGAACCTGGTATCTAGGACACCATCCCCTCCCACGCCTGCTGTCAGTACCACACCCACACATCTCACCAAGAGATGGGTATCAATCTCGGAAGAGTGTTTCCCAATGCTCCGGGTCCACCCTGCCCTCAGCAGCCCTGCCGCGCCCGAGTCCCACTGCAATCCAACCTGAATCCCCGCACCCCATCCTGCTGAGCAGCAGTCAGCAGCCCCCAGTAGGTTGCAGGCAAGTTTCTGGACACACAATAGACACATGTCACCTACGGCCTTGTTTCCTTTCATTCCTGTTGGGCAAGGAGGCTGTGGTTGGCATGGTAACCTTCCCTGTAAAAGTTGCAGCCCTCGATGATGTTTTTCAGTTCCAGCAGGGACACAGCTCCTTCCCCCACTGTAGGCCATAGGGCGGGCGACATGGAGCTGTGTCATGCTGGCCTCCCCCAGAACGGGACCGAGCAGCTGGGAGCATGAAGGAAGGCCGCTTCTCACAGGGCAGCGAACGGCTTGAGAGAGAGGCCATTGGATCTGCGGGGAGCAGCTCCTTCTGTCCTCTGTGTTGATCTGCAGCAGGCCAGAGAAAGTCCTTCTGAGGCCCAGAATATTTAGGGAGCCTCTCGGGATCTCGTGGTGAACAATAAACATGCATCTTTACTGAAAACCAGAAGCATGACAGATGCCCGTCATCCAGTACAGAAGTCTATAGAATGAGCTGAGAATTCGCTAAGCCTCCAGAATCCAGTGGTTTCCTTTCTCTCCAGTTCCTCCGTGGAATCAATGAATATTTATTAACCAGCTCCCGATGTTCCAGCTTCCCATCCGTTCTTTCAGCTAATTCTCCCCCACAGCTCTATGAGGGAGGTATTACAAACCACACTCATTTTATAAATAGAGAAGCTAGAATTGGGGCAAAAATCCTAAACAGTTTAACCGAACATCACACAACCATGTAGTGGTAGCCGCAGGTCCAGGATGCAGGTCTGCAGTCCCCAGTCTCCACACTGTCCCGTGGGCCTTGATATTTGCCTCGCCTTTCTAGGGAGTTCTCTGGAAGGAAAGGAGGCATCAGCCTCTGCCTCTATGGCCCACATGGTCCTGTGAGGCCCTGCCTGGCCCTGCAGCAGCCTGGGAGCTTCCATCCAGAGGCTTCTCCCTGCCAGTGCCAAGTCTCCCTCTTGGAGTTTCCCCAGCAGGGGGCAAGCCGAGAGAAAGTGGTTCTCAGCTGCCAGCTCCGTGCAGGCGACTTGCACCAGAGCCAGCCTGGCTTCCCTCAGTCCCTCCCCAGAGCAGCACAGTCAGCTCCCCTGCAAAAGGGGGTGGGAGGGGGAGACAGAGAGGAGAAAAGGACACATCCGGGTCTCTCTCCCTGGCTGGGAAGCACTTGGCTTCAAGCTGCCACTCATCTTGTAGGTGGGGAAGATTAAAGCTGATCCTCTTGGGATTACAGAAGTCTCTGAAATGAACCCTTGGGCAGAACTTCCACCCAGTAGACGCTAGCAGGAAAGCCCTGGGTTTGAGAGAGTGGTGGGAGGGAAGGAGAGGCAGGTCTCCTGCTCCTGTTTCTGCTGGCTGAAGAGACTAGAAGAGCCTTTCTCTGGCATCAGGAACAAGGGCTTGGGAGAAACCAGGAGGGGGAACTGTGAGGCTGTGACCTGAAGCGAAACTGGGGAGGTATTAACAGTATTAATAGGCCAGTGCTGTGGTACAGCATGCTAAAGCCATGGCCTGTGGCACCGGCATCCCATATGGGTACTGGTTCATGTCCCAGCTGCTCCACTTCCAATCCACTCCCTGATCATGCACCTGGGAAAGCAGCAGAGAATGGCCCAGGTACTTGGGTCCCTGCACCCATGTGGGAGACTAGGAGAGAGCTCCTGGCTCCTGGCTTTGGCCTGGACAAGTCCTGGCTGTTGTGGCCATTGGGGAGTGAACAGGCAGATTAAATCTCTCTCTCTCTCTCTCTCTCTCTCTCTCTCTCTGTCTCTGCCTTTGAACAGCTGTTGCAAGCATTTGGTGAGTGAACCAGCAGATGGACAATCTCTGTGTCTCTCTGTCACTCTGCCTCTTAAATAAAAATAGACTTTAAAATTTCATTTTAAAAATATACCCTGAAGTATTTACAGATGAAATTATATAATGTCTGAACTTTGCTTCAAAGTGGAGGGAGAAGAGGAGTATAAAGGAATTGATCATTGTAAACTGGGAGACAGATACAGAGAGATTCCTTACACTAAACCCCCTTACTTTTGTGAATGTTCAAAAATATACACAATTTTTTAAAATAAGGCTTAATCTGTGAAAATAGAGCATAGTTGGAAGTGATATCTTTTTTTAGAGAAAAATATCATAAAATAGAATAATTGAGTTTGAGGTGACTCATACTTATTTGAAAGCAGAAAATAAAAAGCACGCATAAAATCTGAAGTGATCGGCCTAAATTATTGTTATTATTGCAATAACTGGATCAGGAGTGGGGAGGCAGGAAGCCATGCAATCTTTCAAACACCCAGAAACACAAACTGAGTTCTTGGCCTACTCTGGAATGCCTCCAGGGAAAGTACAGTTCACTGGACTGTCACTGAGGTCCTTCCGAATCTCGCCCCAACCTGCCTTTCCAGCCGCATTCCCTGGCCGGCCTCTCCTGGCCTCTCCTCGCTTCCTGGCCACGCCACCACTAATTGCTGTTTCCCAAACACACTGGCCTTTCCCACCTCCCTCCTACACTCTATTCTCACCTCTCTGCTCCTTGAATAGAATTGGCCACTCCTTGCTCTGCTTAGGCATCTTACATATCACACTGTAGGGCAAGTCTGTATTTCTAAGTCTCCCCCCACCCAAGTCAGGGCTGCTGCTGCTGGTTTATCCTGTTTACATGCTCAGGGTCTGACACTAAGTAGGCATGATGTCATTTTTTTAGATCAATGTTGGCTCAGTGACTGAAGGAATCACTTAGGATGGCCCACTACTGTGTGTGGCCAGGAGAAAGTTACCCAGACTTGGGCTCTTCCATCTAAGAGGTGCCCACTAAATCAGGGAGCAACAAGGCACAGCCTGACCCAAGCATAACCAGCAAAACCACCTGGCTAACATCAAGTGGAATAAGCAGAAGAAAGGAGTTTGAGAGAAAGGCTTTCAGTCCCGAAAGGACAAATACCGTATGTTCTCCCTGGTCTGTGATAACTGAGAGAGCACAAAAAGGTAAACTATAGAAGTGAAATTGACACTTTGTGATGCAATGACTTTGAACAGCCCTTGTCTTGACAGTAGAGGAACCTTTTTTTTTTTTTTTAATACTATTTGTTGAATTCTTTACTTGGTATAGAGTTAATCATGTGTGCAAAAAGTTAGTTGAAAATAGATCTTAGTAAAATATAAGAATGGGAATAGGAGAGGGAGGAGAAAAAAGAGTGAGTGTGGGTGGGAGAGTGGGTATGGTGGGAAGTTGCACTAAAGTTGTACTTAAGAAATACCTGAAGTTTGTATTCCTTAAATAAATGGTTTTTTTTTTTTTTTTGGAAAAATAAATAAGTAAAATAATAGGGCACTGGCTCTGTGGTGTGGCGGGTAAAAGCCCCCACCTGCAGTGCCAACATCCCATATCCAGCTCTATGCTATGGCCTGGGAAAGCAGTAGAAGATGGCCCAAGTGCTTGGGCCCATGCATCCACATGGGAGACCTGGAAGAAGCTCCTGGCTCCTGGCTTTGGATCAGCCCAGCTCTGACCATTGTGGCCATTACGGGGAGTGAACCAGCAGATGGAAAACCTCTCTTTTTCTCTGCCTCTGCCTCGGCCTCTGTGTAACTCTGCCTTTCAAATAAATAAGTAAATCTTAAAAAAAAATAAAAACAAAAAAAGAAAGGCTTTGACCTTAGTGGTACATGTGAGAGTGGGTACATTGGAAGTGGGGATGGACAGGGAATCCAGTGGTGGGCAGGATCTCAGAAGGTCTCTAGGTGATAGGTGAAGGAGCTTGCTTAACTAATAAATAATCTTTCCTTACTTCAGAAAAAAACAAAAAAGAATTGCACTGTTAGCTGTCTGGTGATTCCATCCTGCCAGACTCTAACAGAAAATCCACCTATGGGGAGTATTGAACAACAATTTGCATCTATTCAATAAAGACCCTAGAACCCCAAATTCCTAGGATGTCTTTATTTTTTAATTTAATTTATTTGAAAGGCAGAAGGACAGACAGAGACCTCCCATCTGGTTCATCTCCCAAATGAGTAAAAGGGCCAGGACTGGACCAGGCCGAGGCAAGAACTAGGAACTCAGTCCAGGTCTCCCATATGGGTGACGGGGATTCGAGTACCTGAGCCATCACCTGCCTCCTCCTAGCATAACAGGAAGCTGGAGATGGGAGCAGAGCCAGGACTTGAATCCAGACATCCCAAGCGATGTCTCAAACCCTGTGCCAAAGCCCCCCAACCCCCTACTTATTTTATCACTCTTGTTTAATGCTTTCATGTAGTGAAGGGGCAGATTCTGCAGAAAGAGAAACTACTCCATCGGAAGACCCTCTTAAAGAGCCCTACCATAATTTTAAGCCATAATTACTTACATAGTCTCATTTTAAATTTTTTTCTTTTAAAAAAAAAAAGATTTATTAATTTTATTTGAAAGGCAGGGTTAGAAAGAGAGAGAGAGGGAGGGAGGGAGAGAGAGAGATCTTCTATCTGCTGGTTCACCCCCTAAATGGCCACAATGTCCGGACCTGCGCCAGACAGAAGCCAGGAGCCAGGAGCTTCTTCTGGGTCTCCTATGTGGGTGCAGGGGCCCAAGCGCTTGGGCCGTTTTCCACTGCCTTTCCAGACGTACCAGCAGGGAGCTGGATCAGAAGTGGAGCAACAAGGAATCAAAGTGGCATCTATATGGGAATCCAGCATCACAGGAGGCAGCTTAATCCTCTACACCACAGCACCAGCCCCAAATTGTTCTTTCTTAAACAGAATAATTCTCTGCTAATGTTAGAAACACTTGCTCATTTGGAAAATAAAGAAAGGTTTAAAAACAAAATAAACGCCGTGACTCAATAGGCTAATCCTCCACCTTGCGGTGCCTGCACACCAGGTTCTAGTCCTGGTGGGGCGCCGGATTCTGTCCCAGTTGCCCCTCTTCCAGGCCAGCTCTCTGCTGTGGCCAGGGAGTGCAGTGGAGGATGGCCCAAGTGCTTGGGCCCTGCACCCCATGGGAGACCAGGAGAAGCACCTGGCTCCTGGCTTCGGATCAGCATGATGTGCCAGCCGCATCGCGCCGGCCGCGGCGGCCATTGGAGGGTGAACCAACGGCAAAAGGAAGACCTTTCTCTCTCTCTCTCTCACTGTCCACTCTGCATGTCAAAATAAATAAATTAATTAAAATAAAATAAAATAAAAATTACCCATAACTCCACTATCTAGAAATAACAACTATTAGCCTTTAATGTATAGGTTTTGTGCATGTGCACTTTATAAAACTGGAATCGTGCCATATAAGGGTTTACTTGTATTACTTAGTATAATATTGTGAGCATGTTTCAGGTCAATAATTATTTTAGGACATGATTTAGAGTGACTGTCTAGCAGTCCACCATATGATATGATCATTCATTTCAGCCATCATGCACCAGATAGTTATATGATTGCCATTTTTCCTCCATTACAGAACCTGGTGTGGTTCACAGCAGCCCTGGCAGGACCGCTGGGAGACAGGGTGGGAATCTTGAGAGGGCTCTTGGTTCCTGCTGTTGCAACACCCTCAGGAAAGCTGGCCCCAATTCATTTTCCCACACAGGAAAGTTTCATGCATCAAAGTGCTTTTCTTTCTTTTAATGTGTGGAAAAGGAAGACACTTAATATTTTCACCATGAATGCATGTTACATTTTTGTAGTAAAAAACAATTGTATTATCCTCCCAAGGAAGAATAAGGTAATCAGCATTCCTTTCTCTGCAAGCAGATGGAGAGACTGATGCCCCCGGATGGGTAACATAAACACTTGCTTTGGGGTAGGTGCTGTGGTGCAGCAGTTCAGTTGCCGCTTGGGATGCTCACATCCCATATCAGGGTGGTGACTGGAGTCTCCGCTGCGCCACACTTGCCATTCTGGCTCCCTGCTAATGCTGCCTGGGAAGGCAACAGATATTTGGCCCAAGTGCTTAGGCTCCTGTCACCCACATAGGAGCCTGGAATGGAGTTCTTGGCTGCTGGCTTCAGCCTGGCCCCATCCTGGCTGTGGTGGACATTTGGGGAATGAACCAGCAAATGGAAGCGTTCTTGCTCTTGCTGCCTCTTGTTTGTCTCTCTCCCTCTTTCTGTTTTCCTGCCTTTTAAATGATGAGAATAAATAAACAAAATTTTTTGAAAATAAAACTTACTTCATGAAGGCTGACAGTGGGCCTGAGAAGGCCCAAAGGGTTCCTAGGTAGAACCAAGGCACATCTGAGAAGCAAGTTCTAAGGACTTTGATCATTTCATGAGCCGAGAGTGAAATGTGGCTCTGATGAGAATGAATGATGGCTCTGAGGACACAGCAGTCCCAGGGGCGTCACCACCAATCCGAGGTGACAAAATCGGTTCTCAGGCTGCTGTGATGAACTCAGAAGCGGTCTCCACTTGAGAATTTCTGCTTTGCGGGCACTTGAGGATGATAGAAGTTGTGTTGGTGTGGTTAAGAACACAGCCCTCGCTGGTCTGAGGTTACCAAGGGACCAAGTCAGCTGGGTCTGAGGAGCAGCGTGGATGGGCGGGTGGTGCTGAGGCGGCTATAAACCGGTTCTGGTCAGGCAGCTGGCGGGGAAGCGCTGTGTGTGAGAAGCCCTTCAGAGGGAATTCAAAGTTAGTCTGAAGGAGATTCAAAAGTGGTTGGCCAGACTAGAGCGGTTTAGTTCTTCCTTCTCCCAGACACCCCCCAGATTGCCAGACCCAGCCACTCACAGCAGGAGCTCCACTGACTGTTCAATGGAGGAGGAGCAGTTGGTTCTCTGGAACACACAACCCCAACCCCCCCCCAACCCCCCCACCCCTCCCCCCCCCACCCCCGTTCTAGGATGCAAAGTGGATTCTGAGGAGAAGCGCGCATCTGAGGAGGCTGAGACGGTTTCGTCGAGGAGGGCTCCCGCTGCCGGTTCAGCGGAAACGGCAGCATCTGGGTTTGCCTGGGAGCTGACAGAGCACCTGGGCCCGCTGGGCAGCCTGGTTTACCCGGGGAACAAGGGACGTCAGGACAGGTTCATTTCTACCCGCAAGACTCCCCCAGGTTTCTTGAGTCCCTTCCTTCAAAACGAGCCTCTAGAGAGAATCTTAGGAGGGCCTCACCGCCCACTACTCCAGGATTAGTTCTGTGGCCTTCAGTTCGGCAACTAGCCGGGGTCTGAGCAGGCTCCTGAGCAGACAGCTGGTCAGCAGACAGGGCCTAGGGGTCACCCCAGAGGTGGAGGAAAGGCAGATAAGATGGGAGGAAAGCTGGGGCCCACCTGGAGAATGGGCGGAAAGACAGGAAGGAAAGGATAATTCTTTTTACGTTTGTAGCTGTTTTCTTTTTATTTGAAAGTCAGAGACAGAAATACACAAAGAGAGAGTTTCCATCTGCTTGTTCACTTCCCAAATGCCTGCAACAGGCAAGGCTGGGCCAAGCTAAAGCCAGGCGCCAAGAACTCTATTTGTTCTTAAGCCATTGCTTGCTGCCTCCCAGGGTGTGCATTAACAGGAAGCCGCAGTGGAGAGTGGAGCCAGGACACAAACCCAGGCATGTCACCTGATATGGGATTGGGGTGGGGGGCACCTAAGTGGCCACTTAACCACCGTGCAGAATGCCCACCCTCTCCTCTTCCTCTTTTTTTTTTTTTTTTTTAATTTTTATCTTTAGGGGCCGGCATTGCAGCACAGCAGATAAAACTGCCACATATGACACCAGAATCCCATATGGGCTCCAGTTCAAGACCCAGCTGATCCACTTTTTCTTTTTTTAAAGACTTATTTGAAAGAGTTAAAGAGTGAGAGAGAGATATTCCATCTGCTGGTCCACTCTCCAAATGATCACAATAGCCAGAGCTGAGCGAAGCCAGGAGCCAGAGCGTTTTCCGGGTCTCCCACATGGGTGCAGGGTCCCAAGGACTTGGGCCATCCTCCACTGCTTTCCCAGGCCATAGCAGAGAGCTGGATTGGAAGTGGAGCAGTCTAAACTAGAACCAGCACCTATATGGGATACCAGTGCTTCAGGCCAGGGCTTTAACCCACTGAGCCACAGCACTGGCCCCTGCTCCACTTCTGATCCAGCTCCCTGCTGATGGCCTGGGAAAAGCAGTGGAACATGGCCCAAGTGACTGGGCCGCTGCACCCATGTGGGAGACCTGGCTCTTGGCTTCAGATCGGCTCAACCCCAGTAGCCATTTGGAGAGTGAACCAGAGGATGAAAGATCTCTCTCTCTGTCACTTCCTCTCTGTGTATAACTCTGATTTTCAAATAAATAAATAAATCTTAAAAAAAATTTTTATCTTTAACTGGTACCTAAAAATTATACATATTTATGAGGTCTGATGAGATGTTTCCATCCCTATCTATACTGTGCAATGCTCAGTTCCCTTCCTCTTTTTTTGGGGATGGCAGCTATTCAGTCCCTGGCCACTCTGGGCCATGTGCCTTTCTTCCTTAACAAAGTATCATCAAGGCCATATGTACGTCTGCGGAGCTTCGTAGATAATGAGAATATACATTGCTTAGCCCAGACATCTCATTACCAGGAAGATATAAACAAACAAACATCTCATTACCAGGAAGATATAAACAAACAAGAGAGAGTTTGGAGTACAGTAATAAAAATGATATTTTATATATACAGAGGCTGGCTCTGTTTACTCAAGGAGAGATGAAAGAAGCAAATCTTTTAGGAGGCTGGACCCTGACTGGAGAGGGGTAGCAGGGGGCAGGAACACATGGGTGATTGTAGTTTCAAAGGTGAGGGAAGTGAATAAATGAGAATATGGTAGAAGAAGGTACCGGCAGGTGGAAGGAGCATTTGGAGTAAGTGGGGATCATCCACACAGAGCCTTGTATCCAAAACTTCACAGCAGCTTTATGTGTTAACAGTCCTAAAAGGGAACTGACCCCAATAGCCTTCCACAGGGAAAAAAAAAAAAAAAGAAAAAGATAAACAGATTGTGGTGGAGCCGGAGACTGGAAGAACACTCAGTAGTAGAAGGGAATAACTATTTGTACACACAACAACATGAATGAATCTCAACAGAAAGATGCTAAGTGAAAGCAGTTAGAACCAATAGGCACCTACTGCACACGAGTCCGCTTATAAGAAACTCTAGAATCTGCCAACAGATCTACAGTGATGGAAAGCAGATGGGTGGCTTCCTGGGGACAGGAGTGGAAGGAGTTCCAAGCTGCATGGGGAAATTTTTAGAGGCAATGGATATGTTTACTGCTTTAATTGTGGTGGGGGTTTCACCTGTTTGTATATGTGTGAGGACTCATCACATTGTGCAGTTTATACAGTTTATTGTACCACAATAGAGTGGCAATAGTGTTTTTTAAAACTCTAAGTGATTATGAGAATAGCTTGATGGATAGATCTACCCCCAAAGGGAGATGAGATAGATTTAAAGGATCTGAGAAACTGAGTCATCAGTTTGACCTAAGAGATCATCTCAAGCAGGTGTAGCTGCAAAAGTCCTAGTGATGAGGAAAGAGGGATAGGGGAAAAACACCTCTCAAGTGCAGGGTCAGATGTGCTGCTCGGGTGTGGAAATCGTAGGTACCCACAGGTCTCTCATTAAAATGTTCAAATGTTGTTTGCTTGACATCTGATTCTTTTAAACTTGGCCTTATTTTCCTTAGAACCCCAGGATCTCACTCTACCCAATGTCTTCCCTCTCAAACTGCACTAAGTACGGCATGAAACATGAAAAACAGATAGGAATGGGGGCCGGTGTTGTGGCACAGTGGGTAAAGCTGCTGCCTGCAGCACTGGCATCCCATATGGATGCTGGTTTGAGTCCTGGATGCCCCACTTCTGATCCAGCTCCCTGCTGATGGCCTGGGAAAAGTAGTGGAAGGTGGCCCAAGTGTCTGGGCTCCTACATCCACATCCACGTGAGAGAACTGGAAGAAGTTTCTGGCTCCTGGCTTCAGCCTGGCCCAGGGCTAGCTGTTGTGGCCATCTGGGAGGGGTGACCCTGGAAGATCACTCTCCCTCTCTCCCTCTCTTTGTAACTCTCACTTTCAGATAGATAAATAAATCTAAAAAAAAAAAAAGCTGGGGAAAGGAGGGGAGGCAGGGCAAGGAATGCCTCTGACCCTGTAGCCTCACAGCCAGGCTAGGCTCCACCTCCCTGAGTGCTCAGAATCCTTCAGAACAGATGAGACTGAACAGTCCTGAAATTCAAGCAAAAAGAGCACCTTTCAGGTACCAGGAAGAAGGATGGAGGCTCCTTAGGATCTAGCTAACCCATCCTTAGTCAGCTGAGTTTCCTCTCTCTCTCCCCTCTTCAGTCCTGCTGGCTTTGTCCTTCCTCACATTCCTGAAGCCCTAGGTGGCATCCCCAGGCAGCGGTCAATTGTTCAAGCCCCTTTCCAAGCCCCAACCTTTATGATGATGACAGCTCTTATCAGCGCTGCCCCCCCCCCCACACAGGAGCAGGGGTGAGTCTTCAGGACCAGAAAATGGAGCAATTTTTTGAGTTGTGCCCCATTTCAGCCATGCAAAATTTAGAATTTCAGAGCCTCAAGAAACCCTGGTGGTGGTAATAATAAAACTTAGCTAACAAGCTTGGCACACTTCCTCTACAAGCCACCTGCCTTGGAGCAGCCTTGATGCCAAGGTTGGCTCCAGGACCACATCCAGATGCAGGGTGTCCACAGGATGCTCTGGACGTGGACCTGGGAATCTCCTAATGTGCTATGGCAGATGAGACCCTGTGCTCTGAAGGAACAGAGTCTCCTTGCACCTTCCTTCATGTCTTATTTTTGCCATGTTCTGCCTCTTGAGAGTCTGGGGTGAGGAACTCCGAAGAATGTGTAACAGGCAGAGACTTGTGTTCTTTGGCCCAGAGTGAGGTGGGGAGGAGGGGTAGGTGAAGCTGAGAAGAGGTGCACCAGCATAAACAGTGTCCTATGAGGACCTGGCAAGTTCACCAGGAGGCACCCAGGGCGGGGCCTTTGCTAGAAGGGGTGCCTGTTTCACCCCTGTTCCAGGCTGAAGAGTTGTCACGGGAAAGGGCGGAGAGCAAAAGAGGTCATGAGGGAGAAAGCTAGAATGTAAGAGAAAGAATGGAGCTGATGCCAAGGGTTATTGGAATTCTCCTAGCCCAAGGAGGTGTGGTGAGAACCTGGGAGACCCTCAGAGGGAGACAGGGTGGAGGGGTTCTAGGGCCCAATAACTGCGGTGGGCAGAGAGAATACTTCATTGTCTCTGATTTTAGGGGTCAGACACTGGGAGGGAGAGCCAAGGTTTAGGAATCCCAGGATATCAAAGCTTTCCTTTTTTATTTTTATCTTTCTTCTTTTCTTTCCTTTCCTTTTCTTTATTTGAAAGGCAGAGAGACAGTGAGAGAGAGGGAGAGAGAAGGGGAGACAGACAAAGAAAGAGACAGAGTTCTCATCTGCTAGTTCGCTCCCCAGATGCCTTTGGCTGGGGCAAGCCAAATTTGGAAGCCAGTAATTCAGTCGAAGTCTCCCATGTGGGTGGCAGGGAACCCAGCTACTTGAGCCATCACTTTTTCTCCTAGGGTTCTCATTGGCAGGAAGCTGGAATCAGGATTGGAGCCAGAACTTAACCATCAGGGCTGGGATGTGGGCCTCTTAGCCACCAGGCCAAACACTCATCCCCAAGACACCAAATCTATTGCACCCATCTGTTCAAAGGCCAATGGTGTCCGGCCAGTTCAGAAAAGACACAGACGTCAGGGTTGGAGGTGGCGCTTCCATCCCAGCCATGCTCTTTGGTAGAGACTTAGCCAGCATCCTCCCTGCCTCACATACAAACTTAATCAATCGAGTTGACTCCTATCTATGCTTCCCAACTCAACTTTTCCACGTCTCCTAAGCCCCTAGGTCAGCTGGGTGCCCTTCCCTATGCTCCCACAGAGCCTCACATTTGCCCATGTTATGTAACTTAACACCACGTTGTCATTCCTGGCTTCCATCTCTGTCTCCCTGACCAACAGTCTGAATTCTTGGAATAGAAGCTGTTCTGCCATGGCCAGGTCAAGGCCTCTCAGAGCAGACAGATGCTCACATGCCCATAAGGGTTGTTCCAGCAGTGACAGTGAACACTTCGGGGGCTGGGGCCCAAAGAACCTAGCACCGTCTGCCGCCCACTCAGTGGGGGCAGACTTGGCCTGGTTGGGAACTTGAGACATCAAGCCAGCCTCCTACCCACTCTGCCCCGTGTCCCAGGAAACTGCCAAGGACGACAGTTCCAGCTGGCAAATGATATTTCTCTTCCTGGAAGGATTCTTGGCTTGAGCACTGGCCCTGGCCTCATCTAGGGTTCTTTGATGCCCTCCAGTTGCTGGGGACATGGGGGATGGGCAGTAGAGGCCGAAGGAGCTGTGCTGATTATTATGATTTTCCAGTCCTGTGCTCACCCTATCTCCTCCAAATGCACTTGGCAGGGTTTCCCAACCATGGGTAGAGGTGGCGGGCAGGCCTAACCAAACAACTGATGCCTGGGAGGTAGCACTGTCTCTGGCCAGACGTGTCCCTTCCCTAACTCTGGGATTTTTTTTTCTTTCCCCTTTAAGCTTTAATCTCCCAAGGTAAAACTGTAGCCCAAAATAACTGAAGAGGAATAGGCCCAGTATCAAGAAGAGGAGACCCCTACTTAGTCCTCATGAGGAATTCACTCCAGTGACACACAGACGGTGACACTGGCTGGAGCATCTTCCTACCTTTAAAGGCCCCAGAGTCTTCAGAAAACCTCCACCCCCTGGATGGAGATGCTACTGCTGCACCCTTCCCCCAGCCCAGGAAACACATATCCAATCACAGGTACTTTATTATCCTTTTAATTTTTCTGAAGGCTATACACCACATATCCCATGGGCAATAAAGCGCATTCGATGTGTTTATAGGCCAAACAGTCACTTTGTTTAAGCAAACACAAGTACAAAGTAAAGTAAAACCACAAAATAATGAACTGCATGTTCATAACATACAAAAAAATCGCCGCCTACTCAGTAGGTAACTACAACATTCCAACTCCTGAATATATTTATAAATTTACATTTTCAGTTAAAAAAATAGACTTTTGAGAGTTCAAATTTTGTTTTAGATTTTGTTTCCTTACATTCTGGAGAACCGAGGCTCGGCTCAGCCCTCGTCCTTATTTTGCTCCCAAAGCCTCCCCCGAAATTGTCACTCCCTGCCCCCCTTAAGGCTAGAGGTGAGCATGTCCCTCACAGTTGCACATGTCAAGCCATCAGCCAGGCGCATCACACAAAAGGCACCAAGACGTGAAACTTTTTGAACCGAGAGGACAAAAATAAAACATTTTCCAAAAGCAGAAAAGAAAAACCAAACCATATTTTGCCACATGTGAGAGTACAATCGAGCACTATTTACAGAAAGGTTAACGGAACAACACTCTGACACATGCTCTGATTAATACCGAGGACTGCTGTTTCAAAGAAAGCTTTAAACTTATTGTCACAGCATCATCACAAAATAGAGGATCACCATTGGTTTGCTTGGCTTTTCTTTTTTTTACCCCCCAAAGTGAGGATCTAATTCCAAATAATACAATAGAATATGCAAATTATCTTCACATCAAGAGTACCCCAAGAAAAACAAAACCCATGGCACAGACACTGTACAAGGGTGCAGGGCAGGGCTCTGAGGGGCCCAAAACCCATTTTTGCCAACTTGATTTTCTAGCATCAAAGGGAACAAGGGCTCAGGCGTATGATGGAAATGATACTGAAATGATTTATCCAAAAATCCATGCAAATCAAGTTCTTTGGATAGAGGTGAAGAACTTGGACATGGCTGTTTCAGGCAGCTGAAGTCACAGGGAATGGGAACCGGGGGAAGGGGAAGTGGACAGAAGGGATTGTAGGCCATTGGACCTTCCACTCTGCAGCAGAGGGAAGCCCCTCCACCATCTGACCTAAGACTCCAGCCACACCCTCCTCTCCTGTCCTTTTAGTCTCTTGTGTTTCTTTCTCTCCCTTCTCCCTTCGTTTCCTCTTTCCCCTTAGCAAATCTCAATTGTCCTGGGAGAAAAGGTCGCCGTCATGTCCGAAAGCCCCGTGGAGGCGCTGAAGGAGCTGGTGACAGCCGAGGAAGGGAAGCTGCTGACCTGGCCGGGGAAAGCGGGAGGCACAGACGAGTACGTGGTGGCCACCGACGGCGAGGGGAAGCCGCTGTGCACCGGGGACGGGTAGGTGGAGGAGCCGGGGGAGGAATAGGAGGTGGGCACCGGGGACGGGTACGAGGTGGCGGCCGGGGACGCGTAAGAGGTAGTGACCGGGGACGGGTAGGAAGAGAGGGAGGCGGCGGCCGAAGAGGCCACGGCACTTTTGTCTGCTTTCTTGTCCTTCTGCCGCAAGTGGATCTTGGTGTGCCTCTTGCGTTCATCGCTCCGTGCAAACTTTCTCCCGCAAATGTCGCAGGCGAAGGGCTTTTCGCCTGTGTGGGTGCGGATGTGGGTAGTGAGGTGGTCGCTGCGGCTGAAGTTGCGCATGCAGATGCGACACTGGAAGGGCTTCTGGCCCGTGTGGATGCGGATGTGGCGGGTGAGCTCGTCGGAGCGCGAGAAGCGGCGGTCGCAGGACTCCACCGGGCAGGCATAGGGGCGCTCGTGCGGCGGCGTCTTGCTAGGCCTGTTGGGGTACTTGCGCATGCGGCTGGGCTTGATGAGCTGCGACTGGTAGGTGGCATTGAGTGCCTTCAGGTCCTGCGAGCCCGACTGGGTGGCAAAGGCCTTGATGGTGGAGAGTGGAGTGAGGGAGGGCTGCTGGGTTCGGCTCTCCAGGCCCTGGAAGGGCTTCTGGTCTGGGGTGCCCAGGCCCAGGTCCCCCTGCTGCTGCGGAAACAGGTAGTCGGGGATCATGGGGACCTGGAAGCCGCCCTTGGCGGCGGGGTAGGCAGGAGGCGGGTACTGGAGCGCCGCGCCCGCCGCACCGGGGAAGGCCTGGCTCTGAGGCTCGGGGAAAATGTCAGCGTTGGGCGTGGGGAAGGTGGGCGCCGCCGAGTAGATGGGGCTGCTGTCGTTGGAGGGCACGGCACAGCTCAGGGGTGGGCTCTGGGAGGCCGAGGATGAGGAGGACGAGGACGAGGAGGAGGCCGAGGCTGAGGAGGCCGCTGGAGACGGCGCCGAGGACGAGGCCGGAGGGTTGGTCATGCTCACGAGGCCACTGACCAGGCTGAAGAGGGGCTCGGGCCACAGGGTGTTGCCACTGTTGGGCGCGGGCTCCAGCGAGAAGCGGCCGGTGTAGGTGATGGGGGGAAGCCGCGTGGTCTGGCTGGGGTAACTGGTCTCCACCAGCGCCTTGTCGCTATTCAGAGAGATGTCGGGGAAAGACTCTGGCAGGAGAGACAGAGGATAGAGGCCCGGTTACCGGACAGCAATCCCTGGCGGACGAGGACGACCCCAGCTGCCAGACAAGAGGTCGCGCGGCCACCACCGACTCCTGAGCTGGTTAATAATTGATAGCAGTCGATTGCAATGTTCCTGGCCCGGCTCCAGCGGCAGGGCCCATTGCAACAACAGCTGACGCAAACACGGAGGATCCCCCTCCACTGCGGCTCCCAGCGCTGCGCAGCGGCGGCTGCGCGGGCGAGGATTCCCGCCGGCACCCCCGCGGCCGCGGCGGGGGCGCGCCCTCGGCCTCGGATGCCGGCCCTTCCTTGGGAACGGGCGGCAGGCAAGGCAAGGCTTTCTGCACGGAGGCGCAGCGCTGCTCAGCAAAACAAGCCCCCCCCCCCCGCAACCCCGCGGCTGCCCGCTCCACCCTCCCACGCAGCTCCGGAGCTCTCCACGCAGAGCCAAAGCTCGCTCCTCTGCGCGCCGCGCGCCGAGGACCAGGGCAGGGGTGTCCCAGGTGTCCCTCTGACCACCTGACCCTGGACACACGAGGAGGAGAAGGGAAACCCCGGTCGCATCCCAAGGCCCCAGAGCACTCCTGCGGGTGAGCGACCGGACGGTAGGACGGTGGCGTAGGCCCCGGCTTACCTGCGGTCAGGTGCTCGTAGGGCTGGTCGCCCGTCTCCCCCTGAGGGTTGAAGGCGCTGCTGCTGCTGCCGCTGCCGCTGCCGCCCCCTCCACCTCCACCGCCCCCGCTGCTGCCGCCGCTGCTGCCGCCGCTGCCCTCTGGAGCCCCGGCGGCCCCGAGGAACTGGGGAGCCCCGTTGCTCAGCAGCAGCATCTCCTCCAGCTTGGGGTAGTTGTCCATGGTGGGCGAATGGGGAAAGGAGCCGAAGGGGTCGGAAATCTGCAGCGGAGACATCAGCTGCATCTCGGCCTTGGCCGCGGCCATCCCGAACCGGCGGGCGGACGGCAGAGCTGGTGTCGGGGCGGGTGCGCGCAGCCCGGGGCCGCCGCTGTCGGGGACACACTCGTGGGGGCCCGGCCCGGTCACATGCGGGGCGCACTGGGGCGAGCGCTGCGGGGTCCCGGCTCGCCCTCGCCGCGGGCGGGCGTGGACGCGGCGCGGTTGCAGAGCTGGGCAGGGGCCGGTCCTGCGGCGGCGGCTGGTGGCGGCTGGCGGCGGCTCCCCAAGTTCTGCGCGCTGGGATCTCTCGCGGCTCCCCGGATCCGCTTCTATTTGAAGGGTCTGTAACAGCACGGGCCCGCCTCCGGCGTGACGTACATGGCCATATTTGGGAAGCAGGAAGCCCTAATATGGCAGGACCGGCCGGGAGGACCCGGAGTGACGTGAAGCCCCCTTTCGGAGAGCTGGGAGCGCCTCCGTCCCGCACCAGGGCCCCGCGCCTGCTCCCGCATCCCGGGCTCCGAGGCTCCGGGGGAGCCCCCGGGCCAGAGCCGCAAGCCCGGGCCTCCCGGACTCCGGCCGCTCCGGAGTTCCCAGCTTGCCCCCGCCCCTTCCCTCCGCCTTCTCCCCTCCTCCCCGCGCCGGAAGCGGCCGGACCATATCTGGCCGCTCCAAATAAGGCTCTGCCCAAATAAGGGCTGTTCCGGCGGGGGATCCTTCCTGCTCCTTATATGGTGTTTCCGGGTCGCTGCCGGTTGCTCCCTCGCTCCCCCCCTCCTCCCCGGGTCCGAGCTGGGAGCCCGAGCGCGCGCGCCGGGGCCAGGGACGCCCGGGTGGGGAGGGCGCGAGGCGCGGAGCGCTGGGCGCGCGGCCGCTCCGGCGGCTCCCGGGCGCGAACTGGGCTGGGGAAAGCCAGACCTGGAGCGGGGGCGAGGGCGAGACGGGCCAGGGTTCTGCGGCCGTCATCCAAGACCCGCCCGCCCACCTCGGGGACCGTGGGAGCGAGCGGGTAGCGGAGGGGAGGAGCGGCTGGGCTGGCGGGGGCAGAGGCCGCCCAGGAGGGGCGGAGCCTTGACCTCGGGCCTGGACCAATGACACGGCCACTTTCCAGGTGTCGCCGTGGAAACTGAGGCCAGGGACGCAGCGCCCCGCGTTTGGGGGACACCGCTTGGCAGTGGGGCGCCTGCTTCCTGGCCACCAGTCGCGGCCTGAGACCCTCAGCGCCACCCAGAACCGAAAACCTGCTCCCTGGTCTCCGTCAGAAAAGTGCACACCTTTGGGGGGGGGGGCGGACTGGGGGCCTCGATTGCCCTAGGAGAGACCCGAGTGTGTCCCCAGCGGGAGCTAGTGGTTTGGGGAGGGACGCGGGGGCGCTTCCCCACTTTTACCCAGCCTAGTTGGGGGCGGCGCGGACGCGGCGGGACCTCGAAGAGGGGGCTTCCCTGCGGGATGCCTGGGGACCCCAGGCTTGGCGCGAAGAGAGGACCTGGCGGGAGGCTCGGTGCTGCCCCCTGGAGGTCCCCGCTCCGGCGTCGGCCCCCGGCCCCCGGCCGAGCGGGCTCTTCCGCCGCCTCCACGCTCCCCCTCCCGCCCTGTGCTGGGCGCGCAGCCAAGCCTGGCCGGGGGAGCCTTCGACGCAGTGCGCGCGAACTGAGCAGGCGCCGCGGCCCGGGCTCTCCCTGCAGTCTCCGGGGAGGCGCCGCTGCCGAGGCGCCCAGGCTGCGGGATGACACTCCCCTCCCTGAGCCAGGCCACGGGCGGGGGCGCTGGGCGGAACGCTTCCCCCAGGTCTCCCGGGAGCGAGCGGCGAACAGGGATGCCCTCCCCGCCCCCACCTCGCAACCAAATGCGCACTCCGAAGGAAACAGGGATTCCGGGAAGGGAAGGCTCCTGCTCTCGCTGCAAATCCAGGGAGGTGCTGTTTTTTCTGAATTTAAGAAGAAAGCAGAGAGTGTGTGTGTGTGGAAGGAGGGTGCTGCCAGCCCCAGGAGGGAAGCCCAGGGCCAGGGAAGTTTTAGGGCGATGGATGGAATTCTCTAGGGCTTCATACCTGCGTCTCTACTTCTCCCCACCCCCACATTTTCTTACAAAAATCGACTTAAAGAATCTAGCAATGAACCAGGACTCCCCGATTCTTGAGCACCCCCCCCCGCTCATTTGCGTGGGCGAGGCGGAAGGGGGGGCTTTTCCTGCTGCCCACCGGGTTGTCCATTAGGGGCAGGCCCCTGTTGCGGTGTGGGACGGCAAGGCAGGGCAGGGTCAGAGTTGCTGTCTGAACGCTCGTTTTGCCCCTCCCTGGGGAGGGTGCTTTGGCCACGCTTGCTGTTTATCCCACTTTCTTCTTCTGTAATAAAGGGGATGGCATTGGTGGTTGTGGAGATGAAACCCACAGGAGCTCCCATCTGTGAAATCCCAAAGCCCACATCTGCCTGACAGCTGATGCTGTATCAGTGGCTACTGTTATTTTCGGGGGCTTTGGACTCTGGCATCACCCACAGTTCACACCCCACCCCCATCCCGAGTCTCTAAGGAAACTCCAATGACCCTTTTCTGGAAAACTGTCCAGAAACCAATCCTAAGGCAGGGATCTGAGTCCCTACTGCACCATTTCCTACAGCAGATTGTTTTCAACCTTGACAGGTGCAGCAAAATCACCATCTTCCTGAAACTGTGGGTGCTAGAATGGAGTAGGCACTTCATCCTGGGATGCTCCTTGGGCTTTGCGGAACCTCCTCCTCCCCCTCCTCCAGCTAGGGCAAACTGTTGCGGTGTCACTGGACTGTGCAAGCTGACCTAAGGTATCTTCAGGTCCTTGTCCAGCTGGGCATGGAAATCCTTGCAGTCCACACCTTTGCTTTTGCGTGCCCACCATCAGTTCCCCTTTGTTTTCTTAACTGTTCTAGGACGGTAACTTCTTTAGGGGAACCACCGCAATCCATGGGCTGGGGGACCATACCCTCACCCTAGGTCTTAGAGGAGCTTGTAGCCCAGGCCTGGCCATCCATCTAGGATGCTCCTTCAGCTAGGAGCACGTTTTCTCCCTGGCCACAGGGTTGGGCACAGGACCTCAGCCAAGCCAATGAGAATCATCCTGGGGCTTTTTCTAGAGCTCTTGGGAAAAAGGAATTCTCATCCCCAGTTAGCAGTACACCAGTAGATTTACTGCTGGAGGGGGAGTACTGCCTGAGAAAGAGCCAGTGAGGGAAAGTCGGAGAGAAGACACAGAGCGTAAGCCCCTAGATTCCGCTTGGGCTTTTTGTTAGGCCGATGAATTCCCTTTTTGATAAAGTAACGCAGCCTCAGTTCAGCTTCTGTTGCTCATAACACAACAGGTTCCGACGAATGCACCTGTTAGCAACAGCAGCACCAACTTTCTGTTGCTTGCCATGAGGGCTTCTCACAGGTAAGGTCTGGGAATCACACCTACAGCAGAGCCTCTAAGGAGCTTGCAGTTGGGTGAATGGGAGCCCCGGGGTCTGTGTTTAAAGAGCTTGGGAAAGAAGAGGCCCCGTTAGCCAGCGAAAGTCAGAGATGCAACAGGGCACAAGAATGAGAGGAGGGCAGGGACCATGATGAGAGTCTAGAGGAGAGTGAACTTGGGGAGCACCGACTTGGGGGAAGGGGAGAAGCTATTTCAGGCTAGGATGAGTGAAAGTGAGAGAATGGGCTGCAGCAGACAGGGTTCCTGTTTGGAGGTAGCAGAAGGGAGGGTTAAAGAAAACTTTGATTCTTCCCAAAAAGGTTCATTGGTGGCAGCTGCTCCTATCAGGTGCAGGGCTGTGTCTCAGGGATTGCAAAGAGCATTAGCCCTTGGGGAAACTCATTCACTGGCTGGCGTAGGCAGAAGTAAACAAGACGCAAATAAAAAGAGTAATTTCAGATTATGGAACGCAGCTTGCATACCAAGGAGGCGAGGGAAGGCATTTGGAGGAGGTGACATTTATACAGAGACAGAAAAGATGAGAGGACACCGATTCCTCATGGAGGAGTGTGGTGGGGAGAGCATTCGAGGCAAAGGCACAGCCTTGCCAAGGAAAGAGTTCCTGCTGGGGCCAGCCTAGGGCCTGCCCGGTGTGGGCAGAGCAGCGTCTAGAGCTACACCTCGCTCCACTTCTCCCTTGTCTGCTCTCCTGGCTCATACGAGGAGAAGATGATCTCAGTCCAGGCCAGCCTCTGCAGGGTAAGTCGCGGGAAGGCACCTTCCTCCCAGGAACAGGGGTGGAGGAACTGGTGAGAAGGCAGGCCTGAGGGTCCGCTCCCTAGCCGGGGTTATTCTGTGGCCTGACTTCTCAGCAGAGGAGCTGGGGGCCTCCGGAACATCCCCTTCACCTCTGGTCTGTCTTTGGCCAGTAGCAGCACACTTCTGTCGTCTGCGACTAGGGGAGCAGGGAGGGGTGAAGACATGGTGACAAGGTTTGGCCCCTCCCAAGGCTCCACTGGGGGCTTCTGAGCCTTCAACTTTTAGCCAAGGGCCCAGATGGAAGAACTGGTGTGGGGCCTGTGTGAGCCAGCCTGGAGGTTAGGAAGGCCCCGAGCTTCTCCTGCAGCTGACCAAGGGGTGCTTCAGGCTGTCCTCAGACCCTGCCAGCCAGAGCCCTGGGAAAGGGGGGAGCCCCTCGGTGGCTTTGCTGGCCAGAGCTGCCATCTGCGGTCAGACACTCCTTGCAAGGGGAGAGGACCCCAGGGGAGCCATCATGTCCCGCATAACCAGCCTGGGCTGAGCAGGCTGAACTCCCCGAGGAAAACAAGCCCCTTTTTCCATTGCCACTTCCTCCTCCTCAGCCCTGGCCACGTCAGCACCCACGTGCACAGCTCAGGCCGTGGTTTGCCATGGCTGTGGCGGCCCGGGGCTCAGGAAGTGACTCTCGGGTTCAGTTTGGGGCTCTCGTCACACTTTCCGATGACGGCTGATGGGCCCCACTGGAAACACGGAGGCCTTGGCCTTGAATGGGTCTGGGGGCAGCTCTGCTCCCACTGCAGGGAGGACCTTAAGCGGTGAGAAGAAGCCTGAGGGGCCTAGGCATGGAGTGGGGCAGAAGGGACATGAGAGAGGGTGGGGAGACAGGGGCAAAGACGGGGATAGAGCTGACATGTGGCACCCTCTCACGTGCTCTGGTGCCAGGGGACAACTCCAGGCCCTAAGACAGAAGGTGGCCCATGCAGAGTGAGACTGAGGCCTGGGCAGACAGGAACGAAGAGGGTGCCCAGGATCCAGGGATGCAGGGGAAAAGACCAGGATTTGGCTGCAGGGGTTGGGGGAGCTGCCTGAGAGAGTTAGGGTATGGCCTGAGGATGGATGAC